TTACTTTTGTTTGGCTATCTACAGAATTGACAGATGTCACAGATTATTTCTTTGATTGATTTTACTTGGTGATTGTCCTAAAAAACTCAAAAGTTTATTCTTTTTTCAACATGAATCAATAATGCTGTTGATGCAACAATGAAAAGATGTGATTTATAATTGACAAATATGAAAACCCCATTTGTTTTCAATGTCTAGGCAAGTACGCACTACTGTACTAGCAATAAAATTGGCGTTGACCGGACAATTTTGTAGTGGTAAAGCCATAGTTTTCAGTATGGGAGTCAACATCAAGTCTAATAAATTCGATCCTATCCATATTTTCTACTATTGATAAGAATAATGATATAATCTTTGAAATTTAAGGACCCAATGGGAGAGTTGAAACTTTGAAAGATCCCTTATCCTAGTGTGACTCGCAGGGATGGGTCTTAATATTATGACCTTTAAATACCAAAAGGAAGAGTTTTTATTTATTTTTATTTATTTAAATTTTTTTTTTTTCTCTCTCTATTGCTCTCTCCTGAAATTTATTTTATTTGAAAATGAGTTGTCTCACAAACAATCCCATTGGTGAGTGAAGGCTTGTGTTGAGTTAGTCTATTTATTATTAATTTTTTTTTAAATAGAGAACTCTTTTAACCTGATCAAAATTTTACGTATCGAATTAAAGATGTTTGAGTTTATGAAAACACGCCTTCACCACTTGACCACCACCAGGAGTTGGGCCCAGTCGAATTTGACTTCGAGCTTGAAGTTGTAATACAAGGCTACGAGGCCTTAATCACACAAACTTGGTATCGAATGGGTCAAACCATTATTGCAACTTGCAAGCTCTATAATAAATGGGCTTAAGAAATGAAACTACAATGTCAAGGCCCAATCGAAAGGAGACTCTCTAGACCAATTAAGTCTCATGGGTCAATTCTAGAATAACCAAGCCCAACATGGCCAGCCCACTGTTTTGTGTGTGTGTGTGTGTGTGGAAACGCACATGGCCAGCCACATTCACGTACTATTATTATGCAGTGTCTGGACCTAGAAAAGGAAAAGATACACAATTTGTAGTCAAATGAAGTGATGGAGTGAAAGGAAAAAAGATGGAGTTATATGATGCATGCATTGGAGTGGTAGGTTAATTTGTATATGATTGTTGAATTATCACATGTGGGAAAGAGGAGAAAACAGTTATTGCTTCCATCATGTTCATGTTGCTGATCGATATGCACTTATATATATATATATATGAACATACATATATATATATATAACAAAGTGACAATTGTATGTCTGTGCACTACAGAGACATTTTGTAGATATATGGACAATTGACAGTAGTTTGTGCGCACTAAGCTCATGCCCAAATTTCAAAGAGACGAAAAGCCATTAATAAATACACTGTGTGTATACATATATATGTACAAATTTATATGAACAAGTAACAATGAAAAAATAGGTAAACAAAACTTGCTAACTAGAGTGAAGTGACAAGTGAAGAAGAGTTTATAGCTTTGGTTCTAGGATTCTATTATACGTAGCGTGCTTCAGGAAGAGATCTCAGGACTAATAACCATTTAAGAATTCAATGGGTTGGCATAGGCTACCTACCTATTCATTCTTCTATATATAAGTGTGTTTTTGTTTGACAGGTGTCCAATTTTTTTTATTTTGGATTGTCCAAAATATATGTCTCGTTTTAAAAATCATATTATTATTTTTTTATAACATTATCAATTTAATCTACTTATATTAAACTTATAAAAAAAATACGTAAATCAATGAGAACTCCCGGATGTATTTCGAATGGAGGGAGTAATAATAATAAAAGAAATAAAGAGAGAAAACATGTCACAAGTACATATTGGTTGTTTTATATCATAAGAGACATTCTTATATGAGTGTCAAAAACCTCTCAATGTGCAATCGTCGTAGAACATCTAGAAAAATTAAGTTTTGTTTGACTCCACCTTTTGTTTTTTTTTTTTTTTTATTTAAATGATTTTTTTTCACTCTTAAAAAACGTCACATGTAAGTTGATGAGATTAAAAGTAATAATGGGTCAGGTTGAGTCTGGTTGGATGTCATTCAAAACCCAATTATTTTTAATTATTTATTTTAACCTCATACTAAAATTAATGCAATTTATAATTTCCAAACTACATATTATAATGTTACAAAAGTAGAAGTATATAATTGATAATAATAATATTAATTAATTAATTAATTAATGTAGTAGTAATTCCTCCCTCTATCTCATTTTAATTATCGCCTTAAAAAATCGTGACTCACAAATTACTACTTCCGTCTCACTTTAATTGTTGCCTTCAGTAATTACTCCCTCTGTCCCACTTTAATTGTCACCTTCAAAAATCGTGACTCATAAATTATTACCTCCGGACGATAATTAAAGTGGGACGAAAGTAATAATTTATTACAAAAAAAGTATAATTGACGACAATTAAAATGTAACGGAGGTAACAGGCATAATTAAAGTGGGACGAAGGTAAAAATTTATTACAGAAAAAGTAGAATTGAACAGTAACAAGGATGGTGACAAGTAAAGGGCCCGTAAAACCAAAGCAGTGATAGTGCACCGTACAACAATGGACAGCAGCAATTGTGGGTGTAACTGTTGTAAAAAGGTTTCCCACTTGGCCACGTGTCGGTACAGGGTGGGGAGTTCCTTGATGTGAACAGTACCGCTGATATTGACAATTCAGAAATAATAAATTCTCTTCCCCGACGCACTGATGATGCCACCATCTTCTTCACTTTCTTCATTCATTTGGCGCCAGATCTTTTTTTCTTCTTTTTTTTTTTTTTTAATTGCTGTGTGTATTTGAAATGAGAATTTAATGTGCCTATTGGCATGTTCTTTTAATTTATGAGTTGAGTTAATCTGAAGCAACATACTAGCACATTTGATTTAAATTTTTAAATAAAAAATAATTAATAATTACAGTAAATTAATAGACTTATTTTTTTTTAATTCGTTAATAATGTAACACATAAGAAAGTAATATCTCTACTTAATTGTATTTGATATAAATAATAAATTATAAATTATTTGATTAGATAATTCAATATAATGTTTGGTTAATACGCAATTTGTATTGATTATTTTATGTTGATAATGTCTGAATTCGTCCAACATAATCGCGGGACTGATACAGGTGATAGACACTGCCGACCATGTACTAAAGTTGTAAGGTTATAATTGAACCAAACATTGGCGACTAAACAAGGAAAAGAATCATTGTCAAAAACTAGCCGACAAAATGGAGTGAGGTCATTGCAAGGTACTAAGGGACCAATTTCCTTATCGTTAAGAGTTGAATTCATTACCCAACGTGGAAACTGAAACATGCACTTTTTTGAATCTGCTACTGCTACTTACTACTTAGAACACCAATTACGAGGTCTCTTAAATTTAAAAGACCAATCTCTCTCTCTCTCTCACAGAGGCCACAATCAGCAAAAACTCATTAAAACATATGTATAGAAACAGCTAAACATAGAGCCCAACAACAATTGAGGTGAGAAGAGGTAGAAGACAAGTCAATTTGGCCTTGAATTCTGTATTGATTCATCAGATCAGATGGTTAAGAAAAGAACAGTGTATCAGTAGTAGTAGTAAAGTGAGAGATACGGACGGCTTGTAAAAAGGCTGTTATTGTAATCTCTCTCTCACACAGTCACACACAGCTTTTCACGCTGCCCATAAACATAACCATACAAATATACGGACTTCTACTTTTTTAATCCCATGCAGGATGCAGCCAAGCAGGTGTACCTGTACCTGCTGCCTGTCTATATGCCAAAGCCGATAATTCCGGGTATCACTTTTCTTCTTTCTTTTACACTTTTACTCCTAATAAATATATATATATCCGCACACATGTATGTGGTGTTAAAAAAAGAGGAGGGAATAGAACTCAATTCATATTCCCTTTCACATATTCTCTCTCCCTCAATTGCTACAGTTGGCTTTAATTTTGAAAGTTTGGTAGTTTCTATACAATCACAGAAAATTCATAATCACTATAACTCAATTATTTTCTTTCTTTCTTTCTTTCTTTTCTCTCTTAGTCAAGTGCAAGGATTGATTGGTGGATTTATGGGGGCTCATTTACCTTCCAAAAGCCCAAAATAAAAGGTTGCAAGGCATGTAATACCGTGACAAAATACAATGTCAAAAGAGTAAATAATTTGTCATAAATACCCTTTCCTCTAAAATAATAATAAAAAAAGAATAGCAAAAACCATCTAAGATGATGTTTTAAGTACTTTGCTCCTCTAGCAATTATAATATATATATATATATATATATATATATATATATATATATTCATATTAGGCAAGACCACATTTTTTATTGGCTTTTGGTAACAATTAGATTAAAATTCAACCAGCATGATTTTTAGTATCAATATTTAGAGAAATCGTGGCCAATTACATGCAATCACTAAGTAAAAAAAATTAATTACACAATTACATACCATGTAATAATTTTTCCCACTATTCATATCAAAGAACAATAAAGATTAGATGTGAATTTTAGACTTTTCCTCCAACACACCGTACAAATAGGATCAACACGACCTTAAAACTCAACAAAGTGTTTTTCAACCAGTTAGAAGTCAGGCACATGATTCGTGTTATAAATACACCATTTCATAGGTTGACTTGAAAATAGTTTCAAGGACAAAATGATGACAAAAAAACAAAAACCATAAAAGGATCCAACCAAACAAGGACAATCAATGGTTCTAAAGAAATGATCAGATTGGGATAAATTGATAATAAATGATATTTCAATGGGTTTTAAATGCACAAAGACCCTCGGAAAATGACATTGCATATAATTTTTGGGAAGCTTTCCCACACAAATGACCTTGCCTGCGAATAATTTTTTATTCTGGAAAAAAGAATTTTCAGTGGACCAAAAAGAACAAGAGAACAGAGCACCATAATAACACAAGAACCAGGCAAAAGATGTATCCTGCGGAAAAGTAACAATTTCTCATACCACCAGGGGAAAAAAACCTAGATTCAGCAAGCTTTTGGTACAGTAGGAGATAATTCAATTAGAACCCTAGTTTGCTTCTTTTTTTTTTTTCCTAATCCACTTTGTTCCTATACAAAGGAGAAAATTTTGGATTATAGTTCTGTTTGTACCTGCTAGAGGTTTCAGATCCTGAAATGGTATTGGGATATGCTGTTAGTATTGGTGATTGGTGGAGAGTAGTGGTGGTGAAGGATATTAGGAATGTGAGGTTGATGAACAGCAGCTGATGAAGCAATCATATTTGAAGTAGCGAATCCTGATGATGCTGCAGTAGAGAAGAGCGATCCTGGGATAGCCCCGACATAAGGGCCCTGGAATTGCCATGCCCAGTTGGGGAAAGAATCAACTTCCATTCTCCTCTCTATTGCTCTTTCCTGTAACAGGAGGAGATCATGGCCTAGTTAATTAACAAAACTTGGAGTTCCTCTCAGCAAGGATTGACAATAATATCATGTATTAACTATCGACAATAACTAGAAGGTCATTTGTCAATGTGTCAGAAAAATGTGGCATAGTTAATTAACAGAAGTTGGAGTTCCTCTCGGCAAGGATTGACAGTAATATCATGTATTCACTATCAATAATAACTACAAGGTCATCTGTCAATTAGTCAGAAAATTAGATGGACATATGCAACATCATAAAGGAAATTTAATACCATTAGGAAACTTCATAAACTTCGCTCAAATTTCAGGCTAGGTGGAAAATTTGCAGAAAACTAACTTGTATCGATGAAATTAACAAGTAAGGTGATGTTGCTGTGAGTAGGCAGCTAGTTAAGTTTTTGGATGAGGTGTCAACATCAAAATATTTTCATATAAAGAAAAACCCAACAGAACTCATGGAATTCCTCCATATTATCATAAATGAATTGAAGAAGCTATGGCAACAAAATTGAAGGAGCCGGTTGGTTTAAAGTTCTGAGCTCGGACAAATGTGAAAAGGAAAATGCATTTATATACTTCAAGAACCATCTTATTGAAATATTCAAATAATATCACCTTATAGATGGGAAAGGTACTGATATTCGCACCACTCCAAAGAGGAGGAGGGTGCTCGGATATCATTGCTGGGCCATTTGGTGGTTGAGGCCGCATTGTTACTGAAGCAGAGTTCTCAACCTGTAAGACACACAGAAGCACGAGGTGAGCTGAGACCTGGCCTAAAATTTAAATTCCAAATGGCAGAACTGAACTAACAAAACTTTGGATATGTGATTTCATAATTACCCTTGTTCTCATGTCCTCAGGCATGGGATATGAGCCATGTAGGAAATGGAACTGCCCCACATTTTTGTTGTCCTTTTGGCTACCAGCAACATGAGGAGGTGCAATGCCCAAGTTAAGATCAAGATTGTGGCTACTGCCTGCATCAAAAGTGTTGAGGAACAATTTTTATCAGAACTATGAAGAAGGATTAGTTTCCTATTTGCAAAAGAAATGATGGGAAATTCTTACACAGATTAGAAAAAACAAGAACTTAGACAAGTGTTACCTTCATTATCAGCCTCAGAACCCAACTCCCCTTCATAAGTGCTTGCCTCAAAGTTGGTGACTGCTTCCCTTCCATTGCATTTGATAGCAGCCTTGTCATAAGCCCTGTTTATCACCGACCAAACAAGTATTAAGTCAAAATATCAAAATCTTGGCAGGCCAAAGTTACATCCAGCACAAAGAAGGGTAAGTTTTATGATCGCCACAACCTTGCGGCATCCACCTCGCTGTCAAACAGGCCGAGATATATATACCTGCACAGATGAAAATAAAAACCAATCAATGAATACAGTACTATTCATCACATTTTTGGTTCTCTCCCTCCCATCTATCCATTGTTTCATTTCACGAGGGGAAATAATTAGTGTTATTTCAGTTCATGAAATCACAAAATCTCAATAGGCAAATCCAAGAACAGCAACTACAAAGATAATTTCAATCCAAATTGTTCCTCACTTCTTGCCAAGGAATTGCCCCATTCGAGCTTCCCATCGCCCACATTTATGCAGGGTTACTCCCCTGTATTTTGAGCTTCCTCTTGAGAAGCCGGTGCTCTGACGACGAAGGATATGAACAAATTCTTCCTTTGTCAAGTTCCTCATCTGCAAAAAGTAAAAACAAAGCAATTCCTAACTAAGTGTCTTACAGAACTTGAGCATTGAGTTTAACTAACAATCTACCACAGAGCACCTGCTTAAGATCTTCCTCATAATCGCTGATAGTGAAATTGATATCAGCATCCACTCCACGGAACTTTATTGCCGCCCGATCATATGCTCTGAGATCATAAATCAATATTACCACAAACTTCCAACCTCAATCACACGAGAAACATCAAATAACAAAACAGTTTAAAAAAATTCAGCCCATTAAAATCATTACCTAGCTGCAGCATGTGCAGTGTCAAATCCCCCTATATAAATCAAACATACAAATTCATGAAAACAAGTCATATCAGCAACTAAGCACAAACACATTAATGACTTGCTTTCTGGCGGAAGTAATAAACAAAAGTGCAACTAAACTCACAGATTACATTTCCTTACCCAAATACACTTGCTTCCCACAGTCCCTGTTACAAACACAAACAAGGCATTAAAAAAACCCCAAAATAATGTATTACAAATAAAATCATAGGCACAAATTATTCTAAATTCAATTCCAAGTAATAATTTGCAAAGAATCAATATGCTCTCAGAAATTTCACTACCAAATATACATACAAAATAAATAATGTAGACTAAATCATACAAAAATGAACGAAATATTCCAAGAAATTGTTCCATATACTAACCAAATATGCGATTCCCATCTTCCCGTTCTCCGATAAAACGTAACACCTCGATATTGCGAGCTCCGAGACCTCGGTCCCCTCCGACTCTTCTTCACCTGTCGTGGCACGATCCTCTGCTCCGGCAAACCACCGTAATTCCCCTCCTTAAACGAATGATCCAACCACGGACGCTGCGAAGAAGACGCCTCTCCGCCTCCACTCGGCGGAAAAAGCTGCTGCGCGACAAAACCTGACCTAACGCTCCGATTCTCATCGTCTTCACCTTGATTACAATCTATATTGCCTTTCAGCACATTGAAGTTATACTCAATGGCATAGCTGTTGCGATGATTGGCGTGAGTAGAGCAAGAGTCCTCATCGCCGCCGAAGCTGGTGGTTTCCGCATTGACGACGGAGGAATTGGAGGTGGCGGAACAGTCCATTTGGCCGCCGGAAAATTCCAGAAACTTCTCCTTAACCATTTCCAGTCCATCTGAGGCTGAATCAGTCGAAGCAACACTCAGATTGAGGTCTAACATCTCTCCGCTCCTCAATTCTTATCAAATCCCTAGCTATCACGCAGCAATATAGTCTATATATGAACACAAAACACAATCGGATCAAAATACACTAAAGAGACTGAAATTTTATAGGAAATTATGAGTTTGATAAACAAATTCCAGAGAGAGAATCGAACGAATTGTATGAAAGAGAAACAAGGATCAAACTAACAAAAGAAGAAACGAACAAAAACATGCTTAAATATATATATATATATATATATAGAGAGAGAGAGATATATAGAGAGAGAGCTACGATATGATTACGGTTGGGAAGAGTGGAAGCATTATTTTTATCAGTTTAGTGAGAGAGAAGAGAGATTTATAATGGAAAGTAGAAATCGGTTACCGACGAGAAGAGGAATCCCGGCCGGCTGTCGGGACTCAGGTAGAGAGAGAAACAGTTGTAGAGAGAGAAAGTCGGACGTTTTTTGTGTGTGCTGGTGTCTGCTCCCGGAGTAAACAACAAAGAGGGAGAGAGTATTTTAAGTTAGTGGCGCGTGGGGGAACGCACGAGTCACGTGAGAGACAACTGCAAACTAGCCCTTGAACTTTCACACATTTCTAAATTGTTCCAAAAAAATTATTCCCAATAATTTCCAAAGCTTACCCTATTCAAACCAGCGTAACTCAATGATTAAGGGGGTAGTCTGAGCCCATAGCCCTTTAGTGATAGCTCGTCTGCCTTATTCCATAGAGGATACAGATGGAAGTGAATATATGATTTATGTATTAGTTGTACCTAATCACCTATAAAAGAGTATAAGAACCACAAAAAAAAAAAAGAAAAAAAAAAGAGGTTCTTTTAGCAACATCATGACAAGAGAGTATTAGTAATTTTATTTTATTTTATTTTTTGGATAAAAGTTCACAAGATTTCTTACAAAATCATTCTTATACACTAGGATAATATTTTTCCCCTCAAGAAAATAGAGGAGAATAATATTCACAATCTACTTCTTCTTTTTTTCTTCAATTGAACTTTTTAATAAATAAAATTATTAATGAACTCTATAAAACGTGAAATGTAAATTTTTTGAATAATCGTAGAGAATGTGTTTCGATAGGATAATTATTTCATTTTTTATTTTTTTTATTTTTTTATATATAGAAAAAGAAGAGTACAAGCACTCATCTCTCATTTCTGAAAAGAGATCAAAGTTTTAAAAAATGGATTTTTGTTAACGTTTTTGTTTTGGGGTTTACCAAAACATAAAAAGGAGGTTTGGGGTTTTTTTAACTGTAGATGATGGATCAAAATTAAAGGAATGAGTGACTTGAGTGTGACTACACATTTTTAACTTTTAAGTGGGGGGTTGTGGGACCACCCGCTAATAAGCCTATGACGACTGACACTCCACGCTCCACTCCATCGCGCGTGCTGTTTTGCATCTGCAGTAAGGAGATAAGGGAGAAAAATGTATGACAAATCCTGTTCACATAGTCACATTCTGAATTGTTGTAGCATCAGTATGAGTGGCTCTTACTACTTTTCAACAGTTCTGTCGATTCAAATTAGCAACTCTAATGCCACCAAAAAGATTGTGTCATTTTATGTTTAATTATGGTGATAATGCATATATATATATATATATATATATTTATATGTTTTAAGGTCGGTTGAAACGATGGACATCAATTTACGTATGGACCTCTCTTGGTGGTGGAGTTTCTTTGCTCCTTGTCGAATTCATACGTGAATTGAAACGTTTTATAGTAAACTCCAATTGAATTTGTTTTCCGGTAAAAATTCACTCCAATTAATCGCCAAATCAAGGGGACTTTATGCAATTTCATTGATTATATTTTAACAATAAGTAAAAAAAGTAATCCCCTCTATTAGTTAAAAGGGGTTTTTGGTGAATTTTTTTTTTTTAAAGGGAGGTTTATTGTAAAATTTGAAAGGGGTTTAATACAATTAGAAGCTTATTCCATACATTATGAAGATTATTGAAATGCTGACTTTTAAATTGATCTTACTTACACATAAAAGGTATTCTCAAACGGTGCATGCCAACATCATGGTATGTCCGACTCATTCGATATCTACTGAGAGTGAGACTATATCAAACGGTGAGAAAAGAAAACTCACATGAATTCGAATGATAGTATTGTCTTATGCTCCTTCCGTCTCAAAAAAAAATCTTTTTTGAAAAATTGTGACTCACAAACGATACATATCAATAACATAATATGTCCGACTCATTTGATATGTGTTGATAGGGAGACTATGTCAAACGGTGAGAATAGAAAACTCATATGAACTCGAATGATAAAAGAGAAATAAAAAAATATTTGGTTGTATTCATCAAACACAAGGTTAATTAATTTCCAGTGACATCAACTCTGTGTGGGAGGAATGACACTGGTGGATGCACTTTTCATCATGTGTTAGCTTGAACCAACCGATTCATGAGACTCACCAACCAAAGACTACATTATAAAAGGTCGGACCCGCCATCGAACATCTTCAACCTCACTTCTCACTTTTCGCTTTAAATTTTGTTGAACTTTGCCAAAAACTTGCATAGTTACTCAATTGAAATATCCTACCCAAATCAAATCATTAACTGGTGAATACTATATACACACACATATATACATACATATACATACATATATATTTGGATAGAGACTTCAAATTTTTTCTGTTCATTTTGTGTGAAGACATAAACGTGTATCAAGTAAGTCTAAAAAGGGCTGAGTATGAAATACACGGTTTTTGTTATATGGTTTTGTGTTCATAAATCTTGTAATTATTAAAAAAATTCAGAAGATTGATCTCTACATTGAAAAGATAAAAGAAACAATGAGTCAACATAATACAAACCATGTCTACCAGATAGGAGCTTAACATTTTTTTTTTTGTTAAAAGACGAATGTTTTTGAATTGAGGGAAGTTTTTAAAAGTTGCAAAATTTGATGTAATATATGAACAAAATTGAACTAAGATCAAGTTGTAGATGGTCGGCTATATTAAAATCTCACTAACTAGTACTAGTTTAGCAAAACATATTGCCTTAATGTTTGTGTTATTTTACATGAATATATAACTCGAGGAAGTTGACATTATGATAAACAAAACCACATTGGTTCTTTGCATATGCATTGGATTCAAACCAAATCAAAATGAAATTAAAATTCCTTAGTGCTTCAAAGCTGGATTCAAGTCCACTTGTGAAAGTACCATAATAGCGCCAGATTTGGACAATTTGGTTGGTGGCTCCCACAGCATTATAAACCGTTGATATCTAGAGAAAAGATTATAAAATTCGGGACTATAAATAGCGTACTCTTGACCAATCAGGACACAGAAAAACTCCACGCGACAAGCAAATAATTTAAATATTATAAAATAAATCACGTAGTCCTGACCCATCAGGACACAAAAAGGCTTAACTACACAATTAGATATCATTACCACTGGGACTCTAAATAAAACACTATATCTCTGATTTGGTTTACAAATAAAATATCTAAAAAGGTATGGAATAATTTACAAATAAAATCGATTGTGTAATTCATTTGTCTAGAGTTTGATTAGACTCCACAGAATTTTAGATGGCCATTCAATATGTAATCATTCAATCCATTTATCAAAAGGTTTAGATGGCATTTCTATTTTGAAAGAAATTATTTTTGACAACTCCGAAGAAATCAAGGCACTTTGAGACTGCTATTATTTAGGATTAATTTCAATAACATCTTTTTAGATTAGACCAAATATCACTTTGAGATATCTTTTGAAAGTAGCTACCATTTAAGTCCATTTCTATTTTTCGGTGGTAAAAAAAATGAAAAAAAACAACTTTATTCAAACAAATCAATATTGGGTTTGAGGGTTTTGTGTGGATCAGCTAGAAGTATTCAAGGACGATTTATTATCAGATTTTTTATATGGGTCCATGTTAAGCCATCGGTTTTCAAAAGGTTCAGAACAGAGTCTAAAGGAGTAAGGACAACCCACGTTAGTTTAATAGGTAAGAGACTGTAAGAGATTGTGGGTCTGTTGAATTTGAACTTCTCAAGATGGGATCGACTGTTGAGGTTGAAAACAAAGATCCATGGCATGTAACTGAGGCTATATGCCACCGAAATTTTGTTATATGGGTGATTGATATATTCTATGCAAGTTTTATATACTTCGTTAGTTAAGAAATAAAATTAAGGTTTTGGAATTTGTTTATTTTTACATTTCTCTTAGAATCGATGATATTGGAAGAAACCATTATCGGTAACAATAGAATAGTAAGAGTTGCAAATTCCAAGAAAAAATAGAGGGGCGGTGGAGAGTTGCAAATTCCGGTGACAAGTTGACGAACCAATGATGGGTGTTGGGTTGGGATTGGGATTGTGTGGGAGGTGGTGGTGGAGGATTTCTGTGTGTATATCTATATATATATATATATATATGTATATATGTCTATGTGTGTAATGTGTATATATATATGTCTCTGTATATATATATATATATAATTTGAAAATTTACAACTTTTTAGGGTTAGTTGAACAAATTTAAAGCGTGATTAAGTTATTTTATGCCGTTTATTTTATGCCGTACGCTGCGTACCAGAACTGTTTAACTAACGGTTAGGGTCTTAGTGAAAAACGGAACAAAGATTTGTAACGTGAATGATACTTATTTTCAAAAGACGATTGAAGATAATATTTGATCAAACTGAGGAGGTGTTAGTGAAATTAACCCTTTTCTTAAAATACTTCTAAACTTTTGTTACAACATCCAAATTCAAAGAGACATCAAAACCTTCCGACTATTGAAAACTTCGTACAAATAAGTAAATCACTTGCCGTCCAAATAAGTAAATCACTTGCCGTCTTTTAGGAAATCAAACAGACCTTAAGTAAAGCTCACTTAATCCACCCTCACACTCTTTTATGCATTTCAATAACAATCACAAGATCAACTTTATAATTGGGCTTCTAGAGAATTAATGGCCTCGAAGTTTAAAAAGGCTCAGAAATGCAATCTACAGGGAAGTACATTTTCGTAATAATCCCCTCCAAGCAAACCAAATATGATTAAATTTAAAAAATAGCTCTTTCTTTTCCCAAAAAAAAAAATCAAACACCTTACCCGGAAAAAAGAAAAAAAACACAACTTCAAAGCCCAATAAATTCAATCAAGATAGATAGCAGAGAGAGAGAGAGAGAAAAAAAAAAAAAAAAAAAAAAAAATCAAATCTGACAAATCATCAGTTCCACCAACAAAAGATCTACCTAATTAGGAAAAGAACTAGACCAGCCCTCTAATCCTACATTAATAAACAGTAAATTATAAATGACAAACACTATAATGAACCTTTCAACTTGAAACAGAATTACGCAAAAACACAGCAGCAAAGTTTAAACCGACCCACCAAACTTTAACAGGACAGGGGAGAAAGAGTAAATAATCAAATCAAAAGGGCACTGAGCCAAAAAATATGGAACAAGTGCTAGAATCACTGGCAAACATAATGGAGTACGAATAATAATACTAAGGGAACAAATGCTCTGGACTCCAAGCATGCTGTAAAGGCATTTAATTGAGTCCACACAACAAACCAACTTTAAACAATCATTAAGAAACTAAAACCAATTTCAAGTAGCAAACCACAATGATAAATATTCAACTTCCGTTTTAACAAAATTGCTTCACCGGGACAGAAAAGGAGACACCATAACATGGAAGGTAATTGACTCAGCAGACGAACAAAGTAACTTATTCTAGTAATTTCCCTCCCATTGAATCTAATTAATGTCTTGAAATGCAAACAAAACACAAAGACAACACAAAAAGTAACCAAGGATTAACTAAATAGATTCTAAGAGAATTTCAGTAGCTTAAAATCAGATCATTGGGAGACACCCAACCACTTTGAGAAGTTCTCGAACTCGGTGTAATCGCTGTCTGAGATCATTGTCTGGTACCACGCCTTGCCACCAGCCCTAATTGAAGCCGCCTCCTCCTAACAAAGTGAAGGGAAAAATGAAACAAAAAGAGGTTAGCCCAATTTCAAAAAAATCCAGTTTCCTCGACACACAAAAATTATATAAATTTAAAAAACTTCTGACATTCATGAATAAGCCGAGTAAGAAAGGCCACTGAACCAACTACCAGGAAAATAGACAGTGAAGAAGTACGTGAAGGAATCTCTCCAACCATAGGTTGTGAAAATTAAAAGAATAAGACTCACAAGTATGAAATCCATTTAAAAGAGAGCAATAACAATACACCTTTGAAAAGTACATCAGATTGAAAAACTCATAATATCATTGATATTAGAAACAATTAATTTAAGGTGGTGTAGGAAAGTTGTTCAAAAGTTTAATGGCAGAAGGATGCAGCACTAATTCCTTCTTTTTTTTATAAAAAAAAAAGAAAAAGAAAAAGAAAAAGAAGAAGAAAAGAGATAACACATCACGGATTTGCCTGTAAAAAAGCCCTAGAACAGACGTGCAATCAAATGGCACCAATAAACATTGAGTGACACTCTGGGAAATGCTAATGATAAAACCTTTTTTGAAATAATACCAGTACCACCAGGTGGTGTCACAACATTTGTATGACATACAAGTAGAGCTATTTGACAATTACTATGCTTAAAAAACTAAATAACCACTTCTCCAGACTCCTGTAAATGCTCTTAATTTCAATAATTATAATAAAAAGTAGAGTATGTAATCCTCAAACAATTCAATGTAAAAATGAAAACAGTATACAATTAAAGTAAAATAAATTTTTTTTAAAAAAAAAAGTCTTTTATGGAATCTGTAGGAAAAAGTCTTTTATGGAACCTGTAGTGTTTTACATGTTCATCAGCTGCACAGTTAATGGTCTAGTCAATCTTTTCTAGTTGAGAAGCCGAATAGAAAACACTCCCATATTACTCAAAGTAACTTGTGTGTTTTTCTGCCTTTCTAAATTTGGTTAGGAGTTAACGTTCTTTTTTCATTGCACAGATAAACAAAAACAGACACATCTATGTGGATGTGGGTAAATATAGACCTAGTTTCTATGCATATTACCTGAAAAAAATGGATATTACACTAAATGTGCAGTATGCAAAAATTTTGATGGTACTATGAACTCACTGAGATTGTGATCTATATTTGTTAATTTAATGGGTAATCCTTATTATGGATCTTTTTAGAATAGTTATGCATTCAACTTTTGAAGATTTAGTGTTTCTTTATTTATATAAACATAAATTGAAATATTTATGGAGGAAAAAAAAAAATAACAAGTTTAATTGAATGAACATTCCTTAATTAAACTTGGCAATTTTCCACCATGACAGGCGACAGTCGCCCTGGACAATCGACCAATCACAACTTTGAAATAAATAGGACTCCTTTTCCCACCATTCTTCCTCTTTTCAGTTGAGTTTAGGGGTAAAAAAAATGGAATGAAAGATTAGGGTTTAACCAATTTATGGCACAGAGAGTAAAATTCCAAGAGAGAAAAAAAGGAAGAATGGTTGCTGTTCACAGCTGTTGTGATTTGTTTAGGCAAGTGTCTAGTGACAATCGCTAGGACTCTTCCCCGCCATTCACTTGTGCCACAAATTGGAATCTATCTTGTGACACAACTTGGAACAACCTAAACCCTATCCAATTTTTTTTAACCCTAAACTCAACCGAGCTATGTCAAGACCCTATAGCACTCCCAACAAGTCATTGGGGAAAACAACAATAAAGTACCCATTGAGAACTGAAGAAGGAAAAAATAACAAAAGAAAAAGAGCAAACTAAAGACCAAAGGGCATCTATCCCAATGGTATAATGGTAGAACCTCCCTCTTCACAAAGAAGAGTAGAAATGTTCTACCCCGCGTAAGCAAAAGTGTGTGTGAGTACTTACTTGATTGAAAAAAAATAAAAAGAGAAGAAACGTGAAATATGGTATGTTTTTTTCAGGTAAGTACTCACACACACTTTTGCCCATGCCCAGGCTCGAATCCCTCCCCCTCCTATAGGGAGCTTATACTATTGGGCTCGAGGCCCTTTGGTTATGCCATTTATATTTAAAAAATGGCATTGCCGATCAATTAAAGTTGTTTTTTTTTCATAAATACTATTTAGACGATTCTACTCAATCTTCAAAACTTGAATTCATTCACTAAACATCCGTAAATTTGATTGTGTGGCCATTAACTTAGCAAGCATGGATCACAACCTCACAAAGTTCATGGTAACTTCATACCGACCTAATATGCATATAACCATATGTCTGTGTATTTGTGCATTGAAGTAGTCCCTAGGGAGTCGGAAAAACATCACAACAGTTAACATTTCAATAATACTAGCATACAACTAACAAAAAACAAAGATAAAACAAGTCACTAACCTTTTACCAAAATTTATACAGGCATTTATACAACTAACACAAGTAATATATGCATGCATGTGTATTGTCGATCAATTATATTGCATTCCACACAACATTCACCAAGCATAACCATAACAAAAAGTAAAACCAAGCTAAAACCATTCGTTTCCCAGACAGTTATCGCATCTATTTAATACGAGAATTCAACAAGATGAAAAACCAAACACAGACATGCAACATACATTTCAGCATTCACAGGGAGACTAAGATACGTGAAAATATAACAAATTAATAAAAAAATGTGCAAGCATGCATTAAAAAAAACAAATTAAAAAGTACATGAAAATAGAATTAAGTATACCTTCGTGATTGGCTTTCTCTTCTTATCAAGCTTCTCCTTCTTTGCCTTCACGCGCTGAGCCTCAGCCAACAGCGCCATCCTCCTCGCGGTCTTTGCGTAGGGATTCAGCTTCAACATAGTATTAAGATTCTTCAGTGGGTTCTTCTTCATTGGAGCTCTCTTCACCTCCTTCTTGATCGGCCTCACAACCGACTGAACCTCATCGGAGTTGATAATCCTAGCCAGGTCCGCATTGACCATCTTCGACCTGGGCAACACATACCCCTTCTTCTTCAGGGACGTCTTCTCAAAGGACCCATAAATCGAATCCAATTTCTCAAATGCAGACTTGGTCCAGATAATAAATCTTCCCAAATGTCCTCCCGGAGCGAGCTTCAGAAGATTCAGACGATCAACGTTTGCAACCTCAACTCCAGGGATGTTCCTGAAGGCCTTCACAAGCTTCGAGCCCTCAGTGCCGTATACAATAAGAGGCCCTTTGCGAGAAATGTAGCGGCGATTGCGCATTTTCCCCTTACCAGGACGAATCGAGTGGCTTTCCTTTGCCTTCTCGACGTCGGTATAAGCTCCAATCTGCTTGAGGACTTTGATAGCGCCCGATGTCTTCTCGACACTCTCGACTGAATCGTTGATGACAAGGGGGATTTCAGGAACGGTTTCGATGCGGTGGCCACGGGCCATGACAAGGGAGGGGACAGCGGAGGCGGCGATGGCCGAAGCGACGGCATATCGCTTCTGGTTGATGTTGATCTTGCGGTGCCATTTTCTCCAGATCTTGGTGGGAGCGAACATTCGGCCACCGCGGCACATGTTACCGAAGGCACCCTGACCTGCGCGGTGGGTACCGCCGCCTGGGACACGGGGGATACGGGAAACAGCACGGCCGGTACCCCATGACTCGGCGGAGGTCTGGTGGCCGGCCTTCTTGGAGACGGCGTAGGGCTGGCGGTGGTTCTTGGAGATGTTGGCGTGGACGAAGTTGACTATGTCCGGTCGGATCGAGGACTTCATAACATCCGGCAAGGGGAGGGAGTTGGTGGCTCCATCCGTGGCCATGTCCGATTCGAGGTGGTGGACGGTGACGAGAGGGCGAGCTGCGGCCGACATTTTACGATTGTTTTGGTGGGGATGGGAGAGTGAGAGCTAGGGTTTTTGGGTTGGAGGTGAAATTAGGTTTTAGTGTGACGTGACATATATATAGAAGTGGGAATGAGGTTTAATTACGGATGCGCCATTGGGTTAAGTGGTGTTTGGTGATGGGTTCTAGACAAGGTCTAAATTTTTTAAAGGCAAGGCCCACCACAACACTGGCCTTTGGGAGGTGGACTACTGGTCGTTCATGTTCCTTTTTAACAGGCTTCAATTGGGCTTGTAAATTTTTGAGCTTCCATTTTTTTTTTCGAGAGCTTCCACTTGCTTGACTAAAAAATTGTCTTATAATTGAAATATATAAACATTATATATTAATATTAGTATATAAAATAATTAAACTAGTTGTAACGTTATATCTCTTTGCCTTCTAGAGCAAAAAAAATCCAAGGTTGAATATTTTTATAGACAAAAATATAAAGAGATTGGTCTACCTTGCAATAATTTTGTGATGCTATATTTAACCCTAACGAAGTCTTTGTGTGCACAAGTTCAAACTTATTTTACTATTCGAAAAAAAAAAATTCAAACTTATTTTGTTTCAACTTGTCTAATAAAATTTGACATAAATTAGTTCATTCTTAGAGCTCAAATTTTCTAATCAATGATTTGAAGGACTAACAAACAAAGATCTAGGCAGTCTCATTCATGGATCATGGATCATGGATCGAGGTTTAACCTCAAAAAGAAGAATGTAAGTTCATGGTAGAACCCTCTAATTATAACTTCTAATCCGCTCAGATGTGGTACATATCAAAAAGTATGAATAGGAGTAGACATGAACACAGTAATACGGTAGATATAAAAGAAAAAAAGTAAGATAAGGATACGAACCGGATACGTTAAAAAATAATAGTATGATATGTATGTATATATATATATATTATTTTTATTTTTATTTTTTTACCTTTTTATTCATATAATCTTAAATAAGATTACTAATTTGAAGTTTAGAATTAGATGTTTGTTATTTTTGTTTTCTTAAATTTTATATTATTTTTAAATTGCATTGAATCATATTCTTTTAAAAAATATAATTACAAATTCCTATTCTGAAAGTGTTCTAAATGTATCCATATTATGTCTCGATCGTGTCAAATTAGAAAATAAAATATTCAATAATTAGGTATCTAACACATCCATGTTGTGTTGTAATTGTGTCCAATCAGAAAATAAAATATTCAATAATCAGGTATCTAAGACATGTTCAAGCCGTGTATAGAAGTGTCCAAGTGTTCAATAGATCGTCAAAAAAAAAAAAAAAATGATATACATATATATATATATATATATATATATATATAATTTTATTTTACCATGAATATGTTTGTTATTTTTTTTTTCTTAAATTTTATATTATTTTAAAATTTCATTGAATCCTATTTTTTTAAAGAAAAAGTATAATTACACATCTATCATTGAATCGTTTTTTTTTTTTTGACCATACTACTTTAAGCCCAGCCCAAAAAAAATAAAAAAATAAAAAAATAGTAATGGTAACCCAGTCCAAAGTTAGTTTAGCCCAAAATTAATCCACCCCATTTAGAAAGGCTGGATTCACCCTTAGTTATCACTATCATGTCCGTATTTTGAAAGTGTCCAAAACATATTCATGTTGTGTCTTAGTCTTGCTCTTTCACAAAACAAAATATTCAGGTATCTAACAAGTGTTTGAGCCATATTTGTGTGTAAGGGAAGTGTCCAAATGTTCCATAATGACACAATCGCATAAGATAAATATCATGTTTTTTTTGAAAAAATTATTTGTTGTAATAGTCAACAATGATGTGGTGTAACGGACTACTACAAACACTTAACCAAAACATATATATCATTTTATTGTAGGTTCACCCTCTTTTGATAAAGTGTTTGTAATCGTTTGTTGCACCGTGCTTAACTTTTCACGCATTTGTTTGTTCGATTGAAATAAAAAATAAAAATAATAATAAAAATAAAAATAATAGACTTGTATACGCGTCAAAATGTGATATGGTACAGAGATACTCCACTTTCTCTATAAAATGGTGTGGATTAGAAGTTTGGGGCTGAAATTGTGATCAGAAGAAACGAAATGGACATTGGACTGCCACTTGGAAACATTACGTCGAACAGTTTGTTGTCGACTTCTTCAAGAAACCAAAAGCTTTTCAGACTCAGCTCTTCAAGAAGGGACTCCCAACCACCACCGCAACAAAACGGTGACAACGACGGCAACAACAAAAACAACACAGGTAGCTCTTTCTTGCCTTCTTCTGTCACACTGTCACACACACATATGTCAATTGCTTTATGTTCTTAATTTGTACATTTTCCATTTATTCTGATTATATAGAACTCCAATTTAGCTGCTGGATTAACCACTGATGCAATTCCCATAAAATGAAATTCTGACCGTCTGGCTGAACTACTTTGTAACCATTCAAAAAGTCTTCTATGTTTGTGAAATAATAATTGGTCATACGTTTTAGTGTGTGCATATATGTGTGTCTACACTCTTGGGAACATTAAGCATTCAAAGTTTGACTTGATTGTACTTGGAATTTCTGACTGAGAAAATTGCTGTTTTTTGCCACTCAAATATCCAAGTATGGGTTTTGTCAATAAATAAATAAAATAAAATAAGAGACTCCTGATAAAAGGTTGAATTGCTCTTCCTTGTATTGTAGTACTGACCATATTCTATAGGTCGAAGATTTTTCATTATATAGAAAAAATGGTGTTGTAGGATTTACAAGATTAAATTCTATTTCAGTTTTGTTTTTGGGTTTGTTTGGGATTCATTAGATTATGCCACGATCTATTGGAGAGGGTGTATAGTGGGGGCCCAAGCTCGTGACTCTTGGAGGGATACTCCTTTGTGCATTTGGTGGTGTCTATGGCTTGAAAGAAATAGGAGATCCTTTGAAGGAAAGGAAAATCATGTTGGGTCATTGAAATTTTCCATTCTTAACACCCTTTTTTGTTGGGTTTTAGGAAGAAATTGTAAATCATTGGATGAGCTTGTAGAGTTTTTGGATTTGTTGAGGGTTTAGAGGTCCTATTTGGCATTGTGCTGTTTTTGAGGGACACGTTCCTCTTTTGAACGTTTTTAATGAAATTTTACTTATAAAAAAAAAAAAAAAAAGGAAAAGTTATGGGTATATATGTTCATTCTTGTGCAATTTATGATTGTAAAGTTTTTCCCATCATTGATAAGAAAAAGGTCCAGACTTAAGCCACGTAGAATTCTTGCCTAAAGAACGTCAAACATTTTATTCTTTGTGTAGTCTCCCCGAGTATTTCATTTGACATACATAGGAATTTTTCCGCTCTCCCTGCTCCACTGCTTTTCTCTAATAGCTGATGCATTAACAGCATTCCAAATTCCAATTGGATGAAATCAAGCTCTTCAAGCTTGCTAGTTACTTGATTATGACAGTATTATTAAAACCTTCAAGTATCTTCTACAACAATATAAGAAATGCAAAGGAGACATAACCAAGCAACAACTAACTAAAGAAAAAGTGTAGTCTTCCCATTGGAGTAGTCTAGAGTAGATCATTGCAGGACTATAAAGGTGGAATTAGTGAATGCTTTGATGAATATGCTTGTATTTGTAGAAATGTTGAAGATGTGCTTAGGAAGGTGCTGGAAATGGTCGGTCCAATGTACGCTCCTTTTATGGTGTGGTTTTGATGAGGGCATTAAATATTTCTTTTGATTGGATTTTGGTGCACAACCACTCCTTCCATGGCCGCCTATTTTTAAGTATGGATGACAATATTGGAGGCGATTTTGATCATCAACAATTTGGTGCAGAGGAGCTAAATTCTTACAAAATGGCGTTCTATGTGCAAAAGGTAGAGGAAATTGTTAGCCATCTTTTGCTACATTTTAGGTAGCTAGGGAGCTATGGTTCCTTTTAAAGTTCCTATATCTTGTTATGCTAAGTATGGCAGGGGATTTTGTCAGGTTGGTCGGGATTTTGTTTGGTCACACATGAGGAAGCTGTAGGAATTAATCCTCTTATGGTGGTGCATCTACAAAAGGAGGAATCAATAGACTTATGAAGGAATAGTGCTTTCTACACACATTGATGCTGAACACTTCTTTTTCCCCTTGAGTTTCCCTTTCTCATTAGATTTGTTTGTTAAGTTCTTGGTCAATATGTACTTTTCAGCAACCAAAAAAAAAAAAAGTTCTTGGTCAATATGTATTTTGACTGGGGTCTACTCATGCAATATATACTAGAGGTTGGGTCTATTTTCAATCGTTCTCTTCTAACACCCAGTGGATGCGGTAATGACCTTATAGAAGAAGTATATCCTTATAAGGACGCATTCATTGTTATGGGAAAACTCTTCAATTCAGTTGATATTACAAAAGACAAGTGGATAACTATATCCTTACAAAAAAAAAACCATTGCGTCTTCGTCACTGCTTGAACTTAAATTTTATATTTCAAGTTTCAAGACATCACATAAATAAGCATTGATAGCCCCTAAGAAGTTTAAGAAAAAGCACACATAAAAGAAAGAAATTTTAGAAGATAGTTTGATTTCATGATGGGCCCCACAATCAAGTCCTAGGTTGTTTTGAGTGATGGTTGATATTTTCTTTAATTAATCTTCTGCTGATTTGTTATACTTTATGCTTCATTTAATTTCATGAATTAGGAGTACCTGGTAATCGTGATGTTTCTGCAGGAGGGTTGTGGTGGTGGTCTGTGGATTCTATTTATCGATTATGTTAAAACATTTCCAAGTCCATGGTTATGGAGTCCTAGTCCTATTAGAGTGGTGAGTTTTTAAAAGTCTCTATATATTTATGCAACTCTTTGATTCAATAAAGAATAAGTTTGTGAAAACTTTCATCAATCGGCGGATATGTTATTTGGGGATTGCATGATGTAGTTCTCACACCAAGGGTGATGCCTAAGGGACTCTAATAGGAGTGTTCCTGACTCTGTTATTTTCTTCTTATTCTCTTGATTTTATGTTCTTTATTATCTGTTAAAGCCCACAATTAAACCTTCTTAACCTATTTCTCTAGTCAAAATTCTATTTGTCAAGCTTAAACATTGTCTACTTTAATCGTTGAACCTCATCAGCCATAAAGAACATAAACCTACCCCTAGTTACTCTTCACTGCTCAAGGAAGGGCCCAAAGTTTTTGTCTTTCCTCGCTAACTCTGAAAGCTGTACCCCTTCTTACACCATAACAATCCCTAAAACCACATATTTCCAATGACATTCAGCTATAAGATACTACAATTTATCAGTCCTAAAAAATCACTTTAATGCCTCCCTATTTCAAATTTGGTACCATTGGTAGCTAGGAAAGGTTTTTTTTATGCACTTTCCTTCATCAACTATATCTCGCCATAACCTGGAAATACTCATCAAATCTCTTTCACAACCCTACTGAAATCCAAATATATTGGTTCACTGTGAGGATTTCACTTTGTATCAAACTTAAATTCTGAAAAGAAGAAAAAAAAAAAAAAAAGTGATTGAGTAGCCTGATAAACCTTGTGCCCTTTTCAGGAGGAGTTGCTTTTCCTTGATGTTAGGAGTCGCTAGACACTCACAGGACAGAGATACTGAAGTCCTTACAAAGCCAGTACCACAACTTAACCAAAAATATGAACCATGGATCTCTACCTCAACCCATGTTCAACAAATATTAGATTACCAGACTACTCTTGAATCTAAAATAGGAGAAAACATATATTGAAGTGACCAATGGCATCTCAACCTAAAAATAAACATGTTAGGAATTTTTTTATAACTGAATACCGCTACATAATATTCCAAGTGGATTTCGGTTAGAAACTGAATCAGTTTTCAATTTATTGTTGCTTCTCCTTTCGTTTCTTATGGACTCCATCACGGGTATATCATGAGAGTGCATATTCCATCACCTATGTAATTATAGCGTCTTTTGGTGTTCTTTTCATTCTTTCCTCATTCGGAGGGACTTCTTTAAAATGGGAATTGCAGTTATTTTTGTCTCATTGTACTTTGAGGGAACAGATTGGGGATTGATATCCAATTTCAAGTTCTCCTTCCATTTGGAGTTTAAGATTCCCTTCTTCAGGTGTTGATTTTATGATGTGTTACACAGGTTTAAAGCAATTTCAGTCTCATTGACATTCTTTGACTCTTCAAAAGTTCATCCCATCGGGGTCTTGTCCTGTCTTCATGTTTTTATGTTTCATCTTGTTTTTTATATTGTTGTAGTGCTTAGCTGAGCCTAAGCAATGGAACTGCTTTGCAAGGTAGGTGCTAATCATATGACCCTACGCGCGGGAATATATTGCCAAGCTCATGTTTATCTCATTATGACATTTGGAATATAAAATATCTTATCATGGTAGGAGAAGAAAGTGAATCCTACTTCCTTCAATTATGGAAAGGTTCGTGACTGAGAAAACACAACTTAGGTAATTCCTAGCATATTTATGTGTGGGCCATTAGGAGTTAGGACTAGCCAGCTTCCTCATCTTCCAATTATGAGAAACTTCCCACTCCCCCAAACACTTGCCTCAAATATGGTAGTTGTATCTGAAATTGTAATCCTTCAGTTTGGTGTTCGTGTTGTACTGTTTCTAGATTGTGCATCAGACATGTATATGAATAACAAGAATCAGAACAAGCATGCTCAACCATCAGTTCGAACTCAACTTACGTACCATAAATTTGCCGATTACGGTAACTGCATAGTTGAATAGGCTTGCATTAGTTGTTTGCTATGAGAGAGCTACTTTTGGGGCTTTCAACATGAAAAATAAATGTATACATTCTACTTGAGAGAGTCATCGATACATAAACTCTCAAAACTCACTCAAGTTAAAAGTTCTGGGCTACATAATCCAAGCCACTATCGTTCGACATTTGAGTCTTTACCTTTACCCTTCAAAACTAAAGGCTTTTTGTGCTGAAGACAACATTGCACACCTATGATAAGATTTCATCATCATCCTTGCATTATTCCCATATGATAAGATTTCTTATTAGCTTATGATCTCTTTTTGATCCCACAAATGTGGGATGCTGGGAGGGGGAAACCAAGTAAAGCATGAAAGGGAAATAGACGATGCCAATGTACAATCTAGAGTAATACATATGATATCAAGTTGAGGTTGCAAAGGCACTAATCTGTTATCATCTTATATTTCAATTAAATTTTCAAAGCAATTATGCTGTAATTATAGGCTTGTCTGCGGCATGCTTTTCATAATTCTCTTTGGAACAAAATGAACTGATACTTTTACTGCATGTTTGGTTCTTATTTATCGATGACATCTTACTTGTTTTAAGGTATTCACATTGCTTGCATGCGCTGTCCAAACGGAATAATAACTCTTGCTTGCATTGTTTATGTGCATTATCAGGAGGTGACAAATTCTCAACAGATTGGGACAAAGCCTGGTCAAGCTTCAAAAAGCAAGGGAAAAAGACATTCTTCTCTCAATTCTCTCCAAACAAGTATGTGAGCTGGAATCCTAGGCGTTCCAACTATCCGCTGTCTGAGGAGGTTGATCCCATCAAGAGAACAGAGAAATCAAACCTCATGTTATGGACCAGTCCAAGGTTCACTCTAGCAGTGGCCATTGTAATAGTCACATTTCTTTTGGTGTACACCATTCTTGCTCCAATTAAGTGAATTTTACTTGATTCGATATTATGGAGGTCCTGTGCTGTAAAGATTCGATAATGTTTCCAAGGAGATGGGCATAGAGGAGGGATTTTGTAAATTGTATATTAATGCTGCTACATCTATAAATAAATGCAGCTGATCATTGTTCTTCTTCTATCATCTCATCCCCCTCCAATTTTCTAGGGTTCTCTTTAGTGGCATGTAATTTCATTGCTTCACTGGAAATTTGGCAGTCATTGTTATATTAATAACATCCTGTAAAGATAATTTGTGATGGATGTCACCCATTAATATGTTGGTAGGAGACACTCGAATTTATTGGCTATTGAATTGGGAAAGGAACTGATGAATTTTAAGGATGCCAACAACTTTATATTGAAGATTTCTTCTCAAACAGATTGTCTGTTACTGATAAGGGTTTCGAACGGAATGTGCAGAGACACTCACTTGGCAAATGGGAGGTTCTAAAGTTTGGGTTATAATTTCTCCACTCTGTTCCATTTGAGGCTGGTGCTAGCTTGCTGTTTCCTTTTTCTTTTTCTTTTCCTTTTCGTTTTTTCTCCATAAAGGAGGAAGGTAATTTTCACCTTAGTAGCCTTTATTATTTTCTTCTTTTCTGTCACTAGGTGGTTCATCACTGTTTTTTACAATTTCTTTGTTGCTGATCTGAGGACTAATGGTAGCACTAGAAACAACTTTGGGGTAATCAGATTGGGTTGGTTGAAACCTTAATGGGGTACTTATCTTTCTTTTGCTATACATGATTTATTAGTTTACTGAAACGTGGCTCTAATACCTTTAATGTTTCCACTTTGTGTGTTCCCTTCTTCACCAGAGTCACCAGTTTGGCTTCTCTGCTATTCCCACCTAGGCCGTAGCTGAGCTTTATGGGAACATTGAATCTCGCATGGATTTGGAAAAACTCAGATATCGAGTCTTCAAATGGTAGTGTCGTTAGTTTGTCTGCTGATACAGCATTTGATGAAGTACATTGGGCAGCAGGTGACTTGACTTTGCTTTAAGCTTTTGATTCTTTAGCCAGGCATCACAATACTCTTATTACCTTGTATTTCAAAACATGTTCATTGCACATTGTTTAGTTATCCAACTGTGCTGTGGACCCAGATGCTACATCATGAATTGATCACTTACATGCGTGTGTGTCTTTATATATACATATATGTATATGTTATGCATGCATAGTCTGCATTATTGTGGAAGCCAGGTTTGCTTGGACTGAAGCACGTGAATAAAACAAGCTTCAAAATTATACAGATTGCAAAACTATTGGGGATGAAAAGATGTTTGTGTTCGGAAACGTGCTAGTTTTTAAAACTTTTCGAGGGATTTAAATTCATAGATCTTGATTCATCACATAGAGACAAGTTTTATGCAAAAAATAAAATAAAATATGATGTATTATTCAACTAAAAGATTGAATACTTACATCAAGGTTTGAGTAAACCTCAGATCTCTCCTCTAAAGTGAATGTTCTCACTTATTGTAGATCCCTTTTGCTACATGCATTCTCCTTGGATCTCCATCTTCTTGGTAATTGTTTTGCCTTTAGGAATCACTCATATGCCTCCATGAATGACCTTGGAAAACTAGGCTTGTGGGAGCCTCCATTAAATGAGAACATAAACCCTAATTTTCTAGAGAGAGAAAATTTATTCCTTTTTCCTTCTCATAAAAATCACACCCTAAAATATACATAGATCATGTATATTTATAGGCAACATAAAAATAAAGAAAAGGAAACAACAAATCCTTCTCCATCTCTAATTCATATGTCTCAAATCTAATATGATTCCAATATCAAGTTGGGCTATGAGTGAGAATCCATTGGGCCTATTATTTTATTGGCTACAATGAATTAATAATTGGCCCGGTCCATGGACCCAATTCAACTAATTCATAAATTAATTTCTACTCCACTAAAAGAAATTAATTGAACTCCAATTAAATAATAAATAACCTCTAAGTCAATATTGCACTTTGACCCCTCTATGCATAATTAGTTATCGGATAAATATAGCCATCAATCCGACTACTTAATTAATATATTTATTTTGTTACCTTTGATTATTTCTGGCTCGATCACAATAAAACATTTGTTTGACAAAAATAATAATTTAAATAAATAAATATATAATAAATCATTTTGTCTAAAAACACACGAAGGCCTTCGAATTTACTTTGTGATCAACCATAATCAATACAAAATAAATACAAGTAGCAATGATGCAAATATTGAAAATATAACCCTCTAACTATTAATTACATAACTACCCAAAGTGTCGGTCTAAGGATCCCGAAGAATCCGCCGAACAAATCAAAGTAATTATTAATTAATAAAAGAGTCTATACTTTTCTCATGCTTAAGAGTCAAATGCCAAGACGGTGATAGGGAGTAATTGCATACGACGGCTCTCGCAATATATCTCAACCTAACGCGGATCCAGTTCAAGTCTTAATTAATTATGAGTCCATCCATAATTACCGACTATGAACAATTTATAATTACTATTTATATATCATGCATTGATTGTCATCACATACATATATATGAATATTTCTTGTAATTAACTGGACACTATCAATTTCATAGTGAATCGAAACATAATACATTGAATTCACCAATTATATAAATCATAAATATTTCAGATATGTCAGGAACATATGTCAATACAATCCAGATAGGAATTTGCTATGCCAGGGCATATAAATCCCAACAGCTCCCACTTGCCCTCATAGCCAATTCAAATTGCACCTAACTCCAATGTTATCCAGATGATGATCAAAATTATTGATCAATGACACCTTTGATAATGGATCAACAAAGTTGTGTTCCAATGCAATGTTCTAGCTATAAGTACATTTTCTTGCCGGACAATATCATGTAGAACATGATACTTCCTATCAGTGTATTTTGTTCATCTATGGAACCTTGGGTAATTGGTTTGGACTACTTCTGCACTATTGTCGCAATATAGCTCGATAGGCAAGCTAGTATGCTCCACAACCTCTAAATCAGTGAGATCAAACCAATAGGCTTATATTGCCACTTTTAAGGCTGCAATATACACCACCTGCAGGTTTGAGTCAACAGTTGAAATCTGCTTGACAATCTACCAACTGATTTCCCTTCCATTAAGTGAACATACACTAAGTCATGAACCTCATAGTATCTACTTCTGATTGAAAATCAGAACTAGCATACCTGACTAGGACCATATCATCACATCCATAAATGGGTATGATGTCATTGATTCTCCTTAGGTACTTAATGATATTTTTCACAATAGACCAGTTGTCAAGTCCAGTATTGGACTGATCTCTACTGACTATCCCTACCATGTAGCGGATGTCTTGTTTGGTATAGACCATGGCATATATGAGACTCTCATTTGCCGAAACATATTGTTCCAGTCTCATTTGCTCAATCTCCTCTGCTAGTCTTGAAAAACTACTTACTAGAGAGAGCTATCCATATCAATAAAGCAAGAACTCATTCTTTGAGTTATGCATACCAAACCTGGTCAAAACTTTATCAATGTAGGATTATTAAGATAAGCCTATTTTCCTTTTAACCTGATCTTGCAAAAGCTTGATCCTAGGAATATAGCTTACATCTTGAAATTCCTTCATTTAAAAGTAATTGAACAACTACCTTTTAATTGATGACAAAACTTCCACGTCATTATAAATGAGTAGGATGTCATCAATATATAGAATTAAGAAAAATAATGACATTCCCTTGTACACTCATGATTTATTCACTAAGAAATCTTCTGGTATCTTTTTGTAGATTAACTTGCCTTCCATAGGAATCACCCTACTAGAAAGTTCTACAAGATCCCAGAATTTATTAGAATACATAGATTCCAACTCTGATTTCATAGTAACTCACCAAAACGATCTGTATCCACATCGGTTCACGCTTCCGTGTAGCTTACTGGGTCCAACTCATGTTTAACAGGGATGTCCATAATGGTCTCACCTAAAAACATGATTCTGTCGAATTGGATGATAATCCTCCCACTACATCAATGTACCGATGCAAGAATCTGTGTAGTAGATGATGCTAACGCATCAATAGGGAATTCATATATTATTCTCAATCTCTATAATAAGTGTGTTCACATGTGGTACATCTGGTACTCATACCAAATTCTCTAACATTATGCTACTAGGTATGTGATTCATAATATGATTCTCCTATAGATAAACAGTGAGTGAAAACAATCAACTTTTATCTTTGAGATCATAAAATAATCCATCCTAGTGACATTTAGAGTAGCTATCAAATCTAGCATGCCTATGATCTGCTTCCAACTTACTTGTCCATATCAAGCGCACATGTGCAAGACTACCCCATATGTGCATATGATTCAAACTAATATTTAGTCAAAAACACAGCTCAACGGTATCCTTGAGACAGACTAAGATGGAATGCAGTTCATAATGCGCATCGATGTCATTAACGCTAAACTCTTAAATGAAAGAGATAATGTGGCATTACTGATCATAGATCTAACCATGTTAAGTGGAATTCTGTTATTCCTATTTGACACCTAAATTAATTTAGCGTCAATTGCGGAAAACTGGTACACAACACCCTCATTGACCATATAGTCTTTGCACTATCCCAAGAAATACTCAAATACTCGATCAGATCGAAGTGTCTTGATAAGTTTACCTAATCTGAGCTCCACATCAGTCTTGACCCTCTCAGAATATACCAAAAGTATAAGACTTGTGTCGCAACAGGTAAATTTATCCAAAACGTGAGTAATCTTGATTGGATGTTCATAAGACTACACGTGTACGTGTGTACCGACTCCAATTGTTCTTTATGTCTATTTCATTTGGCTGATTAAGCCCTTAGAGTTATCTATCCTTCAAAACAAGATTCACAAGTTTGGTTTAGGCTCCTCTGCCTCACTAGGTAATAAACCTTCTTTAACCAATCTTTAAATCTCATTTTGATTGATTACAACCCAAAAATAGACACCAAAAATACAATGAGTCAGGAATAACAAATTTTCTCTTAACATTCAATCTAGAAGATGCAACATTAATTTCTACATCCTGCAAATCTTAAGAGCTTGTGATTATAGTATATTAACCATCTTTCAATACACCAGAAGCAATCACATATCTATTCAATTTTATAAAACCAGTTTTACAAAATAACGATCTAGTTTTTTTTTATAAGCCAAAAGTGAAATAAGAATGAGATTGCGTTTCACTTCTGTGCATAAAGATAGTTCTCTAATACTAATATCCTCATACTCTCTAATTTCAGATGTAATACTCCCACTGACTTAGTTACAACCTTGGCATCAGGTCAAAAGATAAATATATACACATATCATCAAGGCTTCTGGATTCTTGAAATCCTTACAATAAATTGCAAACATGTTTAGTGGCTCCAGAATCTATCCATCAGGAATCAATAGATACAACCACATAACATGGCTCAATGATTAAATATATATTTTCCTATGCCACGTCATTGCTTAGACAGTTTGTCCTTTAGTGTCTTAGTTAACGGCAAAAGAAACAGTTTCATTCGCCCTCCACATACACTGCCTTATTCCCTTTAACCTTTTAGATACCTATGTTTTGTGCTAGCCTAGTCCTATTATCATCCTTCTTCTTTGCTTTGCCCATCCACTTGGGCCTAGAAGAAGATAGTATAGACTAGGTTAGATTGATAGGAACGCCCATACTCTTGATTATCCCTTCTTCTGTTACCAATTCTATAAGAATATCAGCGAGTGTGAACTCAAACTGATTCCTTATTTAGTTCACTCTAACAGAGTCGAATGAGTTTGGTAACAAGGCAATAATCATGTCAACTTGAAACTTACCACCCAAGTCAGCCTTATTGATCTCCAGCTAATTTTTAAATAATAAACAATCATTTTCCAAAATTTGATTTCAAACTGGTATTCATCAGGCTATCTTGATGGTATTTAAATTTGACACAGTACTTAGGCATATGCTCTATCTAATCTCACCAAAATATCTCATTGACATTTAATATGATACTTGAAGAAAATAAAATAATACAAATGTTAGCTTTGGAGTATATTCGAGCTAAACTCTAGAATATTGCACCAAGTCATATCATTCGCCTTATCTAATTTATTAAAAGCATTAATGTCAAATTTGGTATCTCAAAGTAAAAGAGATAGGTATAGGAGTAATAAACACATTTTGTACCCTTACGTTGTGAATAAAATATCTAAGTTCATTTTCCAGTCATTATAAATAAGGTCCAATATCATAGAATATGTAAGCAAGTAGATAAACTGGATTAGACATAATTAATCTGAATATAAATGCATTCATACAATATGCAAGGTGAACTATTAATAATGTCATGCATATTTAAAATTAAAATGAGCTTGTTAACCACATAATACAATAAATCTCAATCGAATAGGAGATCATTATCATTATTGGTGAACAATCCCTTTTAATTAATGCGGGTCCCTCAACTCTGTAGTATAATAAATCAACCAATCAATATGTCAATAACTTATCCTGTTGGAGGAGTTCATTATTACTATTGTTGAGATTCATTTACTATTAGGTGAGCACTTCCATTAAAATAGTATGTGGGTCCCTTAACCACTGCATGAAAAATCGGACAACCAATACACCAATAACTTATTCGGTTGGCGAAGTTCATTATTGCTATTGGCAGGCAAATCCCATCATCTCCATATCTCTTAAGACAATGCCTTGTCTATCTATATGAAATGACTCCCGATTATGTTTAGCCTTTCTAAAATCACCTAGTGTAGACCACTCCGTTGGGGAGCTAACACTATTGATTTTAGATTGAGTGTATAACATTATTAATGCTCTAATGAAAAATAAAACATTAAATATGTTGTCATTATAATTTAGACTCTTTAAATCATGCGTAGGGCCTTATTTTTAAAGATCTAATTACAATGAACATTTAATATTTTTATTTTCATGAGACAACCATTCTTGTAATATTAAGACTCTTCAAATCATGCGTGGGGCCTTATTTTTGAAGATCTAATTACAATGGTTTTAATAACGAAGGCCATTGGGTAATGTATAAAAATCCCCGCTCCCACTCAATTTTTAGTCATTAATAATTAGGGTTTTCAATTTACATGATATAATGCATGCAAAACGTCTTGATTTTAATCCCATTAAATTTAGAAAATATTTGGACTTTAAACGATTCACTAATATTTAATTTGAAGCACACTTTAAAAATAATTTACAAAAATAATTTTTCGTTTCCCAATAAGTGCCCTCAAATTAATTAGTAATCTAATCCAATTAATTTTCATAATTTAATTAATATAAATCAAGCCATTTAAATAAATATCATGGATCCAATGCATGAACAATAATAATTAGCAATTAATTATTTCATGCATCACATACAACAATAAATGACAGATAAAGCAAATTAAATGGCCAATGGATTCAGCTTTTAACATTTAAAAACTATTCTTGCTGTACGGGCATCCTTCAACTGTCTGTAAACACCCATAGGAAGCTTGTACGCGTCAGGAGAAGCAAAACGCCGCTTAAAACGAGCCCGGAGGACCTTACACGTGCTGGCACGCGCCTAGGGCAAGCTGCACGTGCTCCCACGCGCTCCCACGCGCCGGCATGCGCCTGGGGCGCGTGGAATGCACACTCACGCGCTCCCACTCACCGCCGGCGAAGCTCCGGCCACCGGAAAAACGCCGGAAAAATTCCAAAAAATCCAAAAAAATGCCAGAAAATTAAATTAAGCCTCAAAAAATTCCAGAAAAATTCCAAAAAATTCCAGAAAATTACTGAAGCATAATTTAACCCTTTTGGACCTTCTTGAAGCTTCATAGCATCCTTTGATGAATATTACATGGCTTTAAAAATATTTACAACTTGAAATACAATGGAAAAAATAAATTACATCATTGAACTTTCAAACGGCTAAATCAAAGCCTTAATTACATTCATCCAAAGATAAAATTACATTCATTTAACCTATAAGCTTCATCCATGGCCCATCCATACATCATCATTCATTCACAATTATTCATACATCATTATATATCAATATATATCAACATATTAAATCATACATCAACATACATCAATAAAAATATATATGAATATAATTTTGGATCCATGAATGATGATTTTCATAAAATCATGATCTCTAGTAATGAATCAAACCATGCTCTGATACCACTGTTGGGAAACGTGCTAGTTTTTAAAACTTTTCGAGGGATTTAAATTCATAGATCTTGATTCATCACATAGAGACAAGTTTTATGCAAAAAATAAAATAAAATATGATGTATTATTCAACTAAAAGATTGAATACTTACATCAAGGTTTGAGTAAACCTCAGATCTCTCCTCTAAAGTGAATGTTCTCACTTATTGTAGATCCCTTTTGCTAGATGCATTCTCCTTGGATCTCCATCTTCTTGGTAATTGTTTTGCCTTTAGGAATCACTCATATGCCTCCATGAATGACCTTGGAAAACTAGGCTTGTGGGAGCCTCCATTAAATGAGAACATAAACCCTAATTTTCTAGAGAGAGAAAATTTATTCCTTTTTCCTTCTCATAAAAATCACACCCTAAAATATACATAGATCATGTATATTTATAGGCAACATAAAAATAAAGAAAAGGAAACAACAAATCCTTCTCCATCTCTAATTCATATGTCTCAAATCTAATATGATTCCAATATCAAGTTGGGCTATGAGTGAGAATCCATTGGGCCTATTATTTTATTGGCTACAATGAATTAATAATTGGCCCGGTCCATGGACCCAATTCAACTAATTCATAAATTAATTTCTACTCCACTAAAAGAAATTAATTGAACTCCAATTAAATAATAAATAACCTCTAAGTCAATATTGCACTTTGACCCCTCTATGCATAATTAGTTATCGGATAAATATAGCCATCAATCCGACTACTTAATTAATATATTTATTTTGGTACCTTTGATTATTTCTGGCTCGATCACAATAAAACATTTGTTTGACAAAAATAATAATTTAAATAAATAAATATATAATAAATCATTTTGTCTAAAAACACACGAAGGCCTTCGAATTTACTTTGTGATCAACCATAATCAATACAAAATAAATACAAGTAGCAATGATGCAAATATTGAAAATATAACCCTCTAACTATTAATTACATAACTACCCAAAGTGTCGGTCTAAGGATCCCGAAGAATCCGCCGAACAAATCAAAGTAATTATTAATTAATAAAAGAGTCTATACTTTTCTCATGCTTAAGAGTCAAATGCCAAGACGGTGATAGGGAGTAATTGCATACGACGGCTCTCGCAATATATCTCAACCTAACGCGGATCCAGTTCAAGTCTTAATTAATTATGAGTCCATCCATAATTACCGACTATGAACAATTTATAATTACTATTTATATATCATGCATTGATTGTCATCACATACATATATATGAATATTTCTTGTAATTAACTGGACACTATCAATTTCATAGTGAATCGAAACATAATACATTGAATTCACCAATTATATAAATCATAAATATTTCAGATATGTCAGGAACATATGTCAATACAATCCAGATAGGAATTTGCTATGCCAGGGCATATAAATCCCAACAGTTTGACATTTGACAACCATTATTCTTTTTCTTTTTTCTTTTTTTGGGTTCCATTTTCTCGCAAACAGCTAGGTGCTATTTTATGTGAGGCCTTGTGAGACTAAGGAATTGGCTGATACCCCCACAGCAATTATATATACCCCTCTAGTCTCTCCCCTACATCTGCTCCTCTCCCACACTAAGACCTTTTGGATTCGAAAGTTCTTTCTTTCTTCTCCTATCATTTTGAGGTCGCTCTGTTTCTTTGCAGAGCTTCCCAGTTCAGCAGCAATGGCCAGTGCCAGCGGATCTGAAGGTCCCCAGAAGGAGCAGAACGTAATGCTTCCTCCAAAGAGAGGCCAGATCAAAATTAAAATTTTTAACGGTTTTGTCAAGACGGTAAGCAACGTAGTTGAGAAGGCAACGGCAGTGGGAAAAGAAAAGATGAAAAAACAACGGGAGGTGAGAGCAGAGGAAGCTCCGCATCCACAATCCCTTTCCAAGGGGTAAACAATTCGTAAGGTCATTTCCCCAGCATAACCTTGTCCTTCACTGAATCAAGCTTGTTCGGTTCCTTCGCTGCTCACTTCTAAGCATGAGTTATAAGCTTAAGAAAGTTACATGTAACAGTGACCATATTATTCTCAACGTATGAATAGTTTTTCTCTCTCACCCTCTGTGTGTATCCCATAAATAAATGTTAGTGAAGTTGGCAGCATAAGTTTTAAAGTTAACCATGGATCTACTGAATTATTGATGTGGCTATAATTCCATATAGCTTCTGTTGTTGTAAATGTACCTCTATCCTTGTCATTTGTGCTAGTTTAAGAGGAAGAGATAATATATAATGAAACTGTGATTTCGAGTTGATCCAGATTTGTTCTCTCTTCTTCTTAACTCTATATAGCTTCTGTTGTTGTTAATGTATCTCTATCATTGTCATTTGTGCTAGTTTAAGAGGAAGGGATAACCTATGAAGAAACTGTGATTTCAGGTTGATCCAAATTTGTTCTCTTCTTCTTAATTCTATATAGCTTCTGCTGTTGTAAATGTATCTCTATCATTGTCATTTGTGATAGTTTCAGAGGAAGGGATAACCTATGATGAAACTGTGATTTCGGGATTTCAGGTTGATCCAAAATTGTTCTCTCGTCTTCTTCTTCCAATTTTTTTTTTTTTAATTTTTTTTTAGCAAATAATATTGTGAAATTCTGTTTGGATACTGATCATTGTGCACGAGTGTGGGATGATGAACACGCTGATAGGAAACTTGTGAAGAATTTATGTTTTAACTTGTTGCAGTTGAGGTGGCAGACCAAAAATGTCATGAGTGAGCATTTTTTCCACCTAAAAATACAGAGTTGTATGGCTACAATGGGTACATAAACTTTACATGTGGGGCAATTGCCTTTATTTTTGTCGGTAGACTTATCTATTTATTTTGACAAGTCTATTTTCTGTAGACTTGTAATTAGTTTTATCTTGGAAGAGTCCAGGTACTGAGGTTTGATTTGGTTGACTGAAGTTCAATTCTACTTTCATAAAGTTTTGCCTTTCAGAGAAGATGTTAACCATCCTGTGTTGAAACAGAGCATTATCCTTATATTTATGCTCCCCATTATATTTAATTATTTATGTTTCGCATTATTTTAGTCCCAAACTGCTGTGGACTTAAAATTATTATAAGTTTAATTCTTGGTTGGTTGAATGAAATTTTAGACTACTTTTCTACAGCTGTTTATACTCTGGCTCTGGCCATCTTCTGTTGAAAGTGGAAACAGAACATTGTTGTTATGTTTTGGTTCCCCAAGTACTTGACAATAATTGGGAGAATTTTATAACTCTTGAATTCAAATGGGGAAAGTAGTTCTAACTATTCTCATGGTCAAAATATTACAATTTGTACTGCATATTTTAAGGAGTTATCCTAATTTGTGCTGTTGAAAGCATTGTTTGAATACAAAGATTTGAATTTCTTTACATACATCATTTATCAAATTTGTTGGGGCCATTTCTTGGTTCATGGTAAAAACTCGTGAGCTACGTGAGTCTTCACTTGAAGATCACTTGATAGCGTCGGAACATTATCGTTATAATTATATTTCCCATTATATGTAATTATTTTTACTGTGGACTTAAAATATTCTTGGAAGTGTTAAGGTACTGAGGTTGGGTTCGTTGAATGAATTTTAGACTACTTTTAAGAATTTTGTTCCTTCCTGAAAAGATGTCCGGACCATCTTCTCTTGAAAGTTAGAACAATCATTATTGTTATATTTTGGTTTCTCATTTACTTGATCAATAATTGGTAGAATTTTACTCACTCTTGAATTCAAATGGTGAAAGTAGTTCTAATTGTTACATTGGTCAAAATATTACATTTTAGTGGCGGCATTGCAACAAAACTTTCTTGTTGCACTCGAAAGCATTGTTGAATACAAAGATTGAGTTTCTTTACCATATATGATTTATTAAATTTGATTGAGGCTTTTACTTGGTTCATGGTAAAAACTTGCGCTTATGACCTGACTCATCAATTCAGTTAATGACATAAGTGACGCCAAGTTCAATATTAGGAACAACTACTGTTGACTAAAATAATAGCAAATGCCTAAATTTGTCAAAGTTGATAATTCTACTCATTTTTGTAAGGCAAGCTTGGTGGTTGCTCTAATAAGTACATTTTATTTTGCTGAAGTCTATGTTACATAGAAAATCTACTTAATTTTTTTACTCTTATAAGAAATGCTTAGAGCTTGCAGTGAAATGAGGTATCAACAAGGACCGATTTAGTTTATAACTCTGAAAACAGTTAACTGTTGAAACCTAAAAACAGAAAATTGTACAAAAAAAAAAAAAAAAACTATGTTTGGTTTAATTTTTTGATAATTAAGTTATAAAAAAACCTATTTTTAAAAAACAATTTTTTATAATTCACTGAAAATAATTTTTTATTCTCTAAATTCTTGAAATCTATTTTTAAAGTTACAGCAAAATTTTTGTGAGAACTCAAATTTTTACTCTCAAATTTCAATTATGAAAATTCAACAACCTAAGAGTTGTCAAAAGACTCAAAATTGTCATTCAACACACAAATCTTCTGTTTCACCAAACATCTGGCTTTTCAACTCTTAAGATATGATACAAGATTTGGTTATCTTGATTGACACAATACTTAGTATTTGGGGGTAAAAGAAGACTTTTGCATACAGAGCATATTCACTGAATGTAAAGCAAAAACTTACATTGAATGGTAATCCATAGACCTCTCTAATTATGTGGAGTGATGGTGACCACAGGACCACCATGAATCATCGTGCCCTCTGCATAACATTTTGCCTATTCTTATATTAAGAAGTAGTAATAGCATCTTCAATGCAAAAAAAAATATTTTCGCTAAGTTAAAATTATATTTTGTCAGGTGTTATAGTGTCAAAATGCTACATTTAAGCAATTCTGCCCCAATAATACATTTCACTCAAAATGCTAATTTTTAATACAACCATTATTCTTTTTCAACTACTATTCATATTTGCATCAGTAATTTTAATATTAGACACATTCCAAGTCAAGTTGTAGACATTAGAAGGAAATCAAAATTAAACCTAATTAAAAAGAAGTACAAATCTAAAATATCTAGTCAAAAAAGGACAAAAAAACAAAACAAAACAAATTTTTTATAATTTTTTTACCACTATTTGTGAATTATTTTTTTATATAATTTTTTTTTTTTTAAAATTTATATATAATATATATGTATATTAATATACATATAGAGATGCGAATGGGTAATGACTGGTGAGAAACGACACTGTTTTGGAAAATGTGAGACTTGTCAAAAAAAATTTAGCAGCTGCTATATATGAGAAGAAATTTGAGAATCTCGAATTTTGAAAGCTCAAATAAGAGTCCATTGGAGAGGCCAACTCTCATATTTTGAGTTTGAGAGGCTCAAATGAGAGAGCATTAGAGTTGCTTAACACTTTTACATTTAACAACCCAACATCCTTTTGGAGTCAAGTTTCCACATACCCTAATTTTTTTTTTTTACCCATGTTATCAAATACTTACTATTTCAAAATCATATCACAAAAATTCCGAAAAAATACATGGTTTTTTTTTTTTTTTTTTTTTTTTTTTTTTTTTTAGAGTTAATCCAAACCAATCACTAGTGCATAGATAAATAAATATGTCAATTTTATTAAAATTTTTATTTACGTGTTAGCTACTAATTAAGCCTAAGAGGGAGAAAGAACGCGCAAACATGTGAGACACTGTCACATTGAGTGTGGGATCATCAAAGTTGTGGAGAATGGACACACTTAGGCACACGTGAAGAGGACAAAGCATTTATGGTGTTCTAGACTTCGTCTGATTTTCCGAACAATATTCACTGTAAATGACCAAGATCATACAGCCAAAACACTTCACATTTATGATGAACTTATAGCCCAAAATCATACATTGGCCATATAAGTATCTATGTGGTTACAGCAGTGGAGTCAGGATTAAGTTTTAGGGGGCATAGTGTATTTGACGAAGAGTAAAAAAATTCAATTAATATTAGAATTTTTTTTTGTTTTCACATCAAAAAAATCCAACTAACATCATATATATATATATATATATATATATTCAAATCAAAAGGCAAACAAAAAAACCATTCAATGCCAATATTGATTTATTGAACTAAAAAGGACACTTAAAATACTTGGCAAATATAAGAATCAAATATAGATTTTGATAATATTTCCACTTAATACCAAAATAAATATTTGCAAATTGGAACCATAGATTTTGAAATTCAAACCCAAAATGTTGACACACAACACAAAAAATCTGCATTCAACTGATATACATATACATGCAATATCTTACAAATTGTAATTTTTATTTTATTTTATTTTATATATTTACAAGGGATAATTCCAAAAAAATGGTGTTTTGGTGGTCAAATGCCAAAAAGGTGGTGTCAAACTCAAGTTTTCCAAATCAATGGAGTTTTATTAAATGCTGACTTGGACATGAAAATTTATTGTAAATTTTCTTTCGATTCCCAAATTGCCCATCCTATTATTGTTGTGAAATTATACAACTACCCCTTACCAACTTTACTAATTAAATTCACATTTATATATCTATATCTGGCCATTACATATCACCCTTTCTCTTTGATTTTTATTACTTTTGTTTATATATTTTTCCCCTGAATGTGTGATTTTTATTCAACAAATAAACTACATGAAAAAAAACCTTAGAAATAGGACCAAATGAACATAAATAGGAAGAATTAAAAAAATGTAATAAAATTAGTAATACAAACTATAATGAAATCATCAAATAATCAGCACATAGTCACACAATAGTAATGAATTTTCATAATAAAATAGGACAACTGACAATTAAAATTAATAGGACAGTTTTTTTTTTTTTTTTTTATAATTTTTTTATTACAACTAATAGGGCAGTTTCAAACAAGCAATTATGCATTCCCAAAAATCTAATTGGACAAATAGCTCGCCAATGTTGAATCAGCTCATGAATGGCGTGTCTGATGAATAGTTGTTCCCCTACCAAATTCGTACTTCTAGTCAATTTTTCACTTATAAAATATATATATATATACTCCCATCAATTTCTCATTGAAATTTCAACCCCTTTTTAGTATATAGTTGCAGTTACATATACACACATATATATTTTTGGTCTTATAATATTGTCATACTTTTACCTATTATTTTGACATATTTGTGAAATGTAGAACTTTTCTTCCAAGAATCCTCCAAGGAATCAATGGTTCTGCCAATCTAAGAGAGATGGAGAGAGAGAGAGGGCAATCAATTGAATGGGTAGTTGGGTTATTTCGCAATCGACAGTTTAGAAATTAAAAAAAGATTTACAGGAAATTTTCATGTCCATATCAGCATTTCATAATTCTCCACTAATTTGGAAAACTTAAGTTTGACTCCATTTTTTTAGGTATTTGACCACCAAAACACTATTTTTTTTAGAATTATCACTATTTACAATCAAAGTAAGATAAAAACTAAAATAAATGTGAATCATGTGAAATTCTTTAAAGAAATAAAAATAAAAAAAACTAACTAGGGTTTCTGATTCTTAATTGTATAAATAAAATAAAATAAAATAAAAACAAATTTTATGGGGAATAAGTGCAAATGGTTAATTCTTTCAATCTATCCTTTTGAGTTCTGACTGGTTATGTCTGGTGACTCAATCAGAGCATAAAGTTCCAAACCAAATTAGTGAGTAAGAGAATAGAGATTTGGACTCTGGAGGTTGTGAATGGATTTAAAGGTTTTTTTTTTTTTTTTTCTTAAAGCCGACGCAATTATAGTATAAAATAGTTAGTACAATAATGCAAATTAAATGGTTGAATATTTTGTTAAGTAAAATGATTAAATCATCCTCAATATATCATTAAATATTTTTTTGAGAGGGGCATATGTAAACTTTCAAAAAAATATGCACATAATAGAAATAATTTTTTTTTTTTTTTTAGGGGGCACACTGTCCTTCCGCCCCAGTGGTGGTGAACATGGACGGTGACATTAATAATGTGCTAATGGCCAAGATAGTTGGCTCACATTCATGGATTTTTAGTCATCCATATCATTATGCCTTTTGGGAACTTTGTTTTATATGTAAATTTATTTCAACGTTGTTGCGGATGACAAAAATGGTTTTGATTACGTACATTTCCGTATAGATTACTTATAAAGCATGTGTAAGCATGACATAAATAACTTTAAGGGTGTGTTTGGTAGGGTTGATTTGGAAGGATGGGGAGAGAAAAGAAAAAAAAAAGATAGAGTGTGAGTGTGTTTGGCTGAGTTAAGTGGAGAGAAAAGGGATAGAGTGTAAGTGTGTTTGGGCGAGTTAAGTGGAAATAAGGAGGAATAGCTATCCCTCCCTGTTTCTTATTTGGTTTCTCTCCCATTTTGAGAAAATGGAGAGAAAGAGAGTAGTGAAGTAGGTGGTATTTTGATAATACCAAAAATAGCCTCCACAAATCAACATACAAAAAAATTATTCCATTCAAGTCCCAATTATATAAAACTTCCTTGTTCTCACCACTCTCTCTTTCTCTCGTCCAATGGCGTCAATCTAAGTACCTATGTTATTCATTAACAACACTCAAACCAGAAAAGTTGGTTCTATGGTACCAGTATGTTACTTCCTTCAGGCCAAGATATTTCAATTTTTGCTGGTTTAGTTTGGTATTCCAAAATGGTGTTATGTAAAATCAAATCATGTTATAGAATGAAAATGATGAGAACAAACATATTCCTTTAAAAAAATTTAATTGTTGAAAAAACGTATTATTTTTTTTTTTTTGGGTTAATAGCAAACTTATGTAACATAGCTTAACTAGATCTCTTGACTTCTTGGTTTAGCTTATGCCAGTAGCTTTTTCACATAGCATAAGCTAAATCATGTATACTTAACAATTTGTGCTGGACACGTTTTCTATTTAGTTTTTTCGCTTTAATTTTAATTATTTTTTAGAGCATTCTTAATTTTGTTGCATTTTATATATTTATTTATTTATTTGTGTACCATTCTTATTTTCCAAGAAGGTTATGAGCTTGATTTGTTCTCTGTTTGAGATAAACTTTAAAAAAAATAAAAAAAATTAATTTGATTAAAAATATACGACTCACTTATGTATGAAGAACAGAAAATTGATCATCAACTGTGATTTTCTTTGGATTCTCTTTGTTGCTATTTACCGATCAAATAAAGACATCATGTTGCTATTTAAATGACGTTTTTGAGTTATTGGCTCTAACAAGTATTTTTAGGGACATTATGAAAGGAAGGGTAGGACAGTAATTTGTCATTATCCTTTTTTCTTTTTTCTTTTTAATCTTATCTAAATAAGAATAACTATCATTTCTTTTCTTTTATCCCCTATCTCTCCAAACATAAATAGAAATTATTATTATCATTTCATTCATTTTTCTCCTATGCATCCAAACGCACCCTAAGGGATAATCTAATGACCAACTTTCGTCTCCCATTCTAAAAGTTGAGAGTTCGAATTCTCTTATTAAAATCACTTCCAGAACCCAATGATAGATTACGAGCCACTCTACGAGGCCCGATACCATCATCATATAGGCGTGTTTTGATGAAAATCGTCAACAGAGTGTGCAAAAATGAACAATATCTACATGAATTGAGACGGATCGTGAAAAAATACAGAATAAATAAATAAATAAAATTGATAAATAAGATAAATAAATTTGATTAGGTACATGCCCGTATAGATTACGTTATTATAAACCACGTGTAAGGATGACTATGTGAACCCGTATAATCGTAGACAGTATTATACCATCTATGTTAAGAATAAACTCCATTTTATTGCAGTGTCTTATCTTATCTTAAGCATGACCAGACATGTTTACGTAAGACCAGTATTCGTACAGTAAAATATGTCTTTTGGTTGCTGTAGTGGAACTCATGTTATCAGAGTGTTTCACGTTGCCGTCAGTCTGCTTTTCATATTTCATTTGTGACCAAGGATATTTTTTTTACCGAAGTTACTACCTCAACAACATTAGCGTCCTTCCCTTATTTTTTTACCCATGTTTTGTTTAAGGGTGAACAAATAACTCGTAAATTCGTGAATTCAATCTGATTTATACAGATTGGATCAGATTGTTACACTCACAAATCGGTGGTAGGTTCAAAAAAGTTGAATCCGTAATTCACGGATCGAATTACAAATTAGAGTGTTAAAATCCGATCCGATCAGTAAGATTTATATATGTATATTTAAATAATGTATTAGTTAATTTAATTGGTTATTGATAATTTAATAGACTCAAAATGTATTAGTTAATGATAACTTAAATATATAAATTAATGTTGATAAATTGAAATTTAATCTATTGGGTTATGGTTAAATATAAATAATACTGGACAATTTAAGAAAAACTCCAACCCGATTTGATCCGTCATTCCATGGATCCAATTCGATTCGTTATTCCATAAATCGGTGGCGGATTAAGATTTTTTTAATCCGTTAGGAGCGGATTGGATTAGGATTGATGCCTAATCTGATCAAATGTGTGGCCACCCTAATGTTTTCCTTTCTTTCTTTCTTTTTATTTTTATTATTGATTTTTACTTATTTATCTATGAATATGAATTACTCGATATTAGTTTAAATACCTTATGATATGCAAATGCAAAAAATTCTTGCTAACTGGTTTAAATACTATGAAATCAAAACAAGATCTTGTTTACGGTAGAAAGGGGGCTTTGAATGTGGGGAGCTGTTCTTAAATTATTTTTACAATGAATTGGGTATTTTAAATGTATGCAAGTCTTTTAAATTTATTATTATTAAATATTATATGAAACCAAAAATAGAAATAAGTAGATAAATTGTGAACATGAATGGAGGTGGAAGGAAACAATAAGGATGCAGAAAAACAAGACAAGTTTTGTAGAATGATGGTGCCGAGCAATTGAAGTGATGTGGACAGCACAAATGTCCTTGGAGCTGGGAGTGGGGACCCAACATTCACTAACCGGTCGGTAATCTGTGTGTGTGTGTCTCTCTCTCTATATTATATGCATATGGCAATGGTTGGTTGTATCGGATCCAATATGTGATTTTTTTTAAATTTGATATGCAATTTGTATTGGTTAATTTATATTGATTTTAAATCACAACCCATTACATCGTGACTGATATTGATACCACAACCATGATTGATGCTGTGAACTACTTGCTAATAATGTTAAGATAATACAATACTGACTTGTAAGTTTGGATGTAAAATATTTTTTTAAATATATATATATACATATATATTTGTTTTGAAAAAATATATTAAAAATTAACAAAAATAATTTACTCATCAATTTTTAGTAAGTTATTTTCGATGAATTCGATCTCAACCTCAACCTAGATCTTTGCCAAATACAATATATATATATATATATATATATATATATATATAATCTAAAACAAAAAAATATTTTCCAAAAATAATATTTTTAAAAAAACAAACAGATAAAGATGAAAATTATTGTTTGAAACTATGTTCGTACAATACTTTTTCCATTCTAAATCACTGTACTTTCTCCATTCTATATCAGAGCTAGTGCTAAGCTGTACTTCTTCCATTCTCTATGGAATCAGTGCTAAGCTGTATGTATCGATGACATGTAATGAAAATAAGGCCGACTTTATCATTTCTAATTGTTATTATGATCATTTTCTTATTAATTTGAGGACTTAGCAACAATGGCGTGCATAAGAAAAAAACCAAGTGCACCACTTACGAAAATTGACATGGTCCACAGGACCATTGAAGATGACAATGGAAGAAGGGAAAGACCAAGAATTAACATGGATATTCAATATATATACGTGTGTGTGTGTTTGATAACACGTGATTTGAGGAAATTGCTTTCTTCATCAGATTCAATCATGTAGAACAAACCACGCAGCAATAATGTTAATTATACTTTTATTATTGATGAGTAAGGAAACCAGAGTCAATAAACTAGTATCAACCAGCAGAAGTACAATAAGTTCCGAGCAACATGAACGGTATTGTATGGACCAAAAGGAAGTATGACAGATATATATGGGAGAATTCATTTCAATTGGAGAAGCATAATTATAAGTACCTTCAATTTCCCTCTTTGAAACTAACTTCAGTTGAAGTGGCTATAATTGATTACCATTGCCATGAACGAGCGCATCGATTCAGTACTCAAAATTGTACACTGCATCTCTCGTGATTAAGCATTCACGCCTGGCTCACTGATCTGAATTGACGTTTTTGACAAGCTTTCTTCCAGCTCATTTAACTCATCCATGTCCAACTCGTCATCGTCATCATCTTCAGGAAGAACTTCGGTATCACCAGCAGCCGATGTTGAGGAACTTGGTCCATCTGAAGCAGAATTCTTAGCAACCTGAAGTGGACGCCAGTCATTTCAGTTTATAAATTACAATGAATGCTAGCCACTACAAAAATAAATAAGTCCAATGATGTCAGACATTTAACAAGCCGAATAGTGTGGACAACCAAATAAACAAGCAAACCAGTACTTCTTGCAAAACCTGTTCTACAGCAGATTCAGCGCATATAAAAGGTAAAAGGAGGCACAAATCATATATCCTCAAATTAAGTAGCATTATTATCAGTATGGTTCCACAAATGGAGAATCTAACTACGCTCTAATTAGAATAATTGGGTTATGCAAATCTGCTATTTCCTACAACCAACAAAAGCAAACTGAATTAGCTACAACAAAGAAATTCCATTTTCTGAACTTTTGACTATGTTCACCTATTATGCCAACTTTTTACTATGGCAAGTCATAATCTATCATTTGAATGTTGCTTCTAAATCATTTAAATTTGAAAATAAACCTAAATTTGTCCAAGAATATTTCTTCTTCTATGTCCAATATATCCTACTTCGGCTGAGAAAGGCATATGCGGTATAACCCTTGAAAACAAAATATGAACCAATGCTTCTCCATCATCTAATCTTTATATGGCTGCAGAGGCGCAAAAATTGGTTTAAAGCAATGCAAAAGTAAATATTATTCTACTTGACCATGCCACCACTGCTAATAAAGTACCACAACAGCCTCAAATCATTAATATTCCCATTATTTCACATATAAATTTCAGCTTTTTTTTTTTTTAGCATATTATTACCTTTCATCACTATATTCTCTACATGTTGAGAAGATAACTCCTTTAATGGGTATAATCAACTTCACTGGTTGACATCTATTAACATTGCTCCACCATATCTCCTGAACAATCTGAATTTCTTAACCCATAGAGTCCTTGTCAAACGAACAAAAAATTTCTTTCCATCTGTGCTTTCAGTCCTGCTAAGCTTCATGTACACTTCTTCGTGCAAATCCCATTGTAAGAACTCCTTTCCAATTAAGTTGCATTATAGGTTAGTTCAAATTCATGGAGAAATGAACAATATAGTTGATCTAAAAAGACTAAGAACCCTTGGCCACAAGATGAACTCTACACATGCCAGCAGATTTTTAAGGTCAACAACCACCACTTAACATCTGAATGGTCTGTGCGCCCTTCCATCATTCAAACTTATCTTCTATGTCATCTCTGCTGATAGTTTTGAAATTCAAATAAACTGGTTAGGATAAGATAAGCTTTGAACAACTCTAGCTTATCAAATTAGTTTTCCTCTCTCTTGTCAGTCTATTTAAGGAAGTTATGTAATCAGAATTCCATGCAGCAAAAATTAATAAAAGATGCTTTTTATATTACGTATTTTCTCCTCATCTTTCTTGATGTTTTAATTCAAGTAGCCAAAAGGCAAACAGGTTTCTGATGAGTGATGGATGACCACAATATGAGCTTTAATATATGCTAAAATATTTCTCAGATTGACTTATCAAAAAATAAATAAAAATTCCCAGATTGGCCTCTAACTAGTACTATGGTTCTAGAATGAACTAAATACGGGCGCCGTTTAATGAAACCTTACTTATCAAAAAAGAATTTATTAATAGGTTCAAATGCATCATTTTTTCTAATGCTGTGTCTTGCACAACATTAGCTTATCCTTGGATACTAATGCTTTCTACATAGCACAAAGCAAAGAACTTGAAGCCAGAAAAGGCAGAAAAAAGATGATACAATGATGAAAAAGATGTAAGCGGAAAAATAATTTGACCTATTGTAGACGGACAATACTTGCCTACTCACCGGTGAGTAGGAAGCTTATACTCACCATGTATGTGGCGCAATGTTAAACTGACAAGTGTCCTTACATTTAAAATAATAAAAAATAAATAATTTGATAACTATTCGGGTTAAACCCAGATGAATCCGAACCAAATTCTAATTATCTCTCCTCTTCCTCTTTCTCACGCTTCCCTAATTTCAGGATTAATTCTTGCTCTTGTCCCGCTCCCTAACATGAATTTTGAATAATTGTTAATAATTTGTATGATTTGTTAGTGCTGTCCACCAATATTCTGGAACTCTTACTATTTGTGGTGCCAAGTACTTGCCATGTTAGTCAGTTCTCCGTTAAACAGTTTCCTATGAAGCTTGAAACTATTTTTCATTGACAAATTATTTTTTTATTTCATGCAACTGATTTCTGTGAAATAAAGTACTGGACTCTCATTGCATTTTAGTTAAACAACCTCAAATCTTCCTTCTCATATACAGATCATGAAAGAAAGAGAACTTATTGTGATAGCTTTATCTCTGTTGGTTCCTATATCTTGGTTCGCTAGATGAGAGGGAGAGGCAGATGAGAAAGAGGAAGCGTGAGGAAGAGGAGAGAGAATTAGAATTTGATTCGGATTCATTTGGGGTTTAACCTGAATAGTTATCAAATTATTTATTTTTTATTATTTTAAATGTAAGGGCACTTGTCAGTTTAACATTGCGCCACATACATGGTGAGTATAAGCTTCCTACTCACCGGTGAATAGGCAAGTATTGTCCATTGTAGACACCCCATTTTGCACCACTTTTGCAACTAAATTTAAATATTCATTCTCTAAATAAAAGAAGAACAAAACAAATAAAAACAAACAAAAACAGAAAAAAAATTAATAAGAGCCTTCTTTTCTTTAAATGTAAAAGGTGGCCATGTGGCCACCCTTCCTAACGTAAACTCCAACCAATGACAGGCGGCCACGTGGCCACCTGTCCTTTCATTTAATTCCTTGTCACAATTACATTCCCCCCTTTCAAATTCAGCTCACCCAGCCAAAATTTCACTCTCCTCGTCAATTCAACTCATGAGTATTATTCCCCACATTAATATCTTACTCTCTCTCTCTATCTCTCCATCATTTTTATTCTTTATTTCTTGTTATATTCCTTCTGCCCCTCCAATCTCACTCTATAAATAGACACTTGATCCTACCTAAACACGGACCCCAAAAACCCACTTTCACCAACACAAGGCTACTTGGCCCAACACCAATCCACCACCCTTGGTTCACCCTCTTCAATTTTCACACAGCCACACGCACAAGAATTAAATCAAACAAGACCCACTTGCACAGCTCCTGCTTTAGCCATTTTTAAAGCTCCATATTGGTAACAAATAATAAGAAGATCCATTCTCATTCTTTCATTATCAAAACAAGGCCACTACTCACAAAGAAGGAAAGACCCACTTCACTTTCACAAACACTTGCAAAACTCACTTTCTTAAACCCATTCATATTTCTCTCTCTAAAACCGTGGTGAAAGACCCATTTTGCTTACATTTTCTACCAGGTAAATTATACTCCAAAACACAAACTCATGCACACAGTTCCACATATAATAACACACACACACCATGCACACACTGTAACACACACGCACACACATGTTCCACTGTTTTTCTTTTCTTTTATTCTTTTTATTTCTTTTTAATTGTTATCTTCCTTTCACACATACTAAAACAAACACTCACACCAGCACATACACACACTTCTCTCATATCTATTATTCTTTTTATTTTTTAATTTTCCTTTGTCTCCCCTTTTACACACATACATTCCATGCACTCACCAACACACACACACCAGCACATATATACCCATTTTTTTTACCCTTTTCTTTTTGTTTTTCTTGTTTTCCTATGCACACTCACATCAGCACACACATATTTCACTTTTCTTTGCTCTCTTATTCATTTTTTTAATTTTTGTTCTTCATTTCACACACATCCATGATAAACTATAGAACACACACACATACCACAAACAATCCGTTTATTCTTTTTTGTTTCTTTCTTTTCTTCACACGTTCATGCATACACCCAGACAGACAAAGACACACACAAACATACTACCATGCATTTTCACTCCTCACTCGCACATTAGCACATTTTAGTGCCTAGACGGAAACGATTAAGCCTAGCATTGGTTTTTGTTGTATTTTCAGAAAGGCAGATATTTAATATATACATGTATGTCTTTTGTTGTGTCATTCTCACCCTACTAATGGGTTAACACTCTCCATTTTCCCCTGCTCTTCATTTCTACGCATCATTCATCTTTTCATAAAACTCTCATGTTTTTCATAAAAATAATATCCAAGTTAAGAAGAGATATGGTAAGAGAGGACCACAAATCAATTGCTTTCCCCCTAGAGTTACTGTATTTCTTCATTAAGTCAGACTTTTCAAAATTGCATCTTTTTTTTTCTGAAACTCGTGCATCATTAAAACTCCAAGAAGGCAAAAAACACAGTTTTCATGATTTTTAAAACCTAAATTTTCCATCAGATTGAGTAGTTAAATCTTTAATTATTTAATTCCAAATCCATCCGGTAGACATTAAAATACCCAGGTGCAAAAAGCAAAACCATTTTCTAAATATGACTGCAACTTTTTGAGAAATTTCAAAAGCATACGGAGACGGAAATATTATTTTAGAATTTGGTAACCGTAAAGTTTTGTGGATGTTTCAAGGGTGCCTAACACCTTCCCCTGGCATAATTGAACCCCCGATTACATGAAGCTACTATAACAAAAAGGGGTGTTTTCAAAAATTATTTTAAGAAATACTTCAAAAATCGTATTTTGTGAAAAATCTATTTTCAAGGTGAGCTAACACACCAAAACCCAATGTTAGATGGCAACTCCATGAATTTCTATGCAACGCCCTGCATCAAATCATTTTTGTTGCATTAAATCAACATTTTCATTTGCGTTGTTCCATTTTAAACTCACTTCCCAAATCACCCCATTAGAAATGCAGGTCGAAATCTGGGCGCGACACCTATGATGCCTACTAGAAGAAAAAAAATAATTAAAAAAAAAAAAAAAAAAAAAAAAAAAAAAAAAAAAAAAACAACTTATTCTAAGAACTACAAGGTAAATAAGAACCATCAACATTACACAAAAGCAAACAAGTTGAAGGGGATGCAATTAACAAATTCTGCGCAATAGATTCCTTGTCAAGGTGATTTCTTTGGCTTTTTTATTGTGGTAGTGTAAAACCTTGATGAAAGAAATATATCTACATGCTATCAGCAGTTATAAAAATGCTTTTCAAGGGCAATATTGATGGATTTAATAATTATTAGCATTGCATTGTTAGTCATGATGCATGAGCATGAGAAATTTGTGGGGTCTCCAAACCCCCTGAGCAATGCATAACAAAGAGACAGATGAAAGATTCACCTTCTGTTCAGTAGCATCCGATTGTTCCTCTCTTTGGTACTTTTCATAAGCCTCAGCATCATCCACGAACAGGCTAGAATTTGACAGGAACAGCTCACGGCCACTGGAATGGAAATCCATTTAGTAACTACTTCTGACAAACTACAACTGCATGTACATGCAAAAACAGATGCATAAACACACTCATAGGTGCAGAAGATGATACCTCATACGGTCATTCTTGGCCCTATCTGCCTTCTCTGCAGCCATGGAAGCATCTCTTGCTTCCATCTTTTTCTTCTTCCATTGAATGAACAACTCAGGAGTCATAGGAGTTGAAGTAGTTATTTTTGCACGCTAAGACCAAAGCAAATATTCCATTAGGAGAACTGTATGAAAAACATTACCATAATGACAACAATAATTATAGGGATGCATTCCAATGATCACCTGATTTTCAATCTCTTCCTCAATGGGTATCTTTTCACTCTCTTCTTCAATCAGAGCTTTCATTTGAGATTTTAAAATATATCCAGGAGGAAGAGCATGCCTGTAGTGGCAATCCTTACCACCATTTGGACAGACCCAAAACCAACCGTATTGTTTCTTCTCCACTGCTTCCAAGAAGTATTTACATACCTGCACATACGTTGAAGAACAATAAAAAAGTAATTTTATGTTTTATAAAGGACATGTGATGCAAGGCTAAAATATGTCTAACAGAATACGGACAAAATGATGCAAGGGAAATAATAATGAGCCATACAAATAAAGTCTTCTATGCAAAAATAATCCAGTTTTGCTTTATCTAAACCCAGAAATATCTTACAACATACATTATAAGGTTTATTTGACTCATTCTTACCTTCGATCTTCCACACCTTCAAAGCTTGCACTGATTAAGCCATAGTTTTTAAAGTCACATCCATGCCCCAAAATAACCCCTGGCTCATCAAGGCTCAGACAAAGCACCTCAACCTACTTCAGGCTTGGCCCATTCAGTCAAGCTCACATACCGCACCTTTTAGTAGGCTCCAGTCTCAAATAACGAAAAAAAAAAATGCCTTTAATTTTCATTCAATCTTAGTCTTTTCTTTAACTTAATGGCCATCAACTGATTTTTCTATATCATATCACGACCATTTGCGATGGATCATTTTGTTCGAAACTTATTCATGACCTTACAATTGACTAATTACTTCTAGTACTTGATTATTTATACTTGTGATTATAGCTTATGTTTAAAATCTAAATGATTGCAAGTTCTATTATTGAATACATATAAGGATATTTAATTTAGTTGATAAATGTACACACTGAAATGAAATGTGCACATTGATCTACCTAACCTTCTCAGTTGAAAGGCTATAAAAACCATTTGTAAATTGTTATGATGGACAATTCCTTCTTTTCAATTTATTGAGTTCATATTCATGTTTCAGAATCTTCTGTTCTAACTACATTTAAAATTTAAAATGTATTCATATTAACACATACTTTTATGCTCCAAGGGCCTTTTAGCCTTAAGCCTGTAATAACTACTATGAATCATATTGCACATTATTAACATTGTCATTATTCTTTATTGAAAATCTAGTAATTACAATAGCATTAGTCACTGTCACTATCAAAACGGTCACCCCACTTTTAGACGAACAAAATAACAAAATAATATGTCAGTTAGATTAAAAGTTGCCTGCCTGGTTCAGGTGTAAAATATATTTTCAATAAATATTCATTTTTGAAATTTCAAAATGCTTATGAAGCATTTCAATTAAATGAGGAAAACTTAGCAGCTTTTAACTAATGTCTTTCCAGTACCTGTGGGTACAAGAATATTCTTTGATCTCGGCAAATCCATTCATTTGAAAGACATATCCATAACTCTTCCTCAATGTGCCACTGGAGTTTTAGTGTTGATTTATAACATTTACGCCCATCATTTCATGTTTCTTTCGCCATAGTGCTCCTATGTTTCCCTCTGGATTCCCTTTCTAATACCAAATGATTTCCTCACTCCACATTTCCCATGCATTTTCTCTGTTATTGTATTTCCATTTCTGTTCTCGATGATGTTTCACAAATCCACTTCACATAATGGTAACCAAGATTTGACTAAAGGACTTATGTTAGCTTTGCAGCATACATGGACAAGATCAAATAGCCAGATAAGTGTGCAGTTACCACCGTATATATCAGAGAAAAGGTAAGTTTATAATTTATCAAATAATAAAATCAAGCAAGATCATAAATGCTTCTACTATTACACAATCAAACACAGAAATTAAACGATATTCTTAATTTTTTAATATATCTCCATGTAAGTGAAGTTTCCATAGACAACTAATGCCGGCATAAAAAAATGAGATTTTGCTCTGATTACATAATACAGATTGAATGCATATTTCAAACGAAAAACAAGTAAGAAAAAGGCAAGCACATTAATCCACCAACAGTCTTCAAGAACTGAATCTGAGATCGAAAACAATAAAAGACGTTGATGAAGAAGCTCACAATCTCAGTTGGTTTATTCTGCTTATACTCCGCTTTCTTGGACTCCACGACTTGCTCCAAAGTCTCTTGATCCCAATCTTCCATTGATTCTCTCTCTTTTCCCACAGGAAAAAAATAATAATAAAATAAAAGAAAAAGAAAAAAAAAGAAGGAGTATAATATATAACATTTAAATAAAGATATAATATAACAAATTAATAAAGCAAGATCTTTGTAACTAACCTTGATCGCGCTTATCACTATAGATATCAATCTTCTCGCCTTTCCTCTGCACATTCAAGTCATGCGAGAACTTGCACTTGAAACCCTTAGCACATTGGCCCGCTTTATAGAACTCACACAATATGGACTTTGGATCAACACCTAGCACAAAAAAAAGCCACCACAGAGTACATCAAACCTACATATGCATGTAATGGTTTCGTGCGGGCGCGCGCACACAGAGTAAAAAAGATCAAATACTCTGTTGTCTGTTTCCTTACCCAAGTAAATATATATATATATATATACATATTTTTTGACACTGCATGTGGATTGATTGACGCTAAGGCCTTAAATAGAGCGGAATGGAAACATGGGATTCATGTAGCCGACCCCAAATAATTGGGAAAAGGCTTGGTTGTTGTTGTTATTGTTGTTGTATATTCAAATTGTTTACACTAAAATTTATTTTCCTTCTCAGTTTCTTGTTTTACACAGAAGCTTTGAAAATCTACGAAGATTAAGAAAATTCCAGACAAGCTTATACAAGCATACACATGGATGCAAGTATAACATTGGCATACAAATATGCAAATATATAGGCATTGATATAAGTAAATATAAAATGCGTATGCATTTTTAAATGTGCCTGTATAGGTTACATATGCATGTATACACACACATACACATACGCCCATATGCACTAGGTGAAAGACCATGCACCTCTACTTGGCATGTATCCTGATTTCCTACAAGGACAATGGCTTCCGGGAACAGAGTACATAAATCATTTTTCAAGTCTTGTAAGCAAAAATTTTTCCCTCCACAAAAAATTTCTAAAACTACTAGCAAACATACTAAAAATGCTGAATACATTCTATGGAAAATTTTATACGTCAGAATAAACAGAGTGAAAATCAACTATAAATCTCCCCCAAACAAAAGACCAATCTTGACAATTACCAACTGGCACTTTGGGCTGACTAACAGCAACTTTGAACAAATCATTCAGCTCCTTCTCTTTTGCCTTCTCTTCTTCCTTCTTTTTCTGTTCATAAAAATAATCACATAATCAAATTTAATCAATTAATTAATTGATAAACCATATAACCATATTCATGGCACAGGCTTACACACAACACACATAAAGCAAGACTCTGAGATATACAAATATGAATATATAATTATAAACAATATATGGATTACTTACGTTTTTTTTACAAATTCAGATGATAAAAAAAAAAAAAAAAAAAAGGGTCACAGAGTATGCGTATATATATGTATGATATACAGATATAAAGTATGTGTATATAATTTGTTTGAGAGAAACAGAGAAATGGGACCTTGGCGGCGATTTTGGAGGAATCAGTTTTGGGTTGTACGTTTTTCTGGAGGCTCTGGACATATTTCTGGACATTTTTGCTCTTGTTCTTGTTCTTGAGACCGAATGTCTTGTCTTCGACGATCTTCTGCTTCTTCGCTAAATCGACTTTTGATTGCTGCTTCGGAGGCATCTCTGATTGTCATCAAACGCTTCGCACCTGCTCAGGTGCCCCGAAATCGAGCTGAATTGTATTAAAATTAGGGTTTTGTGTACCCGATTCTCAGTTTAATTTGATTTCTCAGAAGATAATTAGGGTTTTGAGAGGAAGATCGATGATCGAGCTGTGATTTGAATGTGTCTGATTCTTTCGATTAGAGAGAGTGCAAGAAGACAGACGGTTGTTTGTTTGGCAAAAACAAATGGAGGGGCTGCGTTCACTTTCGAGAAGGCACGTGTATGGTTGAATTACCCAAACTATCCTTCATACAGGTCAAAAGAATTAAATAATAATATTTTTTCTGAATTAAATAATAATAATAATAACTACATATAATCTCCTGCGTATATCATAAACATTTTTATTATACGGCGGGTAAAGTGAATTAAATCCCTTGAACTATTGGGATATTTGCAAGAAATCCCATAAATTATAAAAGTTGCAAAAAATTTCACTGAACTATTGGGGTATGTGCAAAAAATTCTCTGGAACTATATATTTTTTTACAGTTTACCCTATCAAAGCGAATTGATTGACTGAAAGGGACGAAGAAGCCGAGGAATTTGTTGCTGGGATCTGTGGGTCTCCTGTCATAGTTCCATCATAGCCGTTGCACCACTAGCCAGATCCGTCGGCCATATATATCGCATTTCTCTGCACCGTTGCGTCAGCCCATCGCCATCACCGCCTTGCCCGCCGTTCAGCTCACCTTGCTCGCCGGTCAATTTCACCGTCCATTCCAATCTCGCCGGCCCATTCCGCCATCTCCATAGCCGAGCACATCACCGTCCGTGTTTCGAGCACACAGCGGTCCATAGTTCACCGTCGAGCCCCCTTGAGCTCGCCGCCACCTCCACAGTTCATGGCCGAGTCAAGCTCTCATCACAGCCGAGTCCTCCGCGCACAAGCCGCCATCATTCGAGACCGAGCCATCCTGCCGACCTCGAATTTCTTTGGTCTCTTCTCTCTCTCTCTAACTCCCAGTTTTGGGTTGTGTTGGGTGAAAGGCATCTTTTGGCAGAAAAAAAAAAAGTAAGAAGTGTATAAGTTAAAACGACGCAGTGTACGTGTTATAAGGGTAAACTGGTCTTTCAAAATTTTCGGTACCGGAAGCTAATGTCATGGGGGTAAATTGCAACAAAATCATAATTCAGGGAGGTAAATTGCAACAAAATCATAGTTCAGGGGGGTTTCTTGCAAATGACTAATAGTTCAAGGGGGTAAATTGCAACAAAATCATAGTTCAGGGGTTTTTTTTATATTTCAGGAGGGTTTCTTGCAAATGACCAATAGTTCAGGAAGGTTTAATGCACTTTACAAATAACAAATAAATTGTTACTTCAGTTTTGGCCCTCAACAATTATTTTATTATTTTAAGCAGAAGCAACTAGTTAAGTAAAATATAAGCAAATCTAATTACTTTGTAAATTAATATTGCTAAGTTTAGCATATTCATCTCCTACTGAATGCTAATCATCAGTCAGGTATTGTCAATTTTAAATCGATTGAAAAGGTGACTTTTGAGAATAATAATAATTTATCTAATAAATCAATCATTACTTATAACTATATATATATATATATATATATATTTGATCATTTATAGTTTAAAATTTTAGATTTGCAGCTGACAAACAATAGAAGAATATGTATGTATGTAAAAAGAAGGGTTGTAAAAGTTTAATCATAGAAAAACATGTAAAAAGAAAGGTCCAAATAGTCATAACAAGGTTTCATCATTGGCCAATGGCAACCAATTATATCTGTATTGTTCAAAATTTTCGTTTTACTTTGGTTCTAAAACTTTTCAACTTTCATTGTAATTTGTTAGTATATTTTCTCTACTTTCTTTTAGTTTTTAGTTTGTCACTAGTTTTTCTTAAAAATAAAAAATTATTGTTGAATAATGAATATAATGTTATGACATTCAATTTTAATTAATCTATATCCATTTTGAACTAGAAAAATCTTGCATAAAACTATGCTATGACTTTGGAATTTTCGCCACAAAATAATTAATAGTACATGAAAATTAATCACTACATAAAATTTAGTTTTAAGTTGAAGATATTTAAATAATTTTACTTATATTTTTAAAACGACTACCCATTCAAATTATAGTTTAATAATTGATTAAAAAGTCTAAATTGCAAATAATAAGATTTTGAACATTTTGGATACTTAAATAAAAGGAATTATACAAAATTATCACTTCTAAATTATAATTGAGAATTTTTATTCTACTTTTAAAAGGGTGAAAATAGAAGATTGAGAAGTATGGTTGATGTGAAAAAACTATTCCCTGTTTGGGAGCTTTACGAAACCTTAAAAAAGTTTTTTTAAGTTTGAAATTTTCATTTAAAAAAATTTGTGATGTTTAGACTTTTTAAAAGAGTTAATTAACGGTTAGGAAACTCATTTTAGATTTTTGAAACCTCCTTTTAATAAATGTTTTTTTCTTTTTAGAATAAATTTATTATTTTACTAATTTGTCCATATACTTTTCATAGATTGACAAGACTGTCCTATATTCTTTCTTTGTCATTCCATCAATACCGTCACGACCTTCCACCACCACCATCGCCGCCATCACCATTGCCACCTTCCACCACATGCACCATCACCCTTCACTACCATTGCTACCAACTACTACTACCTTCCACCATTACCTTCAGCCATCGTGACCTTCCACCACTGTCACCTTCTACCACTGCCGCCACCGCCACCTTTCACCATTTTCACCACCATGACCTTTTACCACCACCACCATCGCCATCGCCACCTTTCGTGCTTCCACCATTACCACCGTTATGGGTGGCAATTCGTGTTCACGGGTCGTAATCGTGTCGTGTCGATTTAAGGTTATTCTACTAAATAGCTCAATTCGAACACGACCCGTTTAATAATCGTATCAGGAACTTTCAATACTAACTTGATCTGTTTATTAAATGGGTTACGCTTGTAACCCGTTTAATGACCTGTTTAATAAAATTTAATATTTTATTATTTAAATTATTAATAATACTCGATCAAACATTAAATACTAGAAAATATAATTTTCAATTCAATCAAATTACTAAATAGTCTCTAATCTACAAAATAATAAATTATAAGATACAAATTTAAATAGTTATTTTGAAACTTAAATAGAAATTTGCTTATGACACGTAAAATAATTAAATGGGTTGAATCCCTCAATCAAACATGACACGATTAACTAAACGGACTAATTACGTCGACCCATTTACAATCCGAACTCATTTAAGGTTAACCCAAACCCGTTTAACTCGTGTCAGTTTCAAGTCATGTTTGTGGGTCATGTCAAACTTTGCCACCCCTAACCACGACTACCGCCACCCTTAATCACGTCCTTTCATCACCACCGGCATCGTCACATTTCACCACCATCGCTAGGGATGGCAAATTCCCCGTCCCCACCCTATTTATATCGGGGATGGAGACCCTTTTATGTAAACGGGGATGGGGATGGAGGTAAATTTTGAAAACCCACCCTGCTCCGCACCGATTAAGTATTAAATTACTATAACCTTACATTTAATAATTTATTACTAAATTAGATTTATTATATATATAAAAATAAGAAAAATTATGTTTTATTTAAAAATAATATATGTTAATCGGGGTCAGGGCAAGGGCCGGGGATGGGGATAAGAGGTCGGGGGCGGGGGCGGGTATGGGGGTGGTGGTGAAATTTTAAGCGGAGATGGGGATTGAAAAATTCAGCGGGAATGGAAATGGGGAATAAGATCCCCGCCCCGTCCCATTGCCATCCCTAACCATCGCAATTGCCTTTGACTACCACCACCACTAACAGCATTGCCATCGTCTTCCACCGTTGTCGTGTTTGCACTTTTTATTAGAGGCTTTCAATAATTGTCAAGGATAAATGATACTATTGTCAAAAAAAAAAAAAAAAAAAAAAAAAAAAATCAAAAAGTTAAAATAAATTGAAGAAATATTTTCGCCACACGTCTTTTTTCTTATAAAAGAAGGGCCTATCTTGTTGAAACTTGATAGAAGTTATATGAAAATAGTATTAGAATTTAATTTTCCATTATCTTCATTTATATAAATCCTCGACATGAGAATGAGAACTTAGAAAGATGAGAATAAGGAATCTAACAATATTGCAATTTGAGACCATTTATAGAATCCTATATTATACTGAGTCTTCTTGTGGGTAGACATCATTGTATTAATGTTTGAGGTAAAAAACTAATATCAATTATGAGATTATACGAGCTTAGAGAGGGGAGGATTACAACTTATATTTTGCGTTTGGAGAGCATAATGAATTTTTATCTCATTGTAATTTACTTTATAACCATTCCAACTTTGTGTATTAGATGTACGACACTGTCTCATAATTTCAGATTTGGAATCAGGAGGATTATGTTAAATTTGATCTAAGCACAATTTGTAATTAAGCAAAATGTCACTTCTAAGCATATTTGCAGGAATGTTATGAGTGATGGTTAGGAAGACGTGATTTCTAGTCTCTTCCAGTGTTGTGTAATGTAAAGTGTGAGTATCGAAGAATTTAATGTGGAAAATACTATAAAATAGGGACGACGCTTATAAATAGGTGAGGAGAGTTTAGAGAAAGGCAGGAAAGTATAATCTTTTCTGAGCAAAGAATTATTTACTGTTCTTGTTCATCAAGAAAAGAATTATTGAGTACATTTTTATAAAAGAATTATTGAGTATATTTTTTAATTTTAATGAACTCAAACTATTATTAATAGTGATTCCTTAATTTGATAGATGTTTCATACAATAATTCATACTTATTATTTTTCCAATGTTTGTTGTAAATTGATTTTACAAGATTTGATGTGGATCATTAGTGAGAATTATATAAATAGCAATTTAGTGTTCATGTTCAATAAACAATAAAATTGTGACTTAGTGAATCCATTTTTCACAAAACCTGGAATAAATTCCTAACTTTGTCAAGGATTAGGTTAGGGTTTTAAAATGTGTCGCGGAGAGCCTCCTTTATGCACCCCAATTGCTAGTTTTGCTACATTTCGATGAAGGAAAAAAATCATATTCCCTCGGTTTGATTTTCACACCCACCATAACACACAACACAATTTATTTCATTTATGTCCTAAATAAGATTGCGTTTTACATTTTTGGTTGGTAATTACCATAATTGGGGAGACTTGATAGCATTATTTAAGACAATAGAAGTTATTTAGATAATTTTTGACACTAAATTTGCAAATTGAGCTATTAGTTGTGCCGAAACCAGAGAACAATCTCTTAAAAAAAAACACTGGGTGGATGATTTTTGTTTGCTTCGCCAAAACAAGTTTTCAACTGAATCATCAATTTTCTGGGAGGATGAATTTTCTTTGATCCTGCTCCATCAATACAAGAAGGCGTGCTGCCACAAAATTATTGGAATAATGTCCGTATTACCATAATGATCAATGTACTGAATGTGACCAAATTTATATACAAATGATGAGTTATTGAAAATACATATTGGTGATGTTGAATGGAGAGCAGCCATGAAACCTTGCTGTTGAGACGTTGTCCTTCGCTGGTCGCGGGGTCTTTCTCCCCAGTAATAGTTGAGCTTTCCCCACCAACCATGAAATACTTAAATTATAAGCAGCCAGTATTTGTAACTCATACAACAGATTCAAATCCATAATAACCATGTCATGATGTGTCAGCCCTATTATACAACATGCTAACACTGTGTCACCTTAAGAGCAACATACTTTCAAGATAGATTCGATATCTGGATCATCCCCTGCTTCTTTATCCTAAAAAACAAAAACAAAAAAATGCAGTTGTAATTTAGATAAAATTGCAATATATTCCTGGCACTAGAGAATACAAGTTCAATAATGTAAAATCAAATTATCCCAAAAACACCAAAATGATGCTAAAAAAAATAGAAACGAGATCATTTGTTAAACTATCAAATGGCTATCTTTCAAAATAATTTATGAATGCTTTGACAAACCAAATAAAATGTATAATATCAGATAATCACAGGCCCTCCAGGATCCAAGCATTGTCCAACTAATGCTTTAATAATGCACGCATGTTAGAGTGTATTAGTTTGACAAATTAATCTAGGAATTAAAGTTTCGAATTGACCACAGCCACACCAAAGAATCAGCAAAGTTATCACTATAGAAGCCAAGACAATTAAGAAGGAAAGGAAAAGGAAAAAAAAAAAAAAAAAAAAACAGTGTCTAACCTTGTGGACATATGAGATGTTACTTTTCCCTGGACCCGCGACAATTATTCCACCTTGTTGCCTGAGAAAGTAACCAGTAAGCAGCTAATTTCACATGTTCTTTCAAGCATGATGAAAATAATAATAATAATAATAATAAGATAATTATATTCCACCCCACTTTCCTCCACTTGGACTTGACTTGAAATTTTTAATAAATAAATGACAAAATTACCCTCAAAAGTGGAGTTTATGGGTACTTTTTTTGAATAATTATAGGGAGTGTGACATGTAATTGGTGAAAAAGTGTTCAAATTATGCTAGGCAAAGTATGAAATGCAAACAATCAGCAAGTCTAGATCCATGTATCATAACCATATAATCATAATAAAAGTCTATGCAACAAGTTTCAACTGAAGTCACAAAATATCACTTGGTAAGGTTCACGGTTTATGTTCGGGCGGGTACAGGTTTGCTCAAGGTCAATTACATTGTAACTACCACTATTCGTACACTTTCTGAGTCATACAGAGATATCAATTGTTAGAGATTATGTTCTTGTTCCTTTTTGGTAGATCATGTTCTTTGAAATCACAAAAAATAAATAAATAAATAAATTGTTTGTTCCATAATTTTGCCCAATGGAAAGAAGACAAGTGGCGAATTTTGACAAGCTTACCATATTGGTTTAGTGTTCTAATAATTCAAGAATATGAGAATGTGACGTGGAATTGTTAAGATGGTATATTAATAGAAAAGAGTGACATGGCATGTCTCAATGGAACTTGCCATGTCAGAGTGTAATACTAATAAATATTCCTTTGGAATATTAATACTACGAGGAATTAAAAGGGAGTGGTGAGTCCCACTAGGACTTACCAAACTTGGGATATAATGTCCTAAAAGAATAAGAAGATTGCATGAGTTATTACCATGAGTGCAACCTCATGAGAAGGATAAAGTCAAAGATTTAGCCAACCAATAATTTATCAACACATGGCGAGCTTTATTAAACTTGCCACGGTAGATTAATTCTATTGGAATTTATTTGGAAGATCCTATTTTTATAGGATACCAATTAAATGGATATTCTCCATTTTTTAGACCAAAGTTGACCAAGTCACAAAAAGAGAACGTGGAGGCAGTATTATCTCCTTATTTTTAGGAGACAATCAGCAACTGCCCAAGCCAGGTCAACCTCTGTTGCTAAAAATCAGCAGGACGTGAGAATTCAGTTTATTTCTATAGATATATATATATACAAATATATATATCTAACCCACGATGGAGTGATTATCGTGAGTCCATGATGCCTTTAATTCTAATGAGGCAAGGTTGAAGAGAGATTGCTAGAATTAGGGAAGTGCACCACAACCATGACACCATGAAATAAATATGGAAGTTTCAGCCTAAAGTCCAGAAATCGTCGTCTGCAGAAAGAAAGGAAGTGGGTTGGATAAATTACCCACGATGGAGAAGTTGCTAAAATTAAGGAGGTTATGGCACCATGAACTCCAAAGCATAGAAGTAATCAAGATGGAAGTTACCAAAGTTTGAGAGATATGGACAGTTATATTGTTGGAATATTATTCACGATAAGAAGGTTACTAAAAGTTAGAAGCCACGACGCCATGAAAGTGAGGTCGTAACAGAAGGGAAAGACTACTAGAAGTCATGGGACACTTGGCCAAACAGGAATATGTCGGTTGAAAGTGGTGGAACTTCATAAGGAAACTACCACTAACCGAAGGAAGTTATTAAGGGTCATGGATGACAAGGCAACAACTGGTGAAATCGTGTCTGAAAGAAAGGGAAGAGGTTGACGACATGATGAAGAAGAACAAAGACGTGGGACACTTGCTAACTGACAAAGAGGACACGTAGGAATTCACTTTGAAACTACCCATGACACAAATTTGTTGAAGGCAAAAGAAAACGTGGTTGAAGTCTACAACAGAAGATGGATAAGATGGAAGAAGTTATAACTGTTGAGGAATCATGGGACACATGGCAGTCCGAAGTCATTCCACGTGGAAGCTGCTGAAGCTGCCACATCAAGCTGCTGCATGCATGGAAAGCTCTATAAATAGAGCACTTATGCTTCACTTGCAAACCTTGTTCAACACACACAACCAACAGCACTTTAATTACTTTACATTCATGTAATGCACTTTCAATATGTTTAATTCAAGTCTTGCACTTATTATTCCTACTTTCCAGCACTTTACTTTGAAGTCCTGCACTTTCAATACAGCTTTCCTTTCCACTAGCCATAGTTCAGTCCGAAAGTCCTTTTTCAAGGCAAAAAGAACCCTTGAAGGTGGTAATTCCAGTCCTTCATTCAATCGCCTAATCCCTACAATTTCCTACTGGATAGTTGTTCGGATATCCATTTTGGAACGACAGCAATTCCTGGCACGCTCGACGTTCAACCTCCTTTCCTAATTGGAAAGGACCACGGTTTTTAGGAGCCGAACATAAATCAATTAGTTTACATTAGCAGTAGACCATTATGGCCCATTTGCTTAGGTAATATTCTTTAAATAACTTAGACGTTTCATGGATAATGATTTCATCAGCACCATTGTTTTGCTAGCATGTCTAGGAAGGAAATCTAAGAAACAGGCTACCATAAACACATTCATTCAAGTAAACGCGTGGAATAAATGGAAATAGTGAAATTACTAGTGTTTGAGGTAAAGAAACGCTGCTTGAAGTTGTTAAAGGGCAATTATTTACCCTGTTGATTTTAGTGGCAAAATGTTTTGATGTCTATTTTGAAACACCATAAAACTAAGAGCAACTTTTAATCAATAAAGCCTTCTGTAAGTTTGTGTGGAAAAATACGAGTTAGTCTCTCCTTGATTAGTGGTAGGTTAGCACTAGAATTGTGTAAATATTTGTTTCCTAGAGTTTAGGGATTAGATTGATAGAGAATCAGGGATTCCTGATTATAGGGTTTTCAAAATTTAGTTAGTTGCTGATTTTTCTCTCTGTAATTTGTTATGTATAGCCCAACAGAGGCTCTTGTAAAAATATTAACAAATTCAATATAATTGAATTCATTTCACCACATGATATCAGAGCCGTAAGGCTTGGATTTCCTGAAGAAAAAAATTCAGCAGTTTTTTTTTTTGTTCAGGCCTTCATAGCCAATTTTCTCTGTGATTTGCCTTCATTGTAGTCATTCTCTGGCAATTTCTTTTGCCAATTTTCGCATAACCCTTCTGTCCGACCTTCATAGCCTATTGTTGAAGAATGTCAAAAACTACTGTTCAATCATCCCAATCACCAGAGGAATAGCAGGTTCAGCGCTCCACAAGTGAACTGCAGAATATTCAACCGGCGTACCGACGTAATGGAAGAAACTACTTGAAATGGTCTGAATTGGTTCGAACTTTTTTGAAAGGAAAAGGGAAATTAAGTCACTTGCTGGGAACGGGACCAAAGAAAGGTGATGCAGGTTTTAAAGCGTAGGGCGAGGATGACTCAATGGTCATGTCCTGGTTGTGGAATTCCATGACACCCGAAATCAGCGATACATGCATGTTCCTACCAACTGCAAAGGCCATCTGGGATGCTCTCAACCAGACTTACTCCAAGGTTCGTGATGCGGCGCAAGTATACGAGATCAAGACAAAGACAACGTCTACAAAACAGGGGAACAAGTCCACTACTGAGTATGCCAATTTTCTGCAAAAGCAGTGGCAAGAACTGAATTACTACTAGGTGATTGATTTGAAGTGCAGTGAGTGCGCTGTAATTATCAAAAATTTCATTGAAAAAGATCAAGTTTATGATTTTCTCGCTGGCCTAAACTCTGAATTTAATCAAGTTAGAATTCAAATTTTGGGCAAGGAGGAGGTACCATTTCTTAATGAGGTGATTTCATTGATTCGGGAAGAAAAGAGTCGGAGAGGAATCATGCTTGAACCTCAGTCGATTGACAGCTCAGCATTCGTAGCCTCTGGTGACAACAAGCAGGGTTTCACTCTAAAACAACCGCAAAATGCTGAACATGGAAAGGCGGAATTATCAAAGGGGGCAAACCGAGACAATCTCTGGTGTACATATTGTAAAAAGTCGCGACATACCAGGGATCGTTGCTGGAAATTACACGGGAAACCACCAACATCCAGCCGAGAATGGGGAAACAAAGGAGGACAGCAATAGCGACAACAAGGACAAGCCCATATGACCTCACAAGTCGGTCAAGACCAGACAAAAGAATATGGAGGATTCGACAGTAAAGAAATAGAGAAGTTAAGAAACCTGCTGGGATCCCTTGAGAAACCATCTTCTGGTGCTTGTTCTTTAGCCCTCTCGGGTGAGTCCTTATTCTCCCTTGGATTAAATGTTTCTGATAAATTATTTGTGGATACATGGATCATATACTCGGGAGCCACAGACCACATGACACATGCCTCAAACCAGTTCAGCACTTATACCCCATGTCCTAGCAATAGGAAAATCACTATTGCTGATGTAACCACAACCACGGTTGTGCTGGTGTAGGAGATATCCATATGTTACGTTTTATCCCTCTTACTGTGAATTTCAGGACCAGGATCGGGGAGAAGGATTGGATATGCTAAGGAAAAGGAAGGACTCTACTACCTTGAGACACCGAGCCTTCCGAGTATGATCAGGACAAATTTATCCTCTTCGTTTCTCTCTTTTTCCAATAAAGATGTCATATGGTTGCATCATTTTTGTCTCGGACATCCTTCTTTTGCAATTCTAAAAATCACGTATCCTTCTTTGTTTAAGGGATTAAATATTGGAACATTTCATTGTGATATTTATGAGTATGCAAAACACACTCGTGTAGCTTTTCCCATTAGCAATAAAATAAGTTCCTCCCCTTTCTATTTAATTCACAGTGATATATGGGGACCCTCCACAGTCCCAAATGTTTCTGATTCATAGTAATTTGTGTCCTTTATCAATGATTGCACTAGAGTTTCTTGGATATTTTTACTCAAAAACAAATTAGATGTGAGTAATATCTTTCTCAATTTCCATACAATGATCCGCAATCAGTTTGGTACCAAAATAAAGAGGTTTAGGTCTGATAATGCGAGGGATTACTTCAATCAAGTCTTGTCACCCTTCTTTCAAAAGGAAGGAATTATTCATGAGTCATCTTACATTAATACTCCACAACAAAACGGAGTAGCCGAAAGGAAAAACGGTCATCTCCTAAACACTACTAAAGCACTCTTGTTTCATCAAAATGTACTAAAACACTATTGGGGGGAAGCAGTACTTACATCTACCTACATCATAAACAAACTTCCTTCACAGGTTTTAGGGTCAAGAAGTCCAATGGAAGCCCTTTCTAAATTCTACCCCGACCTTAGTGCCACAAACAACCTTACCCCTAGGATATTTGGGTGCACTTCATTTGTTCATGTCTATAGCAACAACCGGGGCAAATTAGATCCTAGAGCCATTAAGTGTGTGTTTGTAGGATACTCATCCACACAAAAAGGTTAAAAATATTTTCATCCTCCTACCAGGAAACTCTATATCTCAACTGATGTCACATTTGCGGAAAGGAAACCGTATTTTATTGAACCTTATCTTCAGTGGGAGTCGTCTATCATGGAAGATAAGGATTTTTTCCAGCTCGCTTTACCGTCTTCGTCTCGTTCACCATCTCTCTTACCTGTATTAAACACTCAATCCAACTCAGTAGCTGAGCCTGAATCTCCTGTTTTGTCACCTATGTCCCCTGTGAAGGATAATATGACTCTTGATCACGTACGGTATAGGAAAGGGAAGGTGTACTCGAGGAAGCAAGGTCTAGCTCCTGATCCGGTGCAAGCCTAAACCTCCAACCTGACTCCTGAGAATGAGGTAACGGTATCTGAGCCTACTCCACTTTTAGAACACCAGCTCATTGGACCTCAAATAACTGACCAAGATTTGCCCATAGCCGTGAGGAAAGGAACTCGAGAGTGTACTAAACGACCATTATACCCTCTATCTCATTATGTATCCTTCAAGAAATTCTCACCAGCCCATAGGAGTTTTCTCACGAGTCTAAATGAAATCTCTATTCCAAACACTTTATTTGAGGCATTATCCAATGAAGAATGGAGGAAAGCAATGAGAGTTGAGATGGACGCATTGGAAAAAAATAGGACGTGGGAGGTGGTTGATCTACTAAAAGGAAAGAAGGTAATAGGGTGTAAGTGGGTTTTTACCTTGAAATATAAGGCTGATGGATCGTTAGAGTGCAACAAAGCAAGGCTAGTTGCTAAGGGGTACACTCAAACATATGGAGTTGATTACCAAGAGACCTTCACTCCAGTTGCAAAAATGAACACTATGAGGATCTTGTTGTCATTAGAAGCCAATTTTAATTGGGAATTACAGCAGTATGATGTGAAGAACGCCTTTCTACATAGTAACTTGGAAGAAGAAATCTATATGAGCATCCCGCCAGGATTTGGAGGAGTTGAAGGGAACAAGGTATGCAAGTTAAGGCCGGCCTTATACGGTTTAAAACAATCGCCCCGTGCTTGGTTTGGGAGATTTACTAAGGTGATGTTAGCTACAGGATACAAGGAGAGTCAGGGAGATCGCACTCTTTTCATCAAACACTCGGTTTCAGGGAAAGTCACAGCCTTGATAGTCTATGTGGACGACATAATTATTACTGGAAATGATAAGAAGGAGAAACAAGCCTTGAAACAATGTTTGATCAAAGAATTCGAGATAAAAGATTTGGGGAGATTGAAGTATTTTCTAGGGATAGAAGTGGCTCATTCTAGACAAGGTATCTTCATCTCGCAGCAAAAGTATGTCACCGATCTTCTCAAGGAAACAGGATTGCTCACAAGCAAACCAGCTGCAACACTTATAGAGCTGAACCATAAACTTGGAGAGGCTATTGGAGATCAAGCAGTAGATAGAGAGATCTACCAGAGATTAGTTGGAAAACTCATCTATCTTGCCCACACCCGGCCGAACATAGCATATTATGTTAGCGTCATCAGCTAATTCATGCATGACCCCAAGGAGATTCATCTTCAAGCTGCTTACCGTGTGCTTCATTACTTGAAAGCTAATCCTGGGAAGGGGATAATGTTCAAGAGAAACTTTGAGCTTGTCCTTGAAGCCTACACAGATGCAAATTACGTAGGGTCCCTATGGATCAGAGGTCTACTTCAGGTTATTATACATTCCTTGGAGGCAATTTGGTAACATAACGAAGCAAGAAGCAAAATGTTGTAGCCCAGTCAAGTGCAGAAGCCGAGTTTAGAGCAATGGCACAAGGTGTCTGTGAGTTGTTATGGCTGAAGATTATACTGGAAGACTTGAAGATTAAATGGAGTGGGCCAATGAGACTCTACTGTGACAATAAATCAGCAATCAACATTGCACATAATCTAGTGCAACACGACCGAACTAAGCACATCGAGATAGACAGGCATTTTATCAAGTAAAAACTAGAAAGCGGATTAATTTGCACACCATACGTTCCCATGGGAGGTCAAACGGCAGATGTTCTTACAAAGGGGCTCAACCGTGTTATCTTCCAAGAAATTATTTCCAAGCTGGGCATGGTTGACACCTATTCACCAGCTTGAGGGGGAGTGCGGAAAAATACGAGTTAGTCTCCTTGATTAGTGGTAGGTTAGCACTACAATTGTGTAAATATTTGTTTCCTAAAGTTTAAGGATTAGATTGATAGAGAATCAGGTATTCCTGATTATAGGGTTTTCAAAATTTAGTTAGTCGCTAATTTTTCTCTCTGTAATTTGTTATATATAGCCCAACAGAGGCTCTTGTAAAAATATTAACAGATTCAATATAATTGAATTCATTTCACCACAGTTTGTGTTTTACTTCTTTTGGTCAATGAAATGTTCCTTATCTATCTGAAATTATTTATTCCTTTCTAATGAATTAATCAGTGCAGTGTAGTACTAGAGGTTAATACCAAACTTTTCTTCTAAAAGGTGACAACTAGTGTATAAACATCATAACAATGCATTTATAAGATGGTGCACATACCATCCACCTCTTGTCCTGGTGTCCTTTTCAAAAGAAAGCCCCCAATCCTGTCGATAACCTTCCATGTACGCCTGTATTATCTTCAAACCTGCCTAGAATAATAAAGAGAGTAAACAAAAATATTAGAGCACAGTGAAAAGATCCAATTTATTTCAGAAACTTCATATTCTTAAGCTGATAATATTTGTATTCGCAACTGAAAAAAAAATGCATAATAAATATTTATAAACATGTACACGCAGATGATTCTTACATACCCCAGGAGTAAAGGTGGTTGAAACCCCAGAAACAAATCTCAATGCCTCATATGATGAGTAGCTGGGATCGGCATACACTTCTGAGACAAATAACAAGGTTCCATTACTATAACTTGTTGCTTTAATAAAATTTCATAGACAACTGATTTCCAGAAATACCAAAGCTCCAACAATTAGTTGATTCATTTCCTCACTTCTCTCTCTCTCTCGCTTTGCACTAATTGGTTACTTCATAAATGCAACAGAAGTTCTAGTTGATTATTGAACAGGTTCTTGCATATGCAGGGAACGCAAAGAAACATCTAAAGTACAGTGACCATACAAAATCTAATAGCAGGAAGGGCAAAAAAAAAAAGTGAAAATGGAAAACTTTCTACTTGACACCCTTCCAAAAGAAGGGAAAAAACCAAGATCTCCATGGAATGATTTCAGTATGCAAAAATAAATGTACAGGGATTTAGGCCAAGGCTTTTGCATATTACAAATCACATAGAACTCAAAAGAAAACACCCAGAATTGAGGCAAGGATTGTAGGCTTTTGTCCAACTCCCTTCGGTTGTGTGTTTCGGATAGGATCTTCCCTGTTGCTCAAGAATCAACAATTGCCCGACGCAAACCTAGACTGCAGTTGTTTTGACACTCTGTATGGTTTATAGGGGAATTTGGAAATCAACAAAATTCTTGGTATTATGTCCATGGAACAGGTGTCAGTGTGCACAAGCCAAAACAATATTTGCAAATTCACAAGCTGTAATTGTGGTTTACAAGCAAAGCTCGCTTAGTGCAAATGATTTATGATTCTTAGGTGGTTTTTAACCCGTGTGTGACCTCGGTGGTCACCCGAGATATCGGTTAGCTGCAGATATTTCTATAGACATAAGCTATCCATGTCATGACCACAAAAATCCCATTAATCTGCAGATTCTGCAATCTCACAGGTTAGGCATGCCTGTGTCATGACACGGTTTCCTGGTTTCCTGTCAGGCATGTATCATGCCAGACACTAATCGTGCATAATGGACTACGGATGTTTGAGGAGAGTTTTGTTTGCCGACTTGAATACTCCAGTAATCCTCAATTACATGTTGCCACAATATCATTTCACTGTTGAGAGGGTGGCTTAGGATCCATTGAGATGAGAAGCATCCCATTTTTTATCATGCCTCAGTGTGCATGTGAACGCAGTTAAAGTCCAGGGTAAGCATTCATTATCATCTCTGGATGTTCGAATCAAATATTGTTGTGTCCTATATGAACATTCAAGTTCATTTATATCTCAAAATGTTCACGTCCAAACATTACCATGCAACTTTATATGTACTTGAGTTTGCATATTGTACCCAGGCCAAGGGAAATGTGTCAGCATATATATTTACCCTGCCCCCACCAACTGAAAGAGCCAATGTTTATGGGTCTTAAAACTCAGAACTCCAGTCTCCAGCCTACATTTTTTTCCTTTTTCTTTTCATTATTGTTAGTTACTATCAATTTATTGTTGTCTTTGAGGTTTTCCTTAAACCACTGCACGTGTCTGTCATACTATCTGTGACCACCTCATGCTTCTCCCATAGAATCAATGTGGTGAGTGTTGGAAAATTAAGCCTGCCTTATTTTTTTCTGCTGGCAAGCCAAAAACTCGAGGCAAGTTTGTGGAGCTCACCTTAGATAAGATGGTTAAAGTACAGCAACAAATTTATATTGAGTATTATAAAGAGATAGCAGAGGTATTGTGGTTGTATATATGCTTTTGTGAAATAAGGATTTCATCCACTCCTCCTTCATGCTCTTTTATTGCCAAACAGGGATCTTCCCCCTGCTTTGGGACAGCTTGCAAAAAAGTTCCCCCCTTCATTTGTTTGTAAATGTGATTTAGGTGTTACATTGACTATGATATGCATCCAACAACCTCCTTTAAACTCTTTCTGAAACATACCTCCTTTAAATTTTGTTTGCTCGGAGAATGCTTTTGCCTAGACAAAAAAAAAATAATAATAGTAATAATTATAACAAAATTCCGAACTATTTGAATAGTGTATTAAAATGAAGGAGCTAATTGAAGAAAATTGGAAGAGAATAGAAATTTTTTTTTTTTTTTTTTTGGGGGGGTGAAGCTAGATAAAGAGTTGCATGTCTGGTTTGATAAGTACATTCATGAACACAATAACTGAAAATAAAAGAAGATTATTCTCATGATCCCAGCATGCATGCTAAAAAATTCTAGCCAATCCATTTTAGTAGATGATAGAAGCAATGCAAAGAGATAACAAATACTCCGTACATTTTAACACCACATATATAAGTTTCTGACTAAGCTGACAAACATGTACAAGTATGCATCAAAAACTGATTGATCTTCATCAGGATTCAGGATATACCTGATCTATGCTACCTGGTCCAATTAAAACAAGTGCCACACCAGATGCATCCATTCTATCCTGTTCACATAAGAAGAATTACAACATCAAGCCTCCATTGACCAATTTCCCAATACTATCCAATCTGAAATTTTAATATTCATTTCAACCTTCTCGCTTGCTTTGATTGCAAGATTGTATCCTCTATATCATCAATCAATGGAAGTGGGTGGTTTAAGATGCAGCTTTTGACCTAGTTGAGTGTCCCATTTGGTAGTGGTGCTATTACGTCCAACCAATAAGCATATAAATTTTTGAGCAATCATTTTTTAAACCAACAAAACTAATTATGATGACAAGTGAGAGACTTGTAACCAACCCAACAATTAGAAAAGGAATTTTTAATAACATGCATACCCAAAAAGAGAAAAAGATATGATCTCCGCAAGAAACTTTTTCATAGACTAAAGGTTCAACCTTAGAACATGTAACATTATGCTAACAGAAAACAAAGAAGAAGATAGAAACAACAAATTTCTGCTAATGAAAATATATCAATTTCCTGCAACAAAGAAGATAAATAGTTTAAAGCATCATACATTGCCAACAGATACCAGAAATCACACTTGAGCATAAGAATTCAGTTATTTCATAATGCTATGTTCATACTAATTGGTTGAACTAATTTTTCTCCAATTCCAATTCAATGCTACTGAACATTGCCTCATAATTAATGAAAAATAACTTCACCTGATTTCAGAATTAACAAAGAACTTGCACCATTAAATCGCTTCAAGAACAATAAGTAATTTTATAGAACTAACAGCATCATAACACATCATTACCTTCTTAGCCGCAAGGTAATCAGCGCGTTTGCGACAAAGAACACATCTGCAACATAGAAGCCAAGCTCAATCATCATGCAGAAATAAAATATGCATACAGCAGTTTAATCAGCAAAACAGTTAGAGAAAATTCTCTGATGAGTTGACAATATAGAAGTTTAATCGGAAAATTATCAAGTACAAAACAAAGTATAAATTGAGCTAACAGAAGTTACCCGAAATGACGAGCAAATGCAACAACAGCTTTCCTATTTTTCCACAAATCAGAAATCGCAATGGCGTTACCATTCAAATCAAACACCTTTACTCTGTCTAATAATTCCGTGTTGTCTTCACTCACCACAGAAGACCCAATTCCTGTTTTTTTTATAATCAAGCATTTTTATAGCGAGTGTGTAAAGCCGACAATATCTATACAGCATTATTATTATATGGAAACAAGAGATGATGAGTGGAAATTACCGGAAGAACCGGAGATTGCGTGTACAGTGAGGCGCTCTTGGTGTGGTGATGAGATATTGCTGGGTCTGTTGGTGGAGTACAGGTTGAGAGAGAAAGTGAGACTGCGATTATGTGGGGATTGTTTAGTGAATAGGTGGGTTGAAGGTTGATTGGTTGTTCTGGTTGGGTGGAGACTGTTGGAGGGAATGATGGTAGGGAGAGAAATCGCCATGAGTGGTCTCACGGGAGAAAGTAGAAGCTCTGTAATTGCGAATTCAAGAACGACATCTTGTGATCGTTGCATTTGGGAGATATACATATCGATGGAGTGGAAGGTGAAGTTACACGTGGCAGTAACCACGACCTAGTTGGACTATGCAGCAACAATGTGATCCTTTTGTAGAATGTAAGTGCAGGGGTCGCAAAATGCGCCAGAACCATCTATCCGTCTATGCCTGTTTGCCTTTTAATGATTACGGGTGAATCATATTTAATTTTTAATGATTACAAATTAATCATTTAATCACTTAATTTGAAGGTCAAAACTCAACCTATCATGGAATAAACACACAACACATATCTATTTCATATTGTACTCAATTCATTTCTCTTTCTAAAAATCTGTCACTCAAAATCCTTTCTCTATATTTGTCTCAGTCCCCTCTCTAAATTTCTCTTCTTCTAAAAAAATAAATAATTAAAAAAAATTTAAATTTTAAAAATTAAAAAAAAAAATTTTAATTAGATTTTTTTTTGACAAATTTAACAGGGCGAAGGAGGTGCATTTCAGGGGAACACCACATGATTTGTGTTTGTGGCCCCAACCAATATGTTAAAAAAATTATGCTGAGTAATTTTATTTTATTATTATTATTATTATTTTTTTGTGTAAATTAGCTAGAAGCGCAAAAACGGTAATATATTAAGTGAGGGTGAGAAAAAAAAAAAGTACGCTCTGAACAGCCTGGGCGTAAAGTAGCGTGAGTATTACTTGTTTAGAATAATTGTACAACCTAAAACAACGACTCTCTTTATCAATTAACGTCTCTATAACTTATTTCGGAATTTGATTTTCAGTTCAATAAATAATTATTCTAAAGAATTGGACCGAACAAACCTATTTCTTAATTTGATATATATGTGTCAAATATTATATATTATAACATATAAAAGATCATTTATTTTATTTATAGTACGTGTTGTATATTCTCTACCTTTCATCAATGAGATCCTACTTTGTGAAAAAAAATGACCGACTCCTCCCTCTCTTGAAATGAAATTGTTTACAAGACAAGACACGAAATAATCTAATCAGATTATATGTTGTAAGCTATAATCATTTCCTGGTAACTCCCAATTGCTCACAATACCTCCTTCGCCACCGCAATTCTTCTTCTCTCTCTCTCTTACCACTCTCGGCTTCTCACTCTCGGCCACCTCAACCCCAACCCACCAACCTTTCACCATGCATGCCCTCAAGCACACCACCCACACCCATGCACACCTCCATGCATGCACACCATGCAAGCCGCCACCATCCCTCATCAACTCTCTTATTCCACAACCCACCATCACCAATCTACACCCCTTCAACCTTTCCCTCACTCACTGCCAAGACTTCGAGCACTCGAACTCCCATTTCGAGTGCTCGAAGTGTGCAGCACAATACACCATCCTCACATTCCGAGCCTTCGCAACCAACCTCCCAACCTCATGCATCTCCTTCCTCTCGGCTTCTCTCCATTCCCTTCCCTCCCTCGGCTTCAAACACCAAACCAACCTTCCTCATCTCATTTCTCTCTCTCCACAGCACAACCACCCCCTCAACACCATGCACACACCACCCCCAAGCAACCAACCTCCATTCCCCAAACCAACCACTCTCGGCATATCTCTCTACAACCCAAAACACCAACCGACAACTCCGACGCTGACCAGAGAAATCAACCCCTCACAGTACTTCTAGTAGCAACAAAACAACCTAACAAACCGACCAGCCATGGTACCGATCGGCAATCTAACTAAAAAAAACCAAAGACGCTAAGAAGACCACCAGATCTAACACAACGCCCAAGACACACACTAGAAATTTATCGGGAGAAAACGCCGGCATAAGAGTACTATAACGGAAAATTTTTTTTTTTTTTTTTTCCCCCACATGCATTCATAGTTTACTTATATTATCTATTGAAAAGAATACTTTAGCAAAAATTAAATAGAATAATCTAATTAGTAAATTTCTATTTCACAAAGCAAAAAAAATAATTTTTTATATACATGAGTGATTTAGGATGCTGAACGAGAGAAAAAAATCAAAATCAGATTTGAAGAAAATGAGGGAGCGATCACACCCTAAAAGAGTCAAAGAATTCGCGGAGTGTTGTTTGATCTACCAACAATCCTTTTGCAAGAGTCAAGGTTAAGTCTCAAGTCAAGAGTTATTGGATGGGAGAATCGCAGAACTGAAGAAGGTCAGCAATTGGTTCTTGGTAAAGCGAGAAGATGTGAGTCTAAGTCAAAGTCTATTATATTTCGCTTCAAATATAGTTGATTGTTTCGCTCAAAACTCCGTAGCAATCTCAGAGATTTCTCGAATTATTTAATGATTTCTTGGACTAGGTTTCTTCACTAAAATTAGTTGTCTCTCAAACTTTACTACTTGCATTTATTTTTACTTATTGTAATTATCATTTTGTAAGTATGTATGCTTTCCTTGATATCTTTGCCATTTTTATGTATGATGTATATCATAGATGGATACTAGTATGGTAGGGTGGTAACTTATCAAAAAAAAAAAAAATGGTAGGGTGGTAGAGTGTCTTACCAGCACCATTGTTATTTTCTTTCATTCCATCATTCTTGATTGTTGAGGGACTTGGATTCATGTTTTAGCACACCTTTGATGCATTCATGTTGGCCTAGGAGGTGCCCAAGGCCTTAGGCACCAAAAACTAGATTTTTTGGTGCCGTAGGACACCCTACGATCGATTGCACCTTTTTAGGTTTTTGGAAAAATAAACACAAACCCTATTTTCAAACCCTATTCACGTACAGTGAAAATACAGAGAGTTGTAGAGTGCAAACCAATGATGTCACTCCAATCCTCATTAGCATACGTCAACCAACGGCCCACCGGCAACAATTACTTATTTAGCTACTCCACCAAAATTATGATATAAAAATTACATTGAAGAGTGGAATTAATGAAAGCTTACAAAATTTTACATTTTAAGCATTGAGCAGTGATTCTTGGGCAAAGTCATAAAGAGAATTATTTGAACTATAATTTTTAATTGATTATTTTTACTAAATTTACTTTTTTATAAAAGTATACATAATTAATTAAAAGTTGTCGGTCAAGTAAATCACTTTAATTAATTAACTTTAAAATTATGCAGCAAATAAAATTTTAATATAAAAAATTGATGATATTATTCATGTAAAATCCTTTGAAATAAATATCTTCAAAAGATATTTTTGAAAAATACCCCAAGAAAGGAAAATGATTATGAAGAATTATGCATCCATGACCCTATGAACAACGGGAGCAACTAGAGTACTTTTCGACAAAAGTAAGAATACATATTTCGTGTAAACCACTTAGAATGAAGGTATGTGAAGTCAGAAATCAACTCCGAGCACGAAAAGTGAGGTTGTGCCAAAAAGTGACAAACGGGGAAAAAGACGAAAAGTGAATAGTGTCCAAAAAGTGAAAATGTGGAAATGACTCGGTCCTTAAAGGAAGTTGTCGATCCAAATGAAAGAGTCTCGGAAGCCATTTCGAAGCACTCAAGAAGACACTCAGTGACGAGAAACTGAGCACACCGTTGGAAAGACAGCGAAAAATTAGTCAAGTTCAAAAAAAAATTCACTTGAATCGGAATCCGGACGAAGGAGAAAAGCCCAAAAGAAGAATTGACGTCGCGGCGGCCCGACGAGGGGCCATGGCGCACACAGCGCCCATGCACGAGCCCACCGGCACCCAAAGACATGGCTGGTGGCAGCCCTTGGCTGCTGTTACATTTTTTTTTAATCTTCCCAGAACTGAGGCTTGAAACGGAGGTCAAGACGAGTTTTTATGGAAAAACACGAAGAAGAAACCCCCCCTAAAATTGGTCGGGGACCTTTTGCACAGATGTTTTTGGGTACTATTTATAGAAAAAATCTTGTAGCGGTTGAAAGTAGTTGCTACTTTCATGTTGTTTGAATTCAAATACGCCAACACAAAATAAAAATCACATCAATAAGAAAACAATTATCCTCATCGGAAGGATGTTGAGTTGCATGAAAGATGTGAAGTTTGACTCTAGAGTTTTTCTTAAAGAACTGGTACGTTGGACCTCATTTTTTAGCAGTTTATTTTTTTATGACCGATGTTTGATGGTTCACTGTGTTTTACATGTGTGTGTCAAAACGCGTTAAGTTATTAAGGTACCCCACCTACGTTGTTCTCTCACAGAAGCAGTAGTCCTCACGCCGTGTCACATATTTGTTTGCTGTGTCGCCGTTGGATTTGGCTCTGCCGTCTCACGGTGTACTATTTAGAATCAGTGTCATGCGGCGGCGAAGTTTCAAAAAATTAGTCCTCACGTGGCGGCGACTTTCCAAAAAGAGAAAATTTAGTTCCAAAAAATTTAAAAATAAAATTTTAAAATAATAATTAATAAGTTTACGGGCCATAACGGGTTGACCCTGCCTATTCTTAACCCGTTCATTTTTAATCCTTTCTGAATGAGTTGAATATGAATATTGACTCATATTGACCCGTCCAACCTAAATCCAACCCAACCCACCCATTTACCACCTTTATGTAGTTGTGATCCTTTTGTCACAGGAGGGGTCTTTTTCGCATGACAGGGATTCTGTCTATTAGTATGCTCGGTAAATGTACTCCCCACCTCTCCAGCCAAAAACAAAAGTCCACGTTTTTTTTTAGCGACAACAAAATTAATGTCTTAATTAAAAAATTATTTTTTAAATAAATATTATTAATTTAAATTTTTTATATTAATTTTATAAAAAATAAAACATTACATCATTGTGAAATCATTATAAATAAATTGATAATTCATTTAATGTTAATATAATAAAAAAAATACAAACAATTATCACTTTAAATTTTTAGATTTTAAAAAATGAAATATTTTTTGTAGGATGGAGGAAGTAATTGTCATTCCATAAATTTTTTGACTTAATATTGGATCAAAAGTTAGGTCTGATTCTCATATTTATTGTAATGAGTTAATTATTGATAAATAATGCTTCATATTCATTCATATATTATATATATATTCATTTCACTTGTTTGGATGTCTCGATAGTTCAATGGATTGGTAATTTTGATAAATTTTAGAATGTCAGGATTCGACTCTCTCTATCTACTAATTTAACTTTTAATTCTGGTTGTTTTGTTAAAAATAAATAAATAAATAAAATTGCATTAATTAGATAATACGTGAGATTTTGTGTTAGATTTTGTGTTAAGTGGGAGTTTTCGTAAAGGAGGATTAGTTTTATGTAATTTACCCGTAATTTTAATACGTGGATTGTTTAACGCTGTCACAACCAATCTTGATCTCTAGCTGACAATTAGGCGAACAGTTGACGTCCATGAGAGCGTCGTTCCAAAATCCCAAACCCGAAGATATCTTAGCCATCGTCATTAGATTGCATCCAGCTCATCAATCCACGTCACCAAGTTTTATCCACGCGTAGACAACGTGGCCCTTTCCGAACCTGCTATTTGTCCACGTCATCATCCTTGGACAAGTCCAAAATCTTCCCTTGGATGAATAAATTTGTCTCAATGTCTTCATCACTTCCAAGACTCCAGCACAACAAAGTAAATCTTAATCTTAGATCATTTCTAAAACCTAATTTATATCAAAACAATCATTATTCCAACCATTTTGGAAGCTTAATCGAGCTCGATGATGGTCGTTTCACTCCTTATTGATTTTCTTGATTTAATCATAAAGGTCGCATAATCGTTGTAATTAAGCTGTGTTCTCATAATCATTTTGTTCAAACCCTTTAGAAAATTGTTCTCCAATCTGCCAATTTCTTTCCCTAATTTTTTTTTGACTATTTGATGATTATTTAGATACTTACATGTGTGTGTGCATATATTTTCCTTTTTATTGCAGTGTTTATGGTTACTAAATTGAGAACAGTTATTTGTTTTGGTTTGAATTGGGGTTTAGAGTGTTGAATTTTTGTCTGATACTATGTTCTGGTTTATACAGGGTTATGAGAATTTTATATGGGGGATGAAGAGTTTTTAGCACACCAAGAGCGGTTTGATCTGATTATAAGATGATATGTTTACATTTGTATTTGAATATGCTTTATGTTTGATTCATTATCGGTCAATTTCCGTTGGTATCAGGTGTAAAGGGTTTGTATTTGAAGAGATTTAGTTATTCAAGACGTAGCTATGTATTGGTTTTATCAGTGCTTCAATCTTGTCCCTTCTTCATTATCAGTCTATTTAAATGTGCTTGGGAGGATGTGTTCTGATGACCCTCGACGATGGTGACCACAGTAAAGAATTGCTGGAACTGAATCTACGCGTTTGTGATGAGGTTAAGAGAGCTGGGGATGGAGGAGTGATGGGTGAGGGACAAGGTGACACAGGGATTGATAAAATTGGTGAAGATGGAGGTGGACGGGCGATGCAGGGCCAATCTGTTCTGCAAGTGTCACAACCGCAGCGACAGCCTCAAGGGCCTGTTATTGGTTGGGAGAGGTTTCTCCATGTTAGGTCCATTAAGGTTTTGTTGGTGGAAACTGATGATTCAACACGACATGTTGTAATCGCACTGCTTCATAATTGCAATTATGAAGGTTAGTGACTCATATCATTGATCTGCAGAAAATCTTCTAATGTACATCTTTACAATCAGCATTCATTCCCACTTAGTCCTCTTCTTTTTGTTTTATTAAATTTTTTTTTTTCCTGTTACAAGTTGTGTTTCATTTTATCTCATGCTAGTTATACATGTTTTTTGGATCACTAACACTTACTTAAAAGAGTGATCTGAATATTATGCTTAGTACGATCATGTGGGATTAGTCGTTACTTGTTTAATTGTATGGAATGATTTTTCTTATGTAGTAACTGTTGAGTTTGATTTTGTTTACAGCTGTGACTGACTTCTCAGTTCAATTTGATGCCTCTATCTGATATTGAAATAGTCTTGTTCTAGCTATGTTTCGCATTTTATTTCTGCAAATTCCCTCAGAATACAAGTTAAGTTAAAAAAAAATAAAAGAGAAAAAGAAGGATCAGAATTCTAGCACCTGCCTGACGAGAGGGAAAAAAGTAGCTAAGTATTATAATTCCTTCTCATTCTCACACGTGTATACACACATGCACACCCACACCAATATGTTATTTTCATATAAGTAATCAAGCAATATGAAAAAGGTTTTTTCTTTTCTTTTCTTGCTTTGAAGGCCTGAATACGGCCTGATTGTGCCGTAGATTGACAAGACCTTGAGGACCGACCTAGGGTCGAGCCGTCGTTGGAAACGGGCCTGAAATCCTTTAGGTGATCCCTATCCAACCTGTTTTGCATTCCTAGTTCCCTACATAGTGGGCTAAAATGGACGTGAGTATTAGTTTAAGAGCACATTATATCCAGCCCTTATGGCCTTATGAATGAGTGTTTGGAATTTATGTGGGCAACGAGGCGTGAAGGTTAGATAGGCTACAACGTGTAGCTTACCTTATCTCTCTACCTGTTCGAATTGGATGTATACATGATACTTAACAATCCCTCCATTGTGGAATCATCACAAAGTTAAAGCTCAACACATGGATCTCTCTACAAAGATAATCCTCTATCATTCAGTTGACGTGTGGATGCGTCTTCATGAGAGGTGTTTTCTAGAATTATTTCAAACATAGTCCTAGACCTCGGATTGAGACAAACAAGTCAAAGCAATGGTTATCACTGCCCCCACATTCTTTGCTAAGTGGGTGGCTCTCCATAATTGGTTAGTGTCATGCAATCCCAGCTGCATTTCTGAACTCCATATGTGGAACCAACCATGGGCCCTTTGGCTGTGTAACGGTTTTTCTGTAAAGGCCCTCCATTACCTTGATCTCTAAATCAATAAGTTGTCTAATTGCACTGCACTCGACATATCTTATGTCTGTTTAAGTTGGAAGCAGTTCAGGTAGCTTTTGAGTTTGGTGAGTGGTAATAGAATGGCCATTTGGTTGTGCCATAGTTCGTCAGGAATCCTAAGTGTTTGTGGCTTGGTGGTTGAATCCTAGAGTTCATGGAGGTGTGGTCCCCTGTGCAGTCTGTACCTATTTAAGCAATAGGTGGTGACCCTACGCTTTTTTCGAACACAAGAATCATAGCAAGCAGATCAACAGATCACTAGACAAGGTTGAATCATTTTCTCTAGGAGGTAGAAATCTTGAGAGGACAGCGTGACCTTGAAATTCTCTGTTTCTCGTCATTACTGCCACTCTTTATCTCTTGCAAGGCTGTGCCATTTTTTACCCTAACCTAGTTCGCAGGGACTTCCATTATCTTACATGTATTTCCTGCATCAACACAAAGAAATTACAAAAATTAATAGCTAATCCTTGGGGTTGTTGGTAAGGTTGGAGTTGCAACATTGGCATCTTCAGAATTAATGTAATGCATCTGTGAAGCACAACCTTGTCTCGAACACGAAATGGCATCTTGCTCTTTCTCGAGTTGGCTAGTGGAAACTTGGATGGGTTGATGGCTATTAGTTTTAATGTCCAAGTTAAGTGCCCCAACAATGGAAGAAAGATATTTTGGTCACATTGCTGACATGCATGAAGCTTGTAGAATTGTCTGGGCCCAGATCTTGACAAGGGGTCTGGAAGGTATAAAGCATTGGGGTGCCATATGGTCTATTGTCTTCTGGAAATGCTACCCATTGGCACCTTTGTAGGAGGTATTCACACCCCTGTGCATCCAGCTTCGTGATAGGCATTTATTATAAAAGCAGGAGACTGGGGAAGCTCATTGAACTACTGAGGATTAAGTCCTTTTTGTATCTTGCTTCCATGCCAATTGTTGAGCCATAATTGAAGGATGCTGGCCCACGTGGGTCTGTTTTATATGGATTGTACAACATTTTCCTTGCCACTATGGTTGTTAATGGGAAAATTTTGATTCTTATGTGTCCACTAATACAATTTATGGAATGCAAATTTTTGAGATGCTTAAATCCATCATTAGTGTTCCCTTTGTTACTCTTACTTGAGTACATGGTGATGATTGAAAATTCTTGATACATAAGTTGGACATTTAACACCTTAATCTCTCATGGTCTACATTTTACTGTGTGTATATTATATCTTCTACAACTTTTCTTTTTTTTATTTTTTATTTTTTTTTTTTATTTTTTTATTTTTTTTTTGGTCAATCGATTAGTGATATTACTGGTTTATCTTTGTTCTGGTGGCCTTGGGTCTTGACTTCGAAGTACTAGATCAAGGTTTCAAGACTAGTAGAGACAAAAGAAAGGATTTGCATGGTATTAAATTGGTAGTTTTAATTAAGAGCATCTCCAATGCAAAATGCTATTTTTCCATGCCAAAGCTATATTTTGGGAGGAGCTACAGTGTCAAAATGCTATATTTTAGCAATTCTACTCCAATGATGCATTTCATCCAAAATGATATTTGGAGTGTATTATTTTCATCCACCTGCTATTTTTTGAGAAATGGCACTGTATGAGAAAAAAGAGACCTCTCAAAAAATTTTGAGAGCTGCTATATATGGTAATACTTTTGACAATCTCTTTCATTTTTATAAGTAAGCAATACTTTTGACAATCTCAAAATATGAGTGGTCTTTTGAGAGCTCATTGGAGTGTATTATTTTCATCCACATGCTATATTTTGACTTTGAGAGGCCCTTTGAAAGGGCATTGGAGATGCTCTAAGGTTTTTACTGGAACCAGCCTCCTATTTTTTTTTAAATGAATTAAAATGTCTTTATAGAGATTTAATTCTACTTATTAATTTACTGAATTTGTGAAGATCTTGCTTTATTTTTCATTTTGATGATCCCAACATTCAATTGTCCTTGACAGTTATGGAAGCAACCAATGGATTACATGCATGGAAGATTTTAGAAGATCTAAACAATCATATTGACCTTGTCTTGACTGAAGTAGTCATGCCTTCTTTATCTGGCATTGGTCTTCTATGCAAGATTATGAGTCACAAAACACGCAAGAATATCCCTGTAATTAGTAAGTAATTTTTCTCTTTTCTCTTTCATCGGTTATTCTTGAATCAAAAGTTTGGTTGCTTTGTCATGGAATCTTGCTAAGCTGTTACTATTAACCCCTACACCTGATGAGATTTGTGTGCAGTGATATCATCTCACGACTCAATGAGTTTAGTTCTCAAGTGTTTGTCAAAAGGTGCAGTTGACTTTTTAGTGAAGCCTATTCGAAAGAATGAGCTTAAAAACCTCTGGCAGCATGTTTGGAGGAGATGCCACAGTGTGAGTTGTTATAACTTTCTGCTCAAATAATAAGATCCTTCACCATGACCAGCTTTGAACTTCATGCACCTGCCAGTTTTTTTCTAGGCATAGAGATACTAGGAAGCATGCTTGTCTAATCTTTTAACTTTAAGATTGACGTCATCTGGCTTGCAAATTCACACCGCCGGCTCTTTTCAAGGCACAGATAAGTGAGCATGCTTCAGTGATATATCTATTCTTGTTGATCTTAGGGATTATGTCATCTAGCACCAACTTTAATACAAGAAACTTTTACATCTATTCACCATTTTTATCATAGTTGTATCTTATATTATCGATTATACAATTGTGTTAACTTTGTAGAGCGTTACTTCTTTCTCTCTTCTATCATCAATTAATCACTCATACATACTTTCAGTCAAGTGGTAGTGGTAGCGGGAGTGAAAGTGGTACACAAACTCAAAAAACAGTAAAATCAGAAAGTAGCAAAAGGTCTGACAACAGCAGCAGGAGCGATGACAGGGATGATAATGGGAGCATTGGATTGGATAGTGGGGTTGGTAGTGACAACGGGAGTGGCACTCAGGTATTACAAGTCATTTATGATTACAATTATAAAACCGTGCATGGTCATGGTGTGTTCCTTTCTGCTAATTTATCTTCTGCATAGATAAAGAATATTTCGTGTCATTTGTTTTTAGCTTTAGCTCAAAAATATGATTTACCCTTAGGAACCAGTAACTTCTGCGTTGGCTTCCCTGTATGGAAGTGCTGAGATAATTTTTTTAGTATGGAAATAGACAATACCTGGTAACATTTGAAACAATATTTATCTTTTGTGGTGTGGGTCTTTTGGCTAATTTTTGTTCCATCTTTCCATATCTTTGCCTCATAGATACGGTCTACTCTTGATTAGAGAGAGAGAGAGAGAGAGAGAGAGAGAAACAAAAAGATGAGTTGGTTTGCTTGTAGGAACTAATAACTGCATTGATTTTTCTCATACTGCTGTGGCGTTTTTAATTATTATAGAAAATATCAATTCTATGTAATATTCAAAACAAATTTTACTTTAATCATAGTTATTCATTATTATTTGTTACTACCAAGCTTTGGGTTGGATGGTATGTCCTCTACCTCCTGGAAAGGAAGTTAAGGGTTTGAATCGCTATTGGGACAAAATTAGGTGTGTGAATTGTGATTGTGACTTGCCTAGCAAAAAAAGAATCACTAATGTTTCTGGTCTTTTTTTCTTCTTTTTTTTCCCCTTTGTTAAGAGGATCTGTTAGCATTTTAAAGTCCACTTGTAGGGCTGCACATGAACAGCTTGGTTATGAGCTTGTCCAGACTTGTTCCTTTCGAAAACATAATTCGAGCTCATTTTAGGACTCGTTTGAGAGACAAGTTGAGCCTGAGAAGTGTCCAGTTCGGCTTGTCGGCTTCTATAGCCCACATAAGTCACCTTATCTAGTCTATCTACATTATTCTCTTGTGATTTAGAAAGATCGGCCCATTTAATGGGGCCAAATTGGAGGTCCACAGGAAGCCATGGAGTTAATGCACATAACTCATGACGTATCTTCATCCAAACATGTACCTTCTTTGAATAAGATACGAATATTATCTCATCTCTTTCTATATCTCATATCTTTTGAAGGTTTTGCCTATGGAGCTATTTACATAAACCGGGTCCTAACATCCCTCTAACTTTAGTCGAGCTCAAAAACCCAGACTTTTGCATGGCTTTTTATTGACTGAATTATTTTTTCGGAATGCTTTTTAGTTATGGAAAGTAATATTTTCCCCTTTAGTTGCCTTCTGTAAATTTTATTTGGCGTTGAGAGTGTGCATTTGAGGATAGGTGTTACAAGGGTCATTTGTCCCACATCAGATCCGGATGGGAAAGTGATTGGGTATAAATGGGTAGGTATGCAGCACTACCCAATAACTTGAGCTTTTGGGTAAATGGGCAAGCGTCCACCTGTTACAATTGGTATTAGAGCCAGACCCAATCTTTGATTCGGTGCCGCACCAAGCGCCTTGCCCAGAAGGCGTCCGAGTGACTCACCCGGGTAGGCAGAGCGGCCCGACCGCAACGAGGGCATTGCGAGTTCGGGGGGAGAGAATGTTACAAGGGTCATTTGTCCCACATCGGATCCGGATAGGAAAGTGATTGAGTATAAATGGGTGGGTATGCAGCGCTACCCAATAACTTGAACTTTTGGGTAAATGGGCAAGCTCTCACCCGTTACAATAGGGGTGTTAGTATTTATTAAAATATCCATCACATACAACCACTGCAAAGCTCAAGAAGAGTCCAGGTATCATATAGAATGCTAGGATTTCCAAAAATTATAAAAAAGAGGGGCTATAATGTGCAACAATTTGGGGAGAGTAAAACTGGTGTCCCGGGTAATATTGAATGGTTAAAACTAGTTAATCTAATACAATTATCATATATTAATATGTAGGCAAGCCCCTTGGAACATTGTCTAGCAAAATGCTCTAATCCTGCAATGTCGTGTACTCCACAAGGATGAACAAAGTCTTGTTACAAAATCATTCAATTTCACAATTTATATCTTTTGAGGTAAAATCACTTCCATTATTCCATATGAGGTAACAGATGATCTCTTTGATTTCAAAGAATGAGCTTAGTTTATTATATCAATGGGTTAAAGGGTTAGCGCCCATTGCACAAGGCTCATGCTATTGTAGGGTCTGGGGAGGTTCAAATGTATGCAGTCTTACCTCTGTATGCGGAGAGACTGTTTCCCGTTTCAATCCTCTAACCTTCAGGTCACAGTAGAGTATCCTTACCATTGCGCCAGCCGCCAAGGCTTACCCTTAAGTGAAACTTTTAGTGCTTAATTTACAATATAATAAAAAAGCACCAGACTTAAACCACAATAAGACCCATGGTCCACTTCCATCACCATTGGCCACTATTGCAGCTTTCAAAATATTTAAAATTAAAATTGCCATTTATGCTAAAACACAACCAATAATTTGTAGGATTAGAACCTGAGATTCTGATTGAGTGTTGCACAAGGTCCACTCATGTAGAACCAGGAGGTGAATAGGTATTCTATTACTAATTTATGAATTTATTTATTTTTCAAAATAAAATTACTTAAATAGAAATTGAATATAGCAGATGATAAAAAAACTAAACAATCCACAACAATAATAAACAATTAAAACATAAAGCAACTGACACCAGATTTTTACGTGGAAAACTATAAGAAGGGAAAAGTGTGGGACCTAGTCCAGGCAAATTATCAGGAAAGAGATTACAACCTAGGTTAATAAATTCTACCCCAGAATTCTGTAGTTACCTCTTGACACAGAAGACTCCAATTTTTTTCCTAAAAGTCTCCAAGCAACCCTTATGCTTGTCAAAAACATTTGTTCCTCACAAGTAGCGATTTGGTCTTTAGCTGCTAGTCTTTCAGGGTTCAATGAGATGGTGGATTGAAAAGTATTGTTGAACTCGTCCTTTTAGTATGCAACAATGGATGTCAACAGATATAGACTACATTCACCAACTAATAGAGATGGTGAATGTAAAAAGAAAATGAGATGCAATCTGACAACCTCACAATAATCTGCTGTCTATATGATGTATAAGTTGTGTTTTAAGTCAGTCAATGGTGTCATGTATTTATAGGAAACAAAGTAGTATTGAGATATTAGGGTAGCTAGAGTATAAAACCAACTTGAAAACTGCTTTTCCGAAAGGTTTGATCAATCAAAATTGTCGTTAATCGATTTCATCACTCTAGAGAGCTTCGATTGATACCTCGATAGATCAAAATCTTCTGCAGTTTTATACTCAGAAATGTTCTCAGTAAGGAAGTTTCCAAAACGCTTTTCATGCAAGTTTAAAACAATTTAGGGAATCAAATAAATTGAAATCATGAAACTTTAGAAACCCTAAATATGCATATATGAACCATAATTTGGTGAGTGAATCAATAAGTCAATTTACCTTTGTATCCTTGTCGAAGATTACCAGAATAACCTTGAATGTAGCATGAATTCCATTTTCGACCTTGGAACTTTTGAAAAGTTCTAACCTAAGCCTAGAAATTGAACCAAAACTCAGTTTGGATCTGCGAAATATGTCAACATAAGTCTTATTGATCTAACAATGACAAAGCGTGTATAAAACTGAATCCGAAGCATAAAATTAACAAAAACATACAACACAACTTGACTTGGGAGGTCTAGAATGGGTTCCACTTGAAACAAAGTTCGAGTTTTCTTTCTTTTTCAAACATGCTTTTTCTAGCTTGTTATGGACTGCATCAGCTAAAGAGTGCAATGCCTTCAACAATTACAACTGCTACTAATACTACTATAAACATGTTTTTTTCTGAACTCATGCTGGTGTATGTGTAACTTCTGATTGTGTATGTCACAAGTTCAATATTTGAGTACCCATTAAATTCTTCTTATGCAAAAATTCTACTTATATATTAGAGCCAGAGGAATTCTCCAACTCCTGCAGTCTCTTCATTCAAGAAGTGGATTCAACCCACAGTCCTGCGAATTATCTTCTATCAATTGTTTGATCCCTTTTCTCTGTGAGATTCATTAACTTTCTTATCAACAACAATTTCAATATACATGCTATGCATATATGCATATGTAAAAACAACAATAACATACGGTCAGTATTCTGTATTAGTAGGTGTCTGTGTACAGAGTTGCATACTTGTGTTTTTGCACACAAGCTCCTATGAAGTTGTTATATAGAATATTGATAAAATAATGGATGACAGTTTCATATCACTATGCCATTTTCAGGTCCAACTTATAAGCTAGAAATCAAGGAATGAAGTCTTAGTGACTTGTTCTTCTGGATATGTAAATAAGAGGTATTCTGAAGTTCTTGTTTTGCAGAGCTCTTGGAAAAAACAAGCTGCAGAAGTTGTCAGCTCCCAAGCAATCTCTCCTTGGGATCAAATACCTGACAGTCCAGGTAGCAATTGCGCCCAAGTTATCCACTCAAATGTTGAAACTTCTAGTAACAAATGGTTGTGCATGACTTCAACAAGGGAATGGCAAGAACAACTTGGTAAGCATGAAGATATGTGGACTCTTTTATGCACAGTTTTGGTTAATCTCTCTCTCTCTCTGTTGTGTTATTCATTCTATTTTCTTTTCTTAATTTACTTTTTGTGTACCTTTTGGAGGTAAATATTCTGCATCTTATTTTCTATTTTAGGCAATGCTGAGTTGATGATTGACAAGCCTAAAAAATTAGATTTACTACCAGAGGATCCACTTGAGGTTCCGTTCAAACTTATAGGTACAAAACAAAATACTCTGCCTGAGCTAGGTAAGCGAACAGACAAAGGACAACTGAACCCTAGTGGTGAGAGTCCATCCAACAAATATGGAGCTGTCTTTACCAACCCATCTGGTCCTCAGATGGACAAAAGAGAATCTGAGCCTCCTAGAGAACTTGCTAAGATTTTGGAAACCAATCATGAAGCTGTTACTGATTCTAAAGAATTACCAGCAATTGAGCCCTGTTTAAAGAGGCTTAGGGTTACAGACAATGGGACCATTATGCAAGATGATTGTAATGTCCTAAGACATTCAGAGCTTTCAGCCTTCTCGAGGTCTGAAATAAACTAATGGCCTGGGATCAAATTTTCAATTCCCTTAACATAATACTGCAATGATTGTTTTCTAGTGACTGTCTCGGCTATTCATGTATTGCTTTGCAGGTACAATACAGCCTTAAATGCTTGCAAGGCTCCTAATAGGATCACCAGAAGCAGATCTCCACTTGCTGATGATCGATCTCTCGCCAATGGGGATCCTCTCCATCAGAGCTCACATGTGGGTAGCAATAAGATGGTTATGGGCTCTGCCACAAGTAAAACCTTTATCAAGCCAGTAGTTCTGAAAGATCAGTCAGAAACAACATCAACAGTTAATGGTATGCACCAATTTTAGCTTCTAACCTTATATCAACCCCACAGAAAGTCATATTATGATGCTGATGAAATGGAAACTACAGCTTTGCTGGCTCCATCAAGCGTCTCGCACTCGGAGCTTCAAGTTCAGCACATTCATCAACATCACCATCACCATCACCATCACCATTTTCTCCACACAGAACGAAAACAACTGCTGTCCAACCATGGTGATTTGTCAATAAAGTTTTTGGCTGTAGATGCTCCATATTGTGGGTCATCGAATGTGTTGGGTGGACCTGTTGAAGGTAACACTGCAAATTGCAGTATGAACAGAAGTGCATCAGGCAGTAATCATGGGAGCAATGGGCAGAATGGAAGCAGTAGTGCTGTGAATGCTGGAGGAACAAACAGAGAAAGTGATAACGGGTTAGCTGGAAAAAGCAGAAGTGGTGATGCTAGTGGAAGCAGAAAAAGAGAGGACGAAAACAAATATGCACACAGAGAAGTAGCCTTGACCAAGTTTCGTGAGAAGAGGAAGGAGCGATGCTTTTGTAAGAAGGTAACTACATTCAGTTGTCATAATTTGTTTATGTTGTGTATATAATTATCTTAGGACAGGCGATGGTATTATACTTGTTCATCCAGCTTTTCTCATTTGGCCCCTCTTTTATCTGCTTATATGCGTGTAAAAGTGACTTTTCTCAATTTAATTAGTTTGCTGTACAGTGGTTGGGAATGAAAACATAAACCTAGTGAGTTGGATTGCAGGATAAAAAACACAAGCTAATGAGCAAATAGGCTCCCACTTCCATGATTTTTTGTTTATAAAAAAACATGCTGTTTTTTTTCTCATGTCTCACGCTTATTTGCATGATCTCACAGAAGTTCCAACGAAAGCATCTTGGAAGTATGTTAATAGTCCCACGCTACCTATTTCCCACAAAATACAGAATCAATTTAAGGACTTCATAATCTAAATTGTTTGTTACGCAACTTACTTGAAGCCTTTCCTACCATCTTTTAATGCTTTGACTTTAGCTGTTATTACTTAGGGTTGGAAACAAATCCGATGATGGAAAATCCTGGCAAGATATTAAAAAAAAAAAAAAAAAAATTGTATTACTATTGTGAATCTTGCACTAGACTTTGTGATAGAATTCAGTATGTGATAGAATTCAGTAAGGAATTTTCTTTCTTTTTTTAAATCAGTTCTCCAGGTCAGTACAACTTTACATATTGGACTGGTTTGGTGTATATTTAAGTACCTTCTGGTGTAGCCAACATGTACTAGGGGTTCAAGTCTTTTTGTTTTGAGTTGAGGGAATGGCCACGTAGAAGCCTGATAGACGATGACATTGATCAAGGGAAGGATACATTTCACCCTACAGATTACACTCAAAATGCCTACCTACCATGATCAGTTAGTTTCACTTCATGTTATTTTTGCCCATCCTATGTTTGGCATGTATTATGATGTAAATTATATTCCCTGTACTGTAGACATATTTTGCCTTACCAATGTTCTGCCTTTCCAAAACCTAAACAGGCTCTCACCACCTCATTTGGAGACTGAAGGTCAAAGGCAACATACTATTGGTATTTGACCTTTCTCTCTCTATATATATATATATATATATTTTTTTTTTGTGGTTTTAATTGTATGTAAACCATATGCCCTGTACTGTAGAACAGATTTTGCCATATCAATGTTCTGCCTTTCCAAAATTTAAACAGACTCTCACCACCCCATTTGGAGACTGAAAGGCAACATACTATTGGTATTTGACCTTAATATTTTTCTTTTTTGTGGTTTTAATTGTAGTCTTTTGATTATGGGGAACTTTAAGAGAGGTGAACAACAATTTTTTATTTTTTATTTTTCCCTCTTTCTCCTCTTTCAGGTCCGATACCAGAGCAGGAAACAACTAGCAGAGCAGCGGCCACGTGTGCGAGGGCAATTTGTACGGCAGGCAGGGCCTGAAAATTCACTCAAGGATGTGGATAGCTAACACATCTCTTTCACTACATTGCACAAAGCTTGTGAATTTAATTCGTGTCAGCATATGTAGGGAAAGTTTATACAGTATTCATGGTTCAGGTACATTCGGTTCTACGTCTTGTAAGAACTCAAAATAAATATATTGAAACAAAAATGGAGCAATTCAATTCACATAGGACCATCAGACTTACCTCAAGAGTAGATTCAAATCAAGCACAGGTGTGAAAAAAAGGCTGTGTTTGGTTCACCTTTATTTTTGGAAGTGCAGGGCTCAAGAATGGAAACGAGAGACTGGAGTGTGAACATGGGACCCATCATCAGCTGTATGGTACAACATGCTGTTTACAAGGTTTATTTTACAGGTTGGACTTAATTATATCATCATGAAGTTAGCAGCACAAACACGTGTATCTATATATATAGAGAGAGAGAGAGAGAGAGACCTTGGATTCCTTTGCAAATTACTTTGTACACATGCAAATGAACAGTTTTGAGAATTGCTAGCTGGACTGCTTAATCACTGCAACACCAGAACTTTTAAATATTCCACTAGATTTGTGTGTATTGTTGATTTGTAGTAGCAAACAAATAGCAGTAGCGGTGTGAGTTGATACTATCACTATTACGCAGAAAGTCAATGTGCATTTTTCGCACGTTGCTATTTACTCGATCAAAGTGTATGACAATCGGAGATTTTGTCAAACACAGCTTTTTGTGGCCATTTTTAAATACTAGAAAAGGTAACGTGCAAATGCGTAAATAAAATTTTGTAAACATTATGAAATATTATATATATATGTCACATTATTAATAAATTTATGAAATCATTACAACCTTCAAATTTTAGTTAAAAAAAATAACTTTTGAAGAGATAAAGAGAGTTTGTCTTTTGTTTGCTTGTACATATCAAATAAAAGTGTAAAAAAATTGCCTTCAAAAATACAAAATTATGATATATATATATATATATATATATATATTTGAATCAACATAAATTTACAAAGACACTAAAATCTAGTTAAAGGACAGCTATTTGGATTATAAGGTCAAACTCAATGTTGCTCCACTTGATTGTTAAATATTATATATAGAATATTAAATATTGAAACTTTGAGGAGATAGAGAGTTATGGTTGATATGCGGCAAAGGGAAAAAAAATATAGAGATATTTCCTTGAGAATAGGAAATTAAAATGAAAAAAGAATGAACTCTGGAGAATAAGAGTAAAAATACTTCACATTTAAAACAACACAATCCATTTATTAATTTGCAACAGAACAAGCAAAGAAAAATTGCAATAACATTTATTAATTTGCAACAGAACAAACCAAGAAAAATTGCTATAAAGAATGATACCTAAAGTGGAGATGTTTTTCCTAGCCAATGAGGATTTGCAAGTCAAGGTCTAGTGGACAAATAAAAACATAAGATTTGATGATAATCTAAATATAATTTTAAAAATTTGATCAAAAAACATATCACACTAATAAGCCATTCTTTAAAATATATAATTTATAATATCCTTTTAATACTTATCTTTAGAAAAGGAAAAAAAAATTAATAAGGAAAAAAAAAAAAAAAGAAACTTGAGAGAGAGGTTGATTAATTTTGCATTCAAATGCCTACGTTTCAAGAACTATAGTAGATTGTATTGAAAACTATAGTAGATTGTATTGAGAGACCGAACGAATAATTTGATTAAATACTAATTAAAAAGAGATTTATAAAAGGCGCAACTCCTCAATAGTAACAGATTTGGTGGTACAATACAAACTCTTAAATAGCAGATAGTATCAAACTATTAAGAAATAACAATAACAATTGTACTTAAATACTAATTAAGAATAAATTTTTAAAAGTCACCACTCTTCAATATTCAGATATTTTAAAACACATAAGTCTTGATATTTGAAAATACACAACTCTTATATCAGTTAATACCCAAATTATTGGTGACTCTTAAAACATGAAAAGTCACATAAAACAATTATTTATTAAAATAACGGCTTTAAATTCTAAATAATTATGTTAATTTGGAAAGAATGATTAATTGATAACCATCACAGAGAAATCTAAAAAGACACAACTCTTAAATAATAGTTAGTTAGCAGTTATAATAGACAACTAATAACCTAATTTTCAAAAGGTAACTCTTAAAACATAAAAATACAATTAAATAATTTTTAAATTAAAAGATCTAATTTAAAATGTATATAAATTTTATAAATCCAATAAAGCTATAGATTTATATAAAAAAATAACAATAGTTTAAATGTGTATAAATATTAAAAATTTATGCAACATTGGTACTAATCATTAAGATCGGCAAAGAGAGAAAAATGATTCACCGTTCACTTTCGAAACAGAACGTGACAGAAAAGAACGAATTTTAAAATGCAAATAAAAATATATAATTCATAATTCATAAATATTTATATAATTTATTCTCATAGGATTTACAACATAAAATAACTAACAAAATTATAAAAATAGTAGAACAATAAACATTACACAATTGTTTCTTTGTTTTAATACTTTAAAGATCTCATCCCCATCACGTGCAGTGCTCTGATATTGCATCTCCTTTTGTAATGTGAGCACTTTAAAATTTTAAAAAGAAATAAAAAACTACCATATGAATTTTAGATAGACATTTATGCGCAATAAAAGTACGAAACTTATCTTCATCTGTGATTCAATAATGTAATATATTTTTTTAAGATGAATAATGTTAATATATATTGTGTATTATAAAAAAAATCATCTGAAACGCACAATGTAAAATTCGAGTCACACATGAGAAATACTTTTTGAAAAACATTAGAAGAGAACTAAACTAATGAATATTGATAGGGAAAAATATAAACCTACTCTACCCTCGATAAGATTGATTAGAAATCTAACGTGGTTCAACTAGATAAGAATAATCCTATTATAATTGGAGGAGGTCAAAAGGATTAAATCATATCCCGACAAATCTGGCAACAAATCTCCTATGATCTCGCACAAGCGGAAGATAAGATCAACCATCGACAATGGCGGAACCAATTTGATTCCAATCTACAGCCATAAATAGGGCACCAAGCCATTAAAGAAGGTACGAGAAAAACCCCTAAACAGAAGATACATAATTATTATGTGATACGATTACAAGTACTAACTTGATCGTCAGAGGGTCCTCGGCCGGTACCCCACCGGTGCCATTCGAGGTGACGTCCCTTTGTTTTGCAGGTAAACGCTGTCGTTCCGAGTCGTGAGGATTTCCGCATCAACAGCTAGCGCCGTCTATGGGAACGATTAATTCTCTGAATAAATAAGTTTCCGATCATGGAAATCATCCCAAAGTCATCAGTTGACAACGGGTTTCCATATTCTTATATAAGGACGGGACTCTACATCTTGATTACTCGTCCATCATACTGGGGGCAAAACAGGGAGTTGCGTGATGCCACCCAGTGTACGATGACAATAATCAAAATTTGGCACGTCGACCCAGGCTGTCTAATATGGTGTTTTCCATCTATCAATGCTTGGTCCCCTTATTACTAAGGTTTGGTCGTGTAAAACCAGACTCTATCTCATATAGGGTAGCAGCCAATTACCAAGGCCTGATCGTTGAAGACAGAGAACTGGTCATTCTGCACCTATATAAATGGGTAGGTCTCCACCCATCAAGAAGATCACCACCAACAAGGGGGTCTCTACCTACTAGTAAAGCCTCTACAACTAAGGATGTCTCTAGCAACGGAGTCTCATTACTCCGTCCGTTCATGCAATCAGGGTGGCCTTCTACACCCAAGAATGTATCGAGGCCTTCAGGTCCAAGGAGTTCAATTGTCCCTCAAGAACCCATGAGGTTTGTATCCCCAAGGAGGTTCTTAAGTTAAGGGCGATTATTGGACCAATAAAAAAATGTATATAAAAAATACAAATAAATTACATTTTTATAAGACAAATAGATATTTTCATAACGTATATGCGATCATACATTATTATAAACCGTCTAATACAGTACTACAGCTGGTGGAACAAGGAACTAAGAAGTCTTGTCGTCAATTTACTTCGATTGTACGACACACATTTGGTGGAACAAGGGATTGAAAAGACTCTTGCCCTGTCGGTTTACTTTGATTTTCAGTAAATGATAACTCTTTGCATATTTGGTTATAAAAATACAATTTTTTTTTATATCTCTAGGCATATTTGGTATAAAAATACATTTTTTTTTTAAAAAAAAAAAAAAAAAAACTGATTTACTTCATCACCCACCTTTAAAAAAAAAAAACTGATTTACTTCATCACCCACCTTTCGTTCATCCTTGTGTAAGTTTTTTTCTTTTCTCTTTATTTTTTCTCATTAAAATTAAAAATTTAAGAGTCAAACCATTGGGGACTGGCCAACAGCTTGCAACTTTCAACTTCTTAGAATTCTTAGGATTCCTTCTCTCACATGGAGAGAATTTTGCAGGCATTGACTTTGGGTAAAGTAAGTTGCAGTTTTTCAACTCAGTATCATCAAGAGTCTTAATTAAATGCTTACTTGGTATACCAAACACAATTACAAAATTGTTTCACCTCCAACATGTGATTTAAATAAATAATGAAAGCATTGTGTTAGCTAATAAATTTTTCAAAAAAATTTGTTCAACGCCCACCAATGGTTTAACATTCTTGAATTATATGTGTGTGTATATATATGTATATTTATATGTATATGAATATCTGTAATACAAAATGGTGATGGGATATTTCATAAATCTGGATAACCGCAATTTTGTTTTATTAGGCATCACCTTATTTTAATTTTTGGAATATATGGTATTAGAGGTTTGTCCACTGACCAAGGCCATTCTCAATTTTATTTTTGTTTCATTCAAAAGTTCAGAACATATATATATATATATATATAGTTCACAAATATATACAGTACTATAGTGGTGGCAAGTATTAAGAATTGAGGCAATGCGCGCGTGGAGAATAAAACACCAACTACCAGTCAGCATTAGAATTTCCGTTTAAAAACGGGAAGACAACAACCCACGTGTCCCCATCTGCCCCAACTAACTTTCCAAAGTCCAACCAACTATTTCTTACATCTCCCTCTTCCTACATCAATTCATATTAAAGACAAATTTTTTTTTTTCTTCCGCCAACAAACAATTACACGAAAAAAAAAAAAAACTAAAAAAATACAAACAGGAAGCAGAACATTCAATAATTACGAGTCATATACTCCATTCTAAATCGCCGTACTCGACTCCAAGAGTTAAAGACATTTTTTTCCTCTCCCTTTTTTATGGCTGTAAGAGTACTTGATTGAGAAATATGTATATATATATATATATATATATATATATATATATAATGTAATTTTCTTTTTAGTTATATGTGTTACTCTACTAGAAATTAATCACAATTAAATAAATTACTAAATTTACAATAAATGATCCCTTTTCGGATTCATAGTAGGAGTGAGCATTGAGTTGGCCCTAGTTTCTTTATTATTATTTTTAAATCTAATGTCACTTTATAATTTATCACTAGATATTTAGGCATATGTAATTGTTCTGTCGCACATGAGTCAAATAACTATTGAATTTTTTTATTTTTCCTTTCTAAATGTTATCATGCTTGGAAAATGTCAAATTTTGAATTGATCTTAAAGGTCGGCTAAAAATTATATACATAATTAGCAGTTTGTCGGCCTGGTTTCATCCCTAATAAATTTTTTCCCTGTAAATAATTAATTGATATTCACCCCTAATTTTATATCAACTAAATCTACGATTTTCGAATATTTAGAATCAATGACCTGGATGGACTTGTAGCTGGAGAAATCTTAAATAAAAACAAGTTTATATATATAGTAATATGGTGAAGCTCTTACACAATTACATAATGTCCTGTCCCACTACAACACTTGAAGGAACGAAAAGAAGACAATATATTGGTCAGTACAGTTCCATTATGCGGGACGGTAGGAGATGAAAAGCTTATGTTTTGATTTTAATTATACAAAGTGACATCTTCAACCTCTTATCTTATTAACCAATTTATATACATCGGATTTGAATTGAAAGTGAAAGAAGTATAAATAGATAAATATGCACTACTACCTAACGATTTAAGCTTTTAAGTAAATGAGTAATCTCCAACATGTTACAATCACGTACAAGTTGATTATTTTTTTAATAATGACACCTCTGTCATAATTGTCATTCAAATAAGGCCTTAAATGGTTAAAAAAAAACAAAATTGCCCTTCCATATCAAAATCAGATTTATTGAAAAATATCAAACATGTTGAAATGTCGAAATTACCCTTGAGTTAATATAAGCCACAATAGCCCAATTTATAATTTTGAAATTCATTAATTTCTCTAAGGTATTGTAATATTGTGATTGCTATGAATTTTTTACTAAAAATTCCTCTACCAGCTACTCTATGAAAATTTTGTAGTTTTTAGCCAAACAGATGTTTTTATAAAAATTCCACAAGAGCTGTTGTTGTTTGGAAATTTTCACTTTTTGAAATCAGATTTTTAATTTATTTATTTGACAGATTTCTGGATATCGAATCATTATCAAAATTTTCAGTTTTATATTTTCGTGAGTTTACTTTTCAAAACATTTTCATTTACTCTATTTCGATTTGAAACAAAATTTCTATGAATTTTTTATTCATTATTGTACAGATTTTTCTTTTAACTTAATATTTTAATTTTTTTGCATCAAACGTTAATGAAGGATAAATTATTAAGTTGTAAAGTTAAAAATCTTCGACTAAACGGTTATAGGACAAGTTAGTGAATTCCTCACATATCATATCTGACAGGTAATAGGTGTCCTTGTTGACCTTTTCAAACCTCAATAGTGTCATTTACTTTACTCAATTATTCAGACATGGATCGAAACAATTTCGAATGGATCGGGGGTTTGGATCCGGACAGAGGCTAAGCAATGCAGGCTGGGATTGGAAAGTGACAAGACTGCCATCATTAAATTTATATCATACTTTTCAGTCACTTGAACGATTGCACATCCCAAATCAAACCTATGTAATGACTAGGTTGGCAGACTCAGATTTTTCTATGCACTCATTTTCAATTTGACCCATACCTCCAATAGAAAAATTTTCAAGTCATTCTTCACATTTTTCTCTATTTTGATTTGTTTTTCAATTGATAAAACAAATGCACATACTTCTTTTTGTTCACGTTCGAACCGTCTCTTCTTTTTGGGACATAAAGATTATATTATTAAGCCAAAAGTCCTTTAATTTTATTTTAGATTTTTTTTTTTTTGGGTTTATTATAATTTTCTTGTGGGAAGTTTAGTTCCAAGATGTAATTGCTTTATTTGTGTTGGCTTTCTAATCAATTACAAAGTGCAAATGTTTCATATAAGAAGGGACACCAAAACACAGTACACTTCACCTCGTGTGGCTTTTCCATAGATGGTTACTTCCTAAATTTTTTTGCCATATTGTCAATCTACCCATCTGCTGCCATAATTTAAATCATTTTCATTGCATTGTAGCATCTGGTGCACAAAAAACGGTGAAGATCACTCTGCTAACAATGCAACATCCTATATAGTGTGTACTTTATATCATTTCTCATAACGTTTAGTTGTTTATTATAGAATGATTTCCATAGTTTGCTGGACAGAATTTTGGTTCCTCGCGTTTTAATAGTTTTTTTTTTTTTTTTTGCAAATTTCTCTTTAATAATAAAAAATAAGAATTCCTTGAGATATTTAGTGGCGTGGCTGCCTGATTGGTTTATTACTCAATAAATAATTCTAAACAATTCAAAATTTCAGAGGATAATAAAAAATATTTTTTCTGAAAAAATAAATCTTAAATTTGTCAATCAAAGGATATTTGTACAATTTTTTTTCTTTTTTTTATATCAAAAGAGTACAAATATTTCCACCTACTACGGAGGCCTACTATTTCTGCCTAACCAAAAAAAAACCATTATATATTATCGGTAATTTTTAAGTTATATAAAGTAGGAACGAAAGCCAGCAAAAATTTAAGATCAGATAATAAAAAGTTGAAAAATTAAGTCATAAGCAGTGATGCGCAGAATGTGAGAAGAGAAGCCACACTCAGAATTTGAAAGCAATACCACGGCGGCCGTATTTTAAGTCCAAGAAGTTTTGCCCACACATGCTGTGACTCTCTTGCCCTCTGGCCTCTTTATCCACATTGTAGACAAGGAAGGGTAGAAGGGTATTTTTGACTTGACAATCAAGGATCACGGATCTTGGGTAGCACACACTACTGGTGGTAATAAAAACCCTATGACTATTCTGAGCCCTGCAGGCTAATCCCAAAAATCCAATGAGTTGGCGAGTTTTATTAACGCGCCAAAATGGTGTCTGGGCTAGTGTATTCATTTTTAAGCTTTAGACATTGGGATTGAGATAGGATATCAGATGGTCAAAGAGAAACAGAGACGGTTAGTTGGCTGGACATAGCTAAATCCCAATAAAAAGAAAAAGATTTTAAGACCCAACCAATAAAAAAAACAAAAAAAAAAACCTTATTATTAAAAAATATAACTAAAAAACAACAATAATTTGGATACCATATTTTCTTCTGCCTATTTTCAGTGTATGCACCTCATATTTTAGCTGCAGAAGCTAAGACAACTCTCTCTCTCTCTCTCTCCCTCTGTCTGTGTGTGTGTTGTAATCCCAAAGACACTGTTTAAAAGGCTCAAGAACCACCAACTTCATAACCAGCGAAAGTGTTCTCTCTCTAGATTCTGCTTGGATCAAAAAGAGACAAAACCCATGTAATGATGTAATATTAGCCCGGTGTTTAGATTGAAGTTCTGAATGTTTTCCAATCTGAGGTCAAGTTCTTGTTTCTGTGTCATGTGTGTGTATATATATATATATATATATATTCTAGTTATGTTATATATGTGTTTGTGTGTGTATATATATATTATATTTTTTTATAAAAATAAATTTCTATATTTTTTCCTTATTGAATTCTGGATTCTCTAATGCAGGTAGAGTTGAATGCTGTAAAGTGGTTAGTAAATGAGATTTAATGTGAGCAAATCAATTTCATAAGCTGTTTGTTGTTACAACTCTGGTTAGTTCTCTTTTTAATTTCTTCTCTCTCCTCCTCTTCTTACTGTGAATGTTTGTAAGTGAATCTTTTGCTTTGATCTATGATTTTTATGCTTCTTCTTTACTACTTGTTTGGGTTTGTTTTAACTTTATCACAACTCACTGATTTTATCTTATCCTCAAATTTTGTTCTGTTTTTCTTTTCTTTTATTTATTTATTTATTTATTTTTTCTGTTCTTAAAGACTTGAACTATATAATTTCTCAACACAAGAAGGTATTAAAAATGTTAAATAATATGCTTTAAAATCCAGGAAAACGAAATAAGTACTTTAATATAGAATTTGTTTTTTATTGCTACAAAAAATACTTAATTTTCTTCATTTTGTTGCTAGTTAGCATATCGTTATGTGTAATATTGCTGTTATATATTTTGAATTGGCTGAAAATTTTTATTTTATGTAAAGTAAGTAAATTTTTTTATTTTTTTATCTAGGTTGGAAGTATTAATGTTTTCATGATTAAAGATTTCAGTGTCCAAATGCAAAAAGATTTTGAGGTGATTTGAAATGACTCAATTGAATCTTTTGCTACATACAAGTGAACACGCGGCTGATATAGCATGTCAAGAGGCCTACTTTTCAAAATCTAAAAAGCAATGCAAACATTTGAGAGAAGGATCTTAGGATTTTGAAGATTTTGAGGTGCTTGCTTGTGAACTCATCGTTGAGATTCGCTTTTCATAGAGCAGGAAGCAGATTAGTGCCATTAATTCTATTGCCAACATGAAGTGGAGATTGATAGTATCAAATTAATATGAAGTTCCATGTGATTCAGTGATTGCAGCAACATGTGCATCGACTAATGTCTTAGACCTTCATGGAGAGCTGGTTTGATGATGCAAGGGAAGCATGGGAGATTTCAAAGAAAGATGTTTTGTGGAATACAAAGCCTAAAAATCATTTAGCTATGGCTAAACCTTCCTAAGGACAAGACATGGTTAGGAAGAATGCTAGAGATACAAATGGGAACTTGGAAGACGCTATAAGCTACTGCTTATTCCACAAATCTACTAGATTTGTGCTTAAATTTTTTCTGCCTTCTGTTACATGGGCTGGCATGCTCATTTAAAACTTTCTTTACTGAGGTATTTGATGGTCGATCCCATTTATATGGGATAAAGGCAAGGATGACGGTGATGATTACTGAGGTATTTCACGTGTTGCTGTTATCTGGTTTCATAACATATAATCTGCTGTCAGGCAACGAAATATTTGGTGGTCAAGATGCGAATCTTGTTTGTAAAATTTAGACAGTCTTGACTTATTTTCAAATGACCAAGTTGAAGGAAAACAACCCCCTTCATTGTGCAAGCAAATTGCTTTCTCTGCAACATCTGTCTAGCTTAAATCCTTGAAGTTCAGGAAAACGAATTCAGAGAAAAAAGTATCAGTGGTTTGGTGTCATCCATTGAAGTAATACATACAAGAACATGAATGGGGTTTGTATATCCTCTCTGCGTTAATATCCTGTGCAATCAAAGTTAATTCCTTTAGTTTTAGATAGTTCAATTGTCTTAACATGAGATGCAACAAGATTCTGTGAATTGAAGTTAATTGATGTACTTGTAGATAGTTTAGTTGTTTAGCATGAGATGGGACTGTTGTGATAGTTTAATTTTACATAGCATGAGTCCATGACAGATGGCTTTAGGGATTTTGAGTTGAAGAGGAATTATTGAGTTGGATTCACAACTTAAGACCAATGAATTCGTAAATAAGACTCACTCGATGTATTTCCAACATTGAGATTTTTGTTTGGCCTCTTTACATCGTCTTCGATGCTATATTAGTGTTTGGTTTATTGACATACAGTACAGGAAAACAAGATAATGAGTAGATATTTTTTGTGTGTTGGATGGCGTGTGGTTGTTGGCAGTGGCATTGTATTCAAGCATGTGGTTAATATTCAGGTAATAAATGGATAGATTCTTATGCAAGTGATATATACTCTGTAGTATTACTTCTCTTATTTGATTCAGATAATTGACTTGCTATTCTAGTTGATTTGGGATCGCATTTGGACTTTATATATGTCAATGAACCAATATCAGAAATTTTTACTTCTGCAATTTTCATGTCATGGAATTCGAACATGATGAACCACACCAGTTCTTAAGTTTTGCTTCAGATTATTCATTGCTAAGTTTGTTTTTCATCTTTTGTGTCAAAATTGATGCCAAAATCACTTCTATGGCCGTCTCTGTATTCGTTTATTGATTATTTGATAACATGAAGCTTTCTCCCTGGGCTAGTAGTGGCAGAGCTTAATGGAGTTCCTACACTGTCTTTCTTCTTTTTCCCTTTTTCCTTACTTGTAAGAGCATGTTTCATTCAATCTTTTGGGGGGTGGACTATCTTGTCATACACAAAAATTGGGGAGACAGCTATCAATATCAACTATAATTACTGAGTTCGAATATTACAATTTTTTTTTTGTATCACTATGGGACTATGTGGCTACTAATGAGTTTGAGCACGTTTTGGAAGGCAGCTTATTTACAAATAATGAGTTGATTTTCGTTCTTGCAAAATAGTAGTTTTCTCCGTGTCCTTGTGATTGGATACGTAACCCTTCCACTTTTTGCTTTTGTTGCTCTGTTCTTCAATTTTGACTAGTCATTCACCTAATAACTGTTCCCTGCAGTTTTGAAGAAGTCATTTGCGGGCTTTGACCAGTTGGAGATAACATTAGCTATATCCTAGAGGTTGAACATCATTCAAAATCAAGTTCTCCCTCCCAACTTCTTGTGCAACTCTATCTGCTATCTGAAGAATCAAAAGGAGTTCCATCTTAAGATGGTTAGAGACCCAAGTTTTCTTTAGCTTCCACTGACATACCTTGTACCAAAACAGTGACTAGCATTTCACATATTCATCAAAGATGGAGGTTAAAGAAGAAAAGACTGTTATAGCTAAACCGGTCGCTTCAAGGCCTACTTGTTCAACTTTTAGGTCCTTCTCGGAGCTCCTTGTTGGTGCCATTAATGCCTCACCCTCTAACTCGTGTCCTGAAACTGCTGTCACTGCCATTAGACCAAAGACAGTGAGATTCAAGCCAACTGCAAACCATGCTCCAAATAGGGTGTTTTCCTCCCAGGTGATCTCTTAGTTCGTGCACTTCTCTTCTTGATGTTCTCATCTGTTCAAAATATTTTGTCTTCTGATTTTGTGGTGTTTAACAATATTAGGCTGAGGTATCTGGAGCTGTAGTTCCTTATTCATCTGATGCGATTGTGAAGTCAGAAACCAAATCTACTGTAGTATACAAACCCTTGGCGAAGCTTGTATCAAAGGCAACTGTTTCTCTCTTAGCAAATCTGGTCAGTATCTGCAAAATTTATGTATCCGCAATATAAAGGGATACATATATATTCTTGGCATAATGGCACTAGATAGTCTGTTTATGAAAATCTATTTCTCTATATGATGCCATGCATAAAGACAGACTAGGCTTTGCAATATATGAATTCACATCTATGGTCAAGATATTAAAGTATGGCCTTCTGTTTTGTTTTGTTAGGGGAACTCCACTATTAGTCATCAACAAGCGCTAGCTCAGGTTGAGGCCCGTGCTCAGCCTATAAACCAAGTTAAACCTCATTTCAGATCCGACCTTGGTTCAAATCTTCATCAAAATTTTGCTCCAAAATCACAGAGAGAGAAAACAATTGAGCCCTCAAAAACAGCTTCAGAGAACCTGGAAGACGATCAAAAATCTTTGCCACCCTCAAGTAGTGTGGATCGACCTTCATATGATGGATATAATTGGAGAAAGTATGGGCAAAAGCAGGTGAAAGGAAGTGAATACCCAAGAAGTTACTACAAATGCACACACCCAAATTGCCCAGTGAAAAAGAAGGTTGAAAGATCACTTGATGGTCAGATAGCGGAAATTGTATACAAAGGTGAGCACAACCATTCAAAGCCTCAGCCTCCTAAGCGCAACACATCAGGGGCACAAGGGCAAGGAGTTGTAAGTGATGGGACTGGTCTAGACACAAACAATGCATTATGGAGTAGCCAACTATATGAGAGAAATGAAGGCTCTGATGGCCGGATAGAATGTCAGAATGAAGTCGGATTGTCTGCTCATTCCACTTACTCAGGCAAAGCTCCATTATCCTACGATCCTGTTGCAGCTGGAGCATTCAATACTGGTGTTGCAACTCCTGATAATTCTTGTGGTCTTAGTGGTGATGGTGAAGAAGGAAGCAAGGTATTGGAGGTAGAGGATGATGAACCTAAAAGTAAAAGAAGGTAAGAAATTAACGAAACTTCACTAGCTGCTATATAAACATTAAAGCAAGCTGCTTAGATTTACAAAGTAATCTATATTATCTTTTGCAAGGATAGATTCACATAACCCCTTCCATTCATGTTGAAGACCCTAAGTATGTTGATTAATTTCTATTTTCTTCAGGAGAAATGAGAATCAATCCAATGAAGTTGGCATATCAGGGGAAGGTGTTCAAGAGCCCCGCATTGTGGTGCAAAATTCGACAGATTCTGAGATCGTTGGCGATGGCTTTCGCTGGAGAAAATATGGGCAGAAAGTTGTGAAGGGAAATCCTTATCCCAGGTAGATTCTTGTTAAAGATATACATTGAATGCTACACACTCTTCTTTGGTCCAATGTTGAGGCTGAAGGATGCCTGCTAATATTTACTTTAAAGTATTAGGTCCTTTCTACAATGTTTAAGTTTTTTTCCCTAAAAACAAATAAAAATCTTGTGATTTTAGTATCCTGGTTTTTTAATTAATGTCCTCCAAAATTGCAGGAAGGATGCAACTGTATGGTTGTATCATTGCTCTAAATTTTTTTACTCATCTCACTCAAATTTATTGTTGTTCATACGTAATTAACACCCCCTCTAAAAAAAATTTAAAAAACAAAATAAATAAATAAAACAAATAAAAAAGAAAGAAATGGGATCTCATAATTATTATGATAAGATACATCTTCCCTGAGTTTCTTAAAAACCAACAATAACCTTTTTGAGGTTATTGAATAATTTGTGACACCGCTGCAGATTGCAAGTTAAGAAACACCAATCTTGCCTCTTTACTTTTTCATGACATAAATCTTACAACTATTTTGCTCTAATAGAATTAAGCACATTTTTTCTCCTCTGTGAAAATAGGATGAATTTTATAAGGGCCAAGTAAGGGAGGAAAGGAAGAGATTCAATCCCCTACTGCTGACTCGACTTCTGTCAACTAAAACGAGTTGAAAGGCTTTTGATAAAACTAAAATGAACTGTCTTTTCATTGTTGTGGTTAATGTGTGGCTCTGTTACAATTTTCTCACACCATGGTTTAATTGGTCTTTGCAGAAGTTACTATAGATGCACTAGTCTCAAGTGCAACGTGCGCAAGCATGTTGAAAGAGCATCAGACGATCCACGAGCTTTTATTACAACATATGAGGGAACACATAACCATGACATGCCAATCAGAAGCACAAATCCAGTGGCATCCGAACCAGATTCACAGGTTGCTACTTCTAAGGACAAACTATGATTAATACTGTGGAACGAAAACAACTACCAACACAAAGATTGATGTGGCAAAGTATGTCAGATGTAGTTCAAGGGAAAATGACATCCCAAACTAAAGTAATTCCTGACATGATGCCGGTTAATTTCCAATCTCATATTTCGTGTGAATTTTGTAGCTTCCTCCTAAATATAACATAGTTAGAGTTATCAGGTGGGTTATTTTACTTCCATATTACCTCTTGCTGCTTATTGTTTAGCTTGTGAGTACATTATTAATTATTTCTGAGTCATATATAATATAACTAGAGTTGCCTTGAATGATCTACTGTCTGATATATATATTTATATACACTTATAGTTTTAGTTACTTCCCTTTTTCTGGAACTAACTACAAAAAGTTTCTGGCCCTTTGAGATCATTTCTTGAATTAGTAACAGTATCTGCATGAAAGTATTAATTTTTTCTGTTTAAATTCTTTGATGAGCTTAAATTCTTTTTTGCCAACATTGCATGGTCTTTACACATATGTTTTCTTTTATGGATTATCATTTTGATATAATTAGCAAAACTGGTATCTGCATCAAGTCTATTCAAAATAGTTTCTTGGATCTGTTGAAAGCAGAAGATGTTGGTAAAATATATGCTTCATGTGACATTTAAGATATAACATCCCTTATACTAATATGTTATGAGATAATTAACAATATGTTAAGAAATGATTAATTAAATATGTAATTATATATTTAATTAAATATGCAAAATAAAGTAGTAAATTAATAAATAATAAATAAAGAACTTGGACCGAGGCTAGTATTGAATACTATATCCTAAAGATAAATTTGTCCCGCTATGGTGCTAACGGACTCAATGGCGTCTATCTCTCAGGATATAACGGTCTACATTCACCAGTAGCAGCACTACAAACTCGTGGATACGACGAACTTTCTCCGTGTAATACTCTCTCTGACTCAAAAATGTATTTATACTATATAAATGCTAAATTGGTTGCATTCCGAACCAAAATGGTTCGGACCAATCTTAATATTGTGAAAACAAGAGTTACGCGAGGTGCGGAAACAATCAGTTGATTTTAATTGTGATTAACTTCCTTAATGACCTAGATCTGATTATTAGGTCAACTTGCTCAATTTATGATTGATTAAATTACATGACCAATTTAAACATCCATAATCACAAATATATGAAAAGTAAAGCAAGTTAGAGTTAGAGAGATTGCACCAGGATTTTAGTGCCCAGTTAATAAAAATACGTTAACTGTTATGAGAAAAATCTCGTGGACTGTGCAATTCAAAGTAAACCAATCCATTATATTTGAAACAAAGTATATCGAACTGTGACTCTGCCTCATACTTTATCGTCCTACACCACACCAACCATTGACGATCCTCTGGTTTTGCAACTCTCCGTCAAACAGCAACTTGACCTTAGGCTTACACTTGATATTTGTAGAAAAGTAGCAGGTAGATTGGACAGCACTCTGCGAATGCTCTAACCCTTTCAAAGTGTGACTGCGTTTACTTCTGTTCTTCAAGATCTGAACGCGATTGTAGAAAAATTAAATCCTGCTGATCATCTAGAATATCTGAATCTTCAATACAACTTCAATTCCGATGAGATAGAGAACATCACAACTAAATCATTCATGAATATATATGTGTGCTCTCAAAAATAAATTCAGAACAATCAGATTTGATTTTCTGAATTTTCCCTCTCTAAAAGGCTTTCTCAAAATATAGAATTGATTGTCCCTAAAGCCATAATTAAACCAATGTATATGACATGGTTTATATAGAGTTTTGAAAGTTCTAATTCCTCAGAAAATATGATAAATTTCGTGCATAAGACTTGGAAGGAAGCTGGGATAAAAAAGGAAACATCAAAAGAAGGAAACTTGAAAACCTGATGCATCCGCATCCAGGACTTCTTGAACCGGTTGAGCCATCTTGAACCGGTTCAAGATGGCCAGTAAGGAATCCCACGGATTCTTGAACCGATTCAACCCTCTTGAACCGGTTTAAGATGATCAGTCTTGAAATTTTGCAATTCTGATGATGTTGAACCTGTTCGTTAAATCTTGAACCAGTTCAAGATGAACAAAATGTAAAAACTTGTTCCGAATCTTCCAAAACCCTTCCTAACTGTTCTCACCACCTCTCAACCTTCTTAGAGCATTGTTCTCATTATCTCGGAGTGTAGTATATCATGAACACTTGACCTTCTTCAAATCCGCATTTGATCTTCAATATTTGAATTTTTATATATATAAAAAAAACTCGATCGGACTTGTTTTGACAACGAAATAAGCCAATTACAAAATATATATCTCACAATCTCTCCCTTTGGCAATTTCATGACAAAACCCTAAAAACAATTCAGTAATCTACACAAGCAGGAAAGTAAATTACAATGATTGTTAAAGGAAATAAAACGCGAAAATTTTCTTGAACCTCATGAAGCTTCAACATTTGTAGCAACCTGTAATCTGCACATTATCTCAAACACAACTACCCCTGAAGCTTAATCAAGAAAATAAACACAAGCATAAAATAGCAAAGCTAAAAATGCCAGAATGTTAATGTAAGGTAATGCAATGAACAATGGTTATCCCCCTCAATGCAAAAAGAATCTCTCCCCTTGAATGATAAGACTCTAAACTTTAAATATCTCCCACCTTTTTGTCACAAATTAACAAGGGTCTCTGGGAAGAAAAATCCTAGAAGTAGGAAGCAATCAACCATATAAATCTTGTAAATTGAAATCATTGAGAATGTTGACTCCACAAGATTATATGCATCAACAGAAATAACCAAGATCAATTCAATAAAGTTTCACAAACTTAGTAAGTGTAGTAAAATCACTACCAAGTTCAAAAAACATATAAACTATCAATTGTTCAGATTTCAGATAATAAATCAATGATATTACATATCCTTAGAAATCAAACAATCAACATGTGCAAAAGACATTTTTTTTTATCTCTCTTCGTGCTCCATTTTTCTTTTACACATTGGCAGCTTTCACGCTTATGGGCAATCAACTCTTTCCCTTATTCCCATTTGTTTCGAGTCAATGTAGCTTTCGAACAAATCCCAAAGGTAGCCTTTTCCATCTCACCTTTTTCTAAACAGCAAATATTTTTCGTTTTTTTTTCAAAAACTTTTTCATTCCAAACTGTTTTTCAATTTTCTTTTATTTTCACTCTTTTGGTCTAAAACACATAAATCAAGTTTAACTTCCAAAACTATGATCAATCATATCAACATTATCTTTGACCAAAATAATGACATCAAACACAAGTAAATATACTATCAATTATTCATTTACTATACGAAATAAGTAAGTAAAACCACTTTCATTAATTCATAGCCATTGTATGCTTTCCACATATAATCTATGTGTCATTAAACTCCTCGTGGTCAACATACGCAATCAATATGGTTTGTTTAACTTCCCAAAAACATAATCTAAACTCTCGAGGTATGCATGAAAATCCTTTCTAGACTATGTCTTTGCAATGTATCTAATCAAGACAACAGACACCAATAGATTTCCTAAAATGAGAAGACTTAGGAGCATCTAATCGTTTAGTGAGAATATCAGCCAAATTTTGATCAATATGCACTTTTTCCAAAGACACGACATTTTGTTCAACAAGTTCCCTAAGAAAGTGATGTCGAATGTCAATGTGTTTAGTCTTGGAATGCAAAACTGGATTCTTTGAAATATTAATTGTACTAGTATTATTACAAAAGATAGAAATAGTACCTTGATCAACTTCATAATCCAGAAACATCTGTTTCATCCAAAGCAATTGTGTGCAACAAGTTCTAGCAGCAATGTATTCAGCCTCACAAGATGATAAAGATATGCAATTTTGCTTCTTGCTGGACCATGAAACAAGATTAGTACCAATATAGAAACAACCACCTGAAGTACTCTTTCTATCATCCTTATTTCCAGCCCAATCAGCATCAGTATAGCCTGCAATCTCAGAGTTAGACTTAGAAGAATAACACAATCCATAATTCAATGTACTATTGACATAACGAATAATGCGTTTGACTGCAAGAATGTGTTGTTCTCTAGGATCAGTTTGATACCTAGCACAAACACCTACACTAAATGAAATATCTGGCTTAGTTGGTGCCAAATACAACAAGCTACCAATCATACTCCTATACAAGAAATGATCAACCTTGTTAGGATCAGAGTCTCTATCCAATTTGGATAAAGTACTCATGGGAGTTTGAATATACTTTGAATATTTCATACCAAACTTCTTAACTAGCTCATTTGTATACTTTGATTGAGATATGAAAATCCTATCATCAAGTTGTTTTACTTGGAGACCTAGAAAGAAAGTCAGTTCACCAATCATGCTCATTTCAAAAGTTTTACTCATATCTTTATAAAAAGTATGAACAAGGTTATCACATGTAGCACCAAAAACAATATCATCCACATATATTTGAGCTACAAGAAAATCTTTTCCTTTCCTGAAAATAAATAATGTTTTATCTGCTCCTCCTCTTCTGAAGCCCTTGTGCAATAGATAAGAAGTCAATTTCTCATACCATGCCCTAGGTGCTTGCTTTAAATCAAAAAGAGCCTTTTTAAGATGAAAAACAAAATCAGGTTTATGTGGATCAATAAAACCTTTTGGTTGTGCTACATAAACTTCTTCCTGCAAAATGCCATTTAGAAAAGCACTTTTAGCATCCATTTGAAACAATTTGAATTTAAAGTGACATGCAAGAGCAAAAAGAAGTCAAATAGACTCAAGTCTAGCAACAAGTGCAAAAGTTTCATCAAAATCAATTCCTTCAACTTGAGCGTATCCTTGTGCAACTAATCTAACTTTATTTCTCATCACAAGACCATGTTCATCAAGTTTATTTTTAAAGATCCATTTGGTCCCTATGATATTAACATCACTAAGTCGAGGCACTAATTCATAAATATCATTCTTCACAAATTGAAACAATTCTTCTTACATAGCCATAAGCCAATCAGAATTTTGAAGAGTTTCATCAACATTTTTAGCTTTAAACTTAGTTATGTGACATGAGTGAACTATATCATCTACAATGCATGAGTGTCCTACATCATCACGGACTATACTCCTAGTATTATACTTATCCCATGGACCTATCACATTGTCAATTGGATGACTCAATCTAACTCTAGAATTGCTAGATGTAGGAATATCTAGAGGTGGTGTAGGAATTCCTATGGGTTCATCAGTGGTGACCTCTAATTTCTCATTCTCATCTTCTTTAACCTCTTCATCTTTTCCA